TAGGGGTGGCCATCGATAGTCGATATTATGGAAATATCGATATTTTCCTCTATTACGCACTACATTCTATATCAAACAGGCAAGATGAGTATAATTAAAATATTGGCATGACAGTGATTTGTTATGCAATGTGAATCAAGTCACTGCTGTAAACTCCCGTATTGTTTTAAAGGCAGGGTAGGGAGGGAAATAAAATAAAAAATAAAAATAAATAATTAAAATATTAAACTATCGATGGTAAAATATCGAATATTAGAAGAAAAATATCGATATTTCGACATCGACTATCTGACGTACATGTGTTTCAAGTTAGCTAAATATAAATCTTTTTTTATTATTTGGAAAAGTGCAATCTCAATCTTATTTCTACAGCAGCTCAAATTTGAGTGATTTTTTTTTCTATGCCAAATCGGTGTTTTTCAACCCTAGATGACTTTCAAAACAGTGAAAAAATGCATTATTTTCGGTCAAAGTAAAGAAAAAAGAAAGTGGTATATAGGGCGGCTGAAATATTTTAAAAAAAATAGATTTTGATTCTATGTTATAAGAGAGAACGACTATATTTGACTATAACGACCAACAGACCAAAAAATATTCTTAGAGAAATTGGGACAGATGAGTAAGCAATTCCAACGGGGTTCAAAGGCTCGGATAATTCTTTGAATCGAGTTGGATGCCCACTTTCAGAAGCAAACTTTCTATATAAACTGACATTTTTTTTTTTTACATTTTGTAGCCCAGTGTCTTACTCACTGAGAATTCTAACGGTTAAATAATTTTTAAAACAAAACACCAAGATCACAGACTAGCCTCACTAAATTTACAAAATCACTTACTAAATTTACATAATTGGTATTAACTTTGGAAAATTAGATTAAATCATGACAAATCACAACATGTGACATTTAAAGTTTGACGAGACACATGTCCACCTGTTAATATCGGCGACAACCAAATACCTCACACCGACAATGTTCGATCTGGTGCCCACATGACAAAATGAAACGAACGACTTTGAACAAAAGAATAAAAATACTACACTCACGTTTTTCCAAATCAAAATTGAAAATCAGACATTAAATACATACACTTACCTATTCAAACCAAATGTGGACACAAGCAAAAATAACGCACTTACGAAAACTACAATCATTTCGATCCAAAATTTTAAGACTAATAATAGCAGTTTCCAGGTACGTAAACAACGAAACTTTACATACCAATTTATGATAACCGACTATCAACCAACACATACGTACTCTCTACTTCCCATTTCATATTAAATTACGGGAACATCACAACGGACTTATCAACGACATGGCCACACCTTACACGACTAAAAAGGAGCTGGATGAGAGATCTCCTTTCCTGAATAAAGGAAATAAACCAAGAAGAGGAAGAGGTGCTGCTGGGTACTATTCTTCCTCATGTCTAAAATACCAATTTTCTTTACAGTGACATCACACCTGCTTATTGGCAACATTAGGACATGTATGGATGTAAATATGAAGATAAAAAAAAAATCATTAATAATAAGATTGATTATATAGATCAGGATTTTATTTAGTTATTCAATATTTTAATAACAAAATTTAATCTTAATTAAATTATTAAACATAATAGTAATTTGAAGATTTATTAGAATAGTTATAAAAAAAGTGAGCATTTTTTTATCTATTTGAGCCCGTATTTTTGAACAGGGATTTTTTAAAGTAGCGGCAAGCTAAATTTTGCCGCCCTTTTTTTCATCACCCACCGCTCCTCCTCCATAATAAAAGTGAAAATTTTATATATCAGTACTTTTTGTAATATATTTGAAAATAAACAAAATCTTTACATACAACTCTTTTAATTTACTTAATTAAAGTAAAAAAAAAAATTGTTAAAAAATATTTTTTACGTTAGCAAAAAAAAATGATCTTGAATTCTGTCGCCTGGAACAAGAATCCTTTGATCCTCCCTAGCTCCGGTCCTGAAAGGAACTTGCTGAGAGTTACCTTATGTCTTGAGCGAGTCGTAACTGAGGATGGGATTTACATAATTAATTCAGTTTGAGGTCATTTTAAACGCTTTAGGTCGAGTTTAGGCGAAGATCGATATGATATGCTAATGATATACAAAACGTCGTTTGCAGAGTCTTAGAATTTTCCCTTCCACCTTATACAGGGTGTTTCAGGGTTAAGTGGCCAAACTGTAAAAATGAATTAAGGACCTCAAAACAAGAAAAAAATTTCCTCTGAAGGTATGTCCTCAGACGATTTTGTTTAGGGGACATTCACACCTAAAGATTTTCGTAGTTATGAATTATTTACGTTATATGAAATAAATAAAATCTATTTATTTATTCTAACTACTTTACTAATTAAATGTAAACATTAAGATTCGTATTAAATGATGTTGAAATTGATTTACTTGAGTATTAAGACAGGCTCGGCATCTTTCTTCAACAGCAGCAGTGGCAGAACGGCACTGGATATGAGTTATTGTTTCACAAGATTCAATTATCCTTCTTCGTAAGGAATTAAGGGCTGGATTTAATCAATTATATTCTATATCCCAATCAATGGATTGGCCGTGCAGAACCAGTGGCTTGGCCTGCACGCTCTCCAGACCAGATACCACTAGATTTTTTTTATTTGGGGTGACATTAAACAAAAAGTCTATGCAAGTCAGGTCAATGACCTTAATTCTTTACGAAAAAAGATAATCGAATCTTGTGAAACAAAAACAGACATCCAGTGCCGTTCTGCCACTGCAGCTGTTGAAGAAAGATGCCGAGCCTGTCTTACTGATCAAGGAAATCACTTTGAACAACATTTAATATGAATGTTAATTTTTACATTTAATTAATGAAGTAGTTAGAACAAATAAATAAGTTTTATTTATTTCATATAAGGTAAATAATTCATCACAACGAAAATCTTTAGGTGTGAATATCTCCTAAACAAAGCGTTTGCGGACATACCTTCAGAGGAATTTTTTTCTTGTTTTGAGGTCCTTAGTTTATTTTTGTAGTTTGGCCACTCAATCCTGAAACATCCTGTATATGTATTTGAATGATTTCATAAATTTTAATTCTGATGATCATTAAATAATTGTAAATGACCAATCATGTCCTAGCGGCGCCACGATTCGGAGTCCAAATTAAAAAGCATATATATTTTCGAAAACTTGTTCATTCCATCTTTATACCTCCAATATGGGACAAATTAAAGATAATATTTCTAATCTAAAATACAGTTGCTGTTAGAAAAGTTATTAGCTAACTAGAGATTCGAAATTTATCGGTCATTGGTGTAACAGATTTAACAGAAATATTTGAAAATTGCCGAAAAGATCGAAGCCAAATCGACAGCCACACTGCCTTTAAGTGCTGAACATAGGGAGCGAGATGGACTAGCGAGCTAACGCGTGTATACAGCACCATGCGTTGTCCGGCAATCTGATCAATCATTCAAATCCCGGTGCCCGGTGGGACTTTTAATTCGGCATGATTCCTCACCCTCTCTCCTGGCCCAGAAAAAAAACTGTCTTGCCTAAAAGGCAAGAAAGAGGAGACCAAAAAATGGAAAAAAAGTGTGAAACATAAAATTATTAATAAGACGAAGTGAACCACGTATTTCTTATTTTAAGGAGTTGATTTTCTGCAAAATTTTCATTGCATGCTTAAGACAAAGATGTAATGTTCCAAATAATGATTTTATTTTGTTTTAATGCAAATATCAAAGGCCAATATTAATTAGGAAAGCCCAAAACCGCACATTCTATTTAAATTACAGGCTTTTGAGGTGTGGCTGGTGATATATTGATGTAACCAAATAAAAGATTTTAAATTTTTATATCTTATGTTTATTGGGATATAAATTGATTTTTAAAAAATGTGTTAATTACTATTAATTAACAAAATATAAATTAAAAAATATAATTATAACTTTATGATTTTCATATTTTAGTAGGTTACTCATTTTTTGTATATTACATATATATTCCATAAAAACGGGATGTAATAATGTTAATTTCTAAAAAGGTAACTAAATAATAAATAATAATAAATTGTTTTCATTGCAAAAATTCTTTTTTATTCATAAAAAACCTAAATGTTAAAGAAAATACAATACTATAGAGACAGAATGTCTCCTCTATATCCATAGGCAGTTGCCAAAGCCAGTTTTGTACACTGGAGATTTCAATGGCCACAATCCATTATGGGGCTCACAAGACACAAATTCTAGATACCCCATTATAGAAAGTTTCTTAGATTTAACCGATACTCTGTTACTAAACTCCGGCGAAGCAACATACATAAGTTCTAGCTTTGGTAGATTTTCATCCATAGATCTCTCTATATGCACTTATTCACTGATTGATAATATAGAATGAACAGTTCTACCAGATCTTTATGGAAGTGACTATTTCCCAATTCGTCTAAAATTCAGAAGTGCAAACTGCAATAATTACAGCGTCCCTCGTTGGATATTAGAAAAAGCAGATTGGTCACTATTCACTTCTTTAGCTGTTCCACCTCAAAATCCCCCTAATAGTATGAATATAGATGATGGGTGTAAATCTATAACTCAGGCAATACTTACAGATGCAGAGTTCTCAATCCCTAAAACCAAAGGCCATTACAAAAGGACACCTGTCCCCTGGTTCGATAGTGATTGCAAGAAAGCCATACAACTTCGGAGAAATGCATTTAAGAAATTTAAAGAAAATATTAATCACATTGAATATAAAAAACAAAGTGCTGTTTGCAGAAGAATTATAAATGACAAGAAAAAGAATCATGGAAATCATTTGTTGAGTCCACTAACTCGTCTACTCCCTAAATTTAGTTATAACAGATATAACTAATTGAAGATTTTTTTTATTATTAATAAAGAATTTTTATTGTTTTTTTATATATTTTTTGGAATGAAAAAATGGGTTCTAGTTTGTTGATTATTATTTAATTAACATTTAAGAAATTATAATTATATAACAAAAATTAAAACTTTCAGATAATGGACGATGCTTGGGGTGGCGAGAAGGCCCTAATAAACCTTATTCGTGGCTGAACTACAACGAGGCTTTACTAAGAGCGAGAAACTTTGGATCAGGGCTGGTGGCACTGGGCCTTGCCCCCGGCCAGAAGACCTTCGTAGGCCTCTATTCCACAAATTGCCCGGAGTGGATTCTCACCGAGCAAGCAGCTTACTGTTATTCGATGGTCATTGTACCGCTCTACGACACCCTAGGTCCTGAAGCTACCTCCTTCATCATTTCTCAAGGTAATAAATCTAAATTTAAAGTTGATAAGAACATGACATAGTGATAAATAAGGCCTGGATATATATGCAACAGAAACCATGGAAATATGGCACACACTATGCCTTAAAAAATGCAATGATATGCAATCTAAAGTATGTTAATATGCAGTGTAATCTATGTTAATATGCAGTGTAATCTATGTTAATATGCAGTGTAATCTATGTTAATATGCAGTGTAATCTATGTTAATATGCAGTGTAATCTATGTTAATATGCAGTGTAATCTATGTTAATATGCAACCAGCGAAAGAAAGTAATTAAAGTTAAGGTACAGATATGATAAACAATCTTATTTCGGTTATTCATTTCAAACATTTCTCATTATTAGGAAATTTACAACTAATTTATTTTATTTAGAATGAAACATGTTATTATTGTTTGAAGTTCAGTTATTAAGATAAATAATAAGTAATTTGGGATATAAGATATATAATATCGCATATAAAGGTTAATAAAATTAGTTCAAAACACAAACTGTAAGAAAAAAACTAAAATTATATAAAAAATCTCGAATATATCAAACTAATTTTTCCTTTCAGCTGAAATAACAGTCATAGTTTGTGAAAATGATGCAAAAGTGAATGTGATGCTAGAACAAGCTCCAAGGCATCTACGTAAAATCATTGTCATCAAAGATGCAAGTCCAGCAACCAGACAAAGAGCAAAGAATCGAGGTGTCGAGATCATCAAATTTGATGAAATAGAGAGACTAGGTGCTCAACGAAGCGTACCAGAAGTAGTGAGTAAAAATTTATACATTTTGAATAATTATAACCAATTTTAAGTGAATATACTTTTATATAAATGGAAAAATAAACCTATAACAATCTTTCTTGCCTTCAGCCTCCGAAACCAACCGATCTCTGCACAGTTTGCTATACCTCCGGAACAACAGGCAGCCCGAAGGGAGTGATGCTGAGCCATGAGAATGTTGTTGCTGCAATTTGTGCTGTGCTCATGCAGCTCGGAGATCAAAAACCGACCTCAGAGGACACTATGATATCTTTCCTTCCCTTAGCTCACATGTTAGAGAGGTGTTGTGAGGTGATTATTAGTGATTATAAAAATAAACAAAAAAATATATAATTTATAAGTTAAGGAATTAATTCATTCTTATCTGAATTAAAGAATGGGATGTACTTGGTCGGAGGTGGAGTGGGTTTTTATTCTGGAGATATCCGAAGGCTGACAGATGACATGAAATGTTTAAAGCCAACAGTCATGCCAGCGGTTCCTAGATTGCTTAATCGAATGTATGACAAACTTCAAGCAGAGACTAATGCTTCATTCATCAAGAGAATGCTATACAACATGGCTCTAAGTTCCAAGTTTAATGAGATCAAAAAGTAAGTAAGTAACTTTATTTTATAATTGATCTTTTTAAAATTGCTTTCTTATTTTTAATGTAAGTTTCTTGAGATTATTTTACTTTTAAATTCATATATATATACATTAATTCTTAACGTTTAAACTTTATATTTTAATGTTTATTTTTCTACAGAACAATATTTCAAACTTAAAATACTTCATGTTTCTTTACATATTAATGTGAATACGATATTAGTATGAGTATTATAGTAACATAAGAAATTTTAATTGAATTAGTGAAATCGAAATTTAATTTAATAACAAAAATCTAATATTTTATGGGATATACAATTTAAATAAAAAAGTCAGGACACTATGGTCTTTTCCATAAATAGGATGATTAATATTCAAAAATACATTCGTTATACATATTTTCAAATAGTTAGAAAAAACTAGATTTAAGTTGATAAATCTGGTAAAACAACTGGTTAAAAGCTATCAACAAAATTTTGTAAAATTGGATTATTTTCAACAAAGAAACAAAATTAAATTCATCTCAAAATTAAAATGTTTCAATATAGTTAAAAACTAAAATCAAATTGCAAAAATACCTTCTTCTGCTGTCCATGGTTTTCCCCTGACGACATTGAAAATCTTCTCCTTGTAGTTTTTCATTTATGTATATAAATATAGCATAATTTCTGAGAAACAATCTGGAAAAAAGTTATAATAATTATAAAATTGAATTGAAAATCACTCTAAAAGTATTAATCATTATGTGTTCATTTGAAAGATATTAAGTCCCTATTAAACAAAAAAATCTTTGTAAGAATAATTCCATGAAAATTCCATCTCTTTGGATTAAAAAAAAAATTTAATCAAGCCAATATTAGTGAAATATTTTTCCAAAAACGGTAAAAAAAAATCATGTAAGAGGACACATCTCACATATTTGATCTATAACTATTTGCAAATAATAAACCATTGTATAATAATTTTCAACATTTTTAATATCAGTTTTGCAAATTATATAACAATCCAAAAATATTTTAATAAAATAATATTGTCTTGTATAATACAATATATTTTTTCTTTATCTGTAAAACTAATAGTTTTTAACTTATAAAAAGAGTACAGGAGATCTGAGAAATTAAACTTATTACACTAAAATTTCATGAAAATCCTCTAAAGTTATTTTTTTTATTACAGAGGTATATTCCGAAAAAATAGTTTCTGGGATAAAACAGTCTTGAGGAAAATTCAGGAGTCTCTTGGTGGTAAAGTGAGGCTAATGCTTGTAGGATCAGCTCCATTATCAGCAAACGTTCTTACTTTTGCGAGGTCTGCGCTGGGCTGCATAGTGAGTAAATATATAATTAACTAACAACAACTTTCTACATTTGCAAATCTTACTTGTTAGTGAAGAATTATAATACTGTATTATATTTATCAGAAATTAATAAGTATATCTATATCATGGCTGATAATATTTTTACTCTTACTTACAAATAGTCTTGAGTAAGAACGCTAAAATATTGTATATTATCTATTAAAGAGAATATAAGGACTAGATATTAACATGTAAGACTAGATATTACCATTTAACTAAATACTTACTATGATTATTAATCATTTTTATAAATTATTTGTACAATATATCTAGTTTGTTTAAATTATGATTAACTTTTATTCCAGAGCAAATTTTTAAAGCTGAAATCACAACCTTCCGATTTCATATTCTGATTCTGATTTCATATCATTGTAATATAGATAATTAAATATCAATAAGAACTGTAAGATAATAATATTGATAATTATAATAGTAGTCATCCTTTAAAGTATAAATAATTTAATCCTCAACATAATAAATCATACCACATTAGTAAAATAATACTTATAACATCATTCAATATAAATTTATTATTCTTATACTTACACTATAGAGAGAGTAAATACATATCAAATATTTATGTTCAGAAAGAAATAGTCTGTAGTACAGACCTCTTTTTATCAACTTACTAACATCGGCCTTCATAAATAGCTTCATCTCATCGTAACCATCAAATATTTTATTTACGAAAAACCTCGGAATTGGGGCGTTTCAATCTGGAGATCATCAAACTTTGTTTATTTAATTAGGTACTAAAAACTCGTAAATCTCCATTTGCTTTCTACTTGAATCGTATGATAATTTCAGCACACACTCGAGAAAAAAGGTGGCCTTCAAAATTATAGAGCCGTTTGACATGACCTACACCTCCAAAATGTAAAATAACGAGGTTATATAGGTCAAACGGCCTAATATTTTTGTAGGCCACCTTTTTCTCGATTTGGCGATCAAATTTTCTTACGATCTAAGTGGAAGCAAATGGATATTCATGAGTTGTTAGCACCTAATTAAATAGACAAAGTTTGCCGACCTCCAGACCGAAAACGCCCCAATTCCAAGAATTTATTAAATAAAATAATTGTAAGTTACGACGAGATGAAGCAATTCATTAAGTTTCAGACGGATGTTAATAATTTGATAAAAAGTAGTCTGTACCACGGACTAAAAACAAAAGGTAAAGACAAAACGAAAAGAAAAAACCAACAGGACACAACAGTGCTGCCACCTTGAATCTATCATTGTAAACTAGGGGAAAATAGCCAAAGTAAAGTAAAATAAAAAGAATTGCTAAAATAACTATTTACATTATTTTATTATTATTATTAGTAGTATTACTTTCTGGGAATAATATACTAAACAATAATATCCTCTTTAAAGTAATATATATTTTATCATAATCTGGGAGGGGGAGGGAGGGGTGGAAGGAACTCTTTTCACTTTTCAACAGATTTCTAGAGAAAATTAAGCAGAATATCCAAAATTGAATAATATAAATAATATAAAACATCAATAATCTTCAATTTTGTTAACCAAGAATAAATAATATTGATTTATAATGATGTAATTATAGAAAAAATATATTTGAAACAATTGAAAAGAAAAGATAGTATGCTAAAATTCTATTTATTCACCCAAAAAGATGGGATGGGTAAAGAAAGAAAGGAAAAGACCCAAAAAGGTGGGATGGGTAAATAAAGAAAGAAAAAGAGGACATTTAATGAAAAAAAGTGGTAAAACATAAAAGTATGAAACCTTATAGATTCACTGGATCTTAGAATGGGAAGCGCAAAAAGTGAGGAAATCTCATAAGATGGAATTTTAAAATTTGATGAATAAATATATAAAAAATAATTGTAGAATATTGACAGTTGACTGAGTGGTAAGAGAAGTTATTTGAGAAGCATGAACAAATTTAAATAACGGCCAAATAATCATTTTCATTTTATTTAATAATTTGCAGATAGTCGAGGGTTACGGGCAAACAGAATGTAGTGCTCCCATCACCCTCTCAGTACAGGGAGACCACACACCTGAACACGTTGGACCGCCTGTAGCATGCTGCTGCATCAAACTGGTAGATGTCCCAGAAATGGAGTACTATGCTAGCAACAATCAAGGAGAAGTTTGTGTGAAAGGAACCAATGTCTTCCTTGGCTATTATAAAGAATACGACACAACCCTACAGACAGTAGACGAATATGGTTGGCATCACACAGGAGACATAGGCCAATGGTTAGCCGTAAGTACAATAATAAAAACTTTCTTATTTTCAATAATTCTTCAATTTTATAAAGATTATTTTCTTCATTTAAACGATAAATTGATTAAAGAATGATCTATTTACAAAAATCTTGGGATATTTTTAATTTAGTAATTTAATAATAATATAATTATAATTTATATATAATTTATCAATCAAAGCCTAATCTGAGCATAGTTTGGTCAGCCTTGTGACGGACTGAATAGATTTGTCAGTGGAACACCGAAATGTTTCCATGTCCCCCACCACTACGCCAAGTTAGGGTGGCTCTTCCCTTCCTTCCCTATACAATATTTCCTAGGCACATTCCTTTATCAAATTATCAACAGCCGTCTCTCCTCCTATGGCCTATGATCTTCCCCAATTCAAGTCCTCTGTCCGCTCTCCTATCACAAGATCCCGATCTTCTAACCTTTATATCCTTTTTCACAGATCTGCCTTTAACCAAAACTCCTTCTTTGCCCGCTCCTTTAAATATGCACCTTTAAAACACTCCTATTTACAAAACAGTCAGAAATTGACTAACCATGTATTAAGCATCAGTGCCTTCTTTAATAAAATGTTTTTTGTTTATAAATTTTTTTTTCTCATGTGCTTGTATACACTTACTTGTACTTATGAACTTGTATATATATTTCATACCATGTTGGTTCTATTCTACAAGAAGTCAATGTTCTTAAACGTACTTCGTATATTTAATTTCTTACTGTTTTGGTTATGGAGGTTTTAATTTTTAATGATATAATACATAAATCTTTATTTCTTTATTTTTTCATTTTTTTAATTATTGCGACTTGGAGCTCATCTATTAGGGAAATTTATTTTTTATTATTTTCCTTTCTTTTTTTAGCTAAGCAACGATTATTTTGTTTCATTTCATATTTGTATTGTATATATGTCTAAGTATTTTGAAAATAGTTTCATTAGTTTAGCATTGTATACATTGTTAGCTGATTTAAGGTTTTTTATCTATTCAATGCAACAGTTCTTGTGGCCAGAAGTAATTCTTTTTTTCTGTAACGTTCTGTTATTTTTAAGGGACTTCATCCCAGAATAAGTTATTTTTCTATTCCTATTTATATTTGCGTAATGTATTATTATGTGTATATTTGACTGGAAGGGATTTTTAAGTTCATTCTGAGAGGGAAAATCTGATTGACTAAAAGAGAAATTTAAAAAAAATATGGTGGAAATGCTGGTTATTCCTCTCTTTTCTCCTATTTTTCATTGTTTCAAGTTTTAAGCTAAAACTTTCATAATTCAATTATTTCATTGTTCTTCAAACAGATCCTAAAGTAATACATATTTCTCTCATGAACTGTGATGAATACAATATCTTTATAGCAGGAAGTAATAATTCTTTTGTTTTAGAATGGAACATTAAAAATAATTGATAGGAAGAAACACATCTTCAAACTATCTCAGGGTGTATACATAGTTCCAGAAAAAATAGAAAACATCTATATCAAAAGCCAATATGTATACCAAGTGTTTGTCTATGGAGAATCATTAAAAGTAAGTCAAATATTTTAAAATAAGGAAAACTTTAATTGAGTAGAAAAAAATACAGTACAGATATATTGCTACTAATATAATAAAATGTTGGTTAGCATAATTTGAACGACTTATTAAGTCAATAGATTTTTAAAAAAATTATTTAAATCTTTTAAAAAACAATGAATTCTGTTTTAAAAGGTCCTATGTTTTTTTTTTCTTATTCAGATCAATAGATTTTTATAAAAATCTGAATTGTTATCCAATGAAATATTACAAAAATCACAGTCATCCAATTACAAGAAAAGATTGGTTCTTAGGTTTTAATTTACTAAAACTAAGAGACAATGGGTTATGCTTATCACAATGCCTCACATATATAACTACTGCTACGAATACCAACTGCCTACATCTTGCAGAATTAAAAAAAAAATCATTACAACCTTGAAAACTTTGAGCTAAGAGCTTAAGTTTAATAAAAAAGTTTCAGTAAGATTCTATTTCTAAAGAAAAAACTTTTGGTTCAATTATCACTCTGTTCATAATTTAGGTAATTAAAAAGTAAAAAAATGTTATTAACTAATGTAGGAGGATTTTAAAGTTATATTACATCTAATTATATAAATTAATGTTTCAGTCATGCATTGTTGCAATAGTTGTACCAGATGTAGATGTGGTAAAAAGCTGGGCAGTTGAAAACAACATTGAAGGAACATTTTCTGTTCTTTGTGCGCATCCCGAAGTCAAAAAACTGATAATGGATGATATGATAACATGGGGTAAAGAAGCAGGTCTTAAATCATTTGAACTGGTAAGTAATGATAAGTGGTGTTTCTATATAGAACTTAAATAGGTAGACAATTTTCTATATGAGAGTGTAAATCATATAATTCACTTTTAATTTTTTTTATAATCAAGATAACACTGGTTAATATTACTCAGATATGTTTATTTGCCTTCCATTAAAAACTGAATAGTTATTGCAAAAGTCTATTCATTCATCAACTTTACTGCAAAATTACTACATTGACAGAAAATTTAAGGATGAAAAATAAAAATGAAATAAATATTATATAAAAATCAAAACATCATTTTCCCCAATATAACTTTTTTCAAATTATTATTTATATTAATTGGATTTACTCAAGAGATCAGGAAAAAAATTGAGCTTTTAAAAATGGTTTTAATTATTGACAAAAGGAAAACATTATTTATGATAATTTAATCGTAACAGGCAGAACTTCTGATCATAAGTGCCTAAAATAATTAATAAAATCTGCTGTAGATATAATTCATTGGTATAAATCCCTTTTCTAGCTCTCAGGAAATTTCATGAAGGTTCGATTTGATGGATTACAATAATGATCCATAAATTCATAATAAAATTGATTTAAAAATGTAAGTGGAATCGGCACTCAGACAGTGATAAGTGGATCAAAATGAGACAGAATGGATTTTAAATACTTCAAGGTGGGCATCAAGGCCCTGTGTTTTAAGGGCCTAAAATTGTTTTTTTTTTAAAGATAATGTATAGGAAGACGAAACTAATTCTATAGACAGCCTCCTAGATGTCATGGGGTACTTTAACTAAAATATCTCTGTTTATTATAGCCTAAGATAAGTTAAAAAGTAAACTGAAGAAGAAAAGAAACTTTTTGAATTTTGTATTATAATAAAAGTAAACATGTTGTATCATATAATTTAATTTTCTTGGTTCTTAAACTTTTAGTTGCGCGGAGCCTGAATCAAGGTCAGGTCCTGTGTGTACGTGACACTGAAGGTCTAGCGAACCCTCTGTGCGAGGGATTTATTCACTGAATTGCTAACATATTTTTGCACTTTTCACATTAAAATATGCTTTTTTCTATAGCTGACTTATACATTTTTCTTTAATATGATGTTGGCTCATATTTCAATACAGTTAACATTTTTATTAATTTTATAATTTATTAATTGTCTTACATTACTTATACATTATACTGTAACATTTACATTATTTTTTGATATATTCTATTTTTTATTTGGTATATACAGTGTCATTTTATTCTTTATTAGAAATTTTTTAGTTTTTTATTATTAACCAGTTTCTGCCATCACAAAAAACGTTTCATTGTCTGATAAATTTTATTAGATATACTTCAATTAAAAAAACTAAATTATATTTTCGAAATTTTTTTTTTTTTCAACTTTCGCATTCTAAAATACTACCAACTGCTGTTAGTTTTAGAGCTAAACTGTGTTCAAAAAACTAGAGAAAGGTGATATAAGGGTGGAAACAGTTATACGAAGGGCTGAGGTCAGACCCCTAACACTAAACGATACGATACCCGTGCCTAAATAAAAATAATACATCACACGCTATCAAACATGAGGTACCCGGTAGAGAGCTCTTTAACGAGCCGGAGTATAGGTTTTGTTCAACTAAACGATTAAAATCTGAAGCCAATATATTGGGCTCTGCGGGCAAGGGGCATGGTCATCCCAGAGCCATTATATTGGCTTTGCACATCTAAAAGGTTAATATTGCCACACTGTTATGAAGTTCTTATCCAAGTCTGACTTCTATATTCCACTCTTTATAAATAATACAACAAATCCAGAATCTTGCTCTTCTGTACTAACCTATAGGTTTCAGAGAGTACAACACTGGGTTATTATGTTTGTACGAATAGCTTAGGCTTATTTCTTAAGTTAGACTGAAATAATATTTTTAAGTGAGGCAAGTTAAAAAGTTATTACTAAACTGTTACTTCAACATAGTTATTAAAAAAGTATAATGCTTGGTACATTGTGTGTTCAATAGTTTTCTCAAAATTTTTATTGAATTATTTTTATGACTTAAACACGTTTTCCAAATAGTGCTATAGAATTTTAAATAAAATAATTTTATAAAAACTGTAATCACTGTTATATAAATCGTTATAAAATCTTATTTACAGGTAAAGGACATATATCTACATCCTGACCCATTCTCAGTACAGAATGGTTTATTAACACCAACAATGAAGACGAAAAGACCACAGCTGAAGGCATACTTCAAACCACAACTGGAGGACATGTACACAAAGCTTACATAATAGTTTAAAAATAATTTAATCATACTTATTTATGTAAAATATTTATTTGTATTCTATGTATAAAACTATATAAGTGGGAATACTTTTCATAATAAATAATTGTTAGCATTTATTAAGATGGGTAATCTCTTTTTATGTATGAGTAATGTTTAAGTAAATATTATTTCATATATATGTATTTTTTTTTAAATATGCTACCTAATTCCAATCTCTATTAAATATATATACATAAAAAAGGTAAACAGGAATGAAACAAAAATAAAATTATAAAACTCTATAATTTAAATAAAAAATGTTATAAAAAACACTATTAAAACAACATTAGACATTTTAAAACAAACTCTTCATTAGAATCAATGTACAAAACAGTTATATACAAACACATGAACATTCTTTACACAATTATGTACAAACAAATGAACATTCTAATAATAAATAAATACTACAAGGAGGTGCAACCTTCTCAGAAGGCATTAGTCGATAAAATATCTGTGCCTTGTTAGACTAAGGACACAAAAATGACTTAGAAACAATTTCTAGGAAACAAATATCATCTGAATCGCAGATTCGCTCTATCTCTACTCGGTGGAGAATGTGGAGCAATTCTTCTGCTTGGAGGAGCAGACGTCAGTCTTTCCACTTCAGCTGAAAAAATACATCATAAGTATTAAAAATTATAAACAACAAAATTATTAATTGTCTAGAATCTTTGATTGTAAAAAAAAATTATTACTTTTATTAATAAACATTAGCGTTTACTTATTTCCAAATGTCACTACTCAGACAAATATACCATACAAATTATTTTAAGAGATCAACTAGACAAAATATTACTTTTATAACTAAAATATTAAAATTAATTTTATATTAACTATATGAAATACTCACCACTTGATCTGGACAGTGATCTTTTCATGGTATTATGAAGAGTATCTCTTTTTTTATGGTAAGTACCCATTCTTTTCATTGGTAACTTTCTTATTTTAATTGCAGCAATCACAAAAAGAACTGCAGACCTGAAAGATTATTATTATTAAACAACGAGTAGAGAGGAATCAGATAAGAGAAAATCTTTATTTGTAGTAATCGTTTAGATACCTAAATGAAAATTTACGAGAGCTTCGTCGATTATGAGCATGCCATCGAAGTCTATTAAGGGTTTCTGCATGAGCATCTTGATATCCACGGAGGGCAACCATTAAATATCTTTTCTGGAATATCAGTGCCTTCTTATGACTTTCAGCTCGAAGAACCCTATCAAGCAAGTCATCAACTTCCTAAAAAATAAAATAAAAACAGCTAAGATAAATAAAGTACAAAACTATAGAATGTATAAAATGAATATAGAAGATTTAAAAAATAATAATTAATAAATACAGTATAAACATGACTCTAGTCTGAAGGCTGAACCCATCCCCTTCTGAAATCCACGCCAATCTTTCTCATCCATTTAGCTAAATGACAGTAATCCAATTCATATAAAATGAAGCCAAAAAGTAATGACTGCAGATCGAGTGCTGTATTAGTGAATGTTCTTAAGTAATGTCTTACCAAAACTATTGCAAATCTTAAGATACAAATTTATGTTATAAACATTCCAAAAGTAAGGTTTCTTAGGAATGCCTTACTAGAAATTACATATATTTAGCTTCCCTTAAAAACATTTTCTTAATTAAGGTAGTTCATAATTGAATACGTGCATAATAAAAACATAAAAAGTCTGGAAAATGTTATACATTTACAAAGATACTCATACTGTTAGGTATCTTAGACCTTTTAACTTAGAAAAGTGTTTCCAGTTTCAAAACTTCTACCCAAGAAATGTCTTTTTCCATGTCATCTCTGAATAAAAATATTTATTTTAAATATCTTTATCATTTTTATTAGCTTTCATAAATGTATGATTATAAAGATACGGCTAAGAGATTGTAGCGTATTTGGCAGTGATAGACCACGCCTTTAATCCCCATCATATCTCCAAGACGCACAGTTATTTTAAGTTTTTAACTAAAGATGAAACTTTTCTTCTTATTGGAAAAGTGAAATCCCAATCTTATACATGTTAGTTATCACTTAAATTTTATTGCAGTTTTAATTTACATTTTTTTTTTTCCAAGAAAATACTCTACAATTACAGAAATTATTGTAGGTTTTGCTCAGAAGCCTTTCTTAAAAAGCTTTCTTAGGATAATTCATAAATACATGCTGGAGCCACTGATATTTAGAGATTGATGAATTAAAATACTAAAACTAAACATTCCTACTTCTAAATATAGAAATATTCTCTATAATACTTAATGTAATATAATATTTGACATACCTTTTCTATGAGTGGTGTGAAAACATCAGATTCTGGTTGAAGTCTGAGGTTTGGAACTTGTAATTCATTAGATGGTATAGTCAATCTTTCTGTCGGAATGTTTGTCTGTAGCATGAAAAATGTTAAGTTAATTCAGAAACAGATTTCTTGGATCATCTATCATGTTTAGAATCCAAAATAGAGTAGCAGTTCAAAATAACTAAGTTGCTTGGTCTAATTCTTAATTTAAATTTAACAATGTAATAATTAATAATTTAGATTATAAAAGTTTGTATCATTTATTTTATAGATAAATTTGAATCATCTATACAAGCCAAAATTTGATTACAATATTTAATTATTCTGAAAAAAATTATGGACTATCGAATTATCGAGAAAGAAAAAGGAGTCATACAGAATATTTTTTAACACTTTAAGGACCAAGCAATTTAAATCTTTCCCCATGTTTTCTTTATCAAACAGTTAAAAAATAATTTTTAAACATCAGCAATGACTTATTATAATTATAGGGGGAAAAAATCTTACATATCCTCTAATTTCCATGAGCAGGGTTAGGGCAGCTCCTTATATTAAAAAAATATATAATATTATTTTTAAAAATGTACACAAAATATTGGCTGTAGGTTTGAAAAAAAAAAATCAATTATGCCATTCTAAACAGGTAATTTTATTTTTTAACTCTGCATAAATTTCGAGGACAGACACATTGTGTTCCTGTGGGAAAATGATAAAGCAGTTATATGCATTGGCGAATCCACAAGAGGGAAAGAAGAATCCACCAAAATAACAACTGACTGCTCAAAATGTATTTATTACTACCAATACTCATGAATAACTGAATTTACTATTCATTAGGTAGGAAAAATTAAAAAATTGAAACAGCTTATGAGAAATCGATTGCTGTAAATGCGTCAATTAAATGAATTACTATATATCTATATCTCAAACTTTTTGGTTAGGACTACACTATTAGTAATAATAAAAACACTTATTAGATTCCATTATTTTTGCTTCTCAACGTTTCAGCCCTTAGGCCATTTTCAAAGATAGAAGCCTTTAACAAACAAAAACAATCATCACAGTCTAATTACATTTGCTCATTAATCATTTTCATTTTCTATCGATTGAATTGAAATTAATTAAAATTACATGTAAAAAATTTGGTACGGTGCATGCATCACACAACTTTCACTTACCACCCTCTTCTTAGCAGAAATAAGTATTTTCTAACAAAGGAGAAGTGAAAATAAAAATTTATAGACGCTATAATTATTTATATTTCATTGTGGGTATTTTTATTTATATAAGTACCCTCATATATACAAATTTTAATATTTATATTGGTGTAATCTATACAATTTAATATTAAATAATACCACAATAGCATTTATGAAAACCGCATATTTACATTTATATAATACTGTGGGAGTCTGTATTATATTAAGCTCATGTTACATATGGAAGCTTGTTATAATCTTTCGGGTGAGCTCGGGTGCAATCAATTACAACTATTCTCTGTTACGATTTTTTATTTCTCCTTTAGTTAATTATACAATTCTTTCAAATAAAACAATTAAAGGTACTTTAGCGGAAGCTAATATTGAAAATTAGCCATTCAAGCCCTGTTAGAGAACATAAATCAGAATAAAAACTACATTTTATTTAAAATTGCTTAATTTCACACTGATATAATGAATTTAATCAAAATCGTTAGAACCGTTTCCGAGAAAATTGTAAAAATGTGTTTAGTCCATGATATAAAGTGTCACTTCTAGTCAGTCGATTTTGACGAAACAGTTACTGTAACATCCCTACCATATAAAAACCTTAAATATGTAATTTCACTTTTGTACGACATTTCATTTTTGGGCTAGACTGTTAACACACACAGACCATTTTGTGGGACTTGGTTATTTGGACTCAGGGGACCTAAAAACGTGTATTTCCGTTGAAAACTCAGATTCAAAAATTTTCATGTTCGCAATACTTTCCTTTATTATATATTTCATCTATAGGTAAGTGAAAGTAAAAACGGTTACATAAAAATAACCTTATGAGTGGAGGTTTTAATGATCGACTATTATTATTATGACAAGGGCAATTCAGCACATATGAGTTTAATTTTATTTTAAAATAGATATTTAAAGACAAATTAGAAAATGAAAACGATTAATAAGAAAATGTAATTAGGCTGTGATGATTGTTTTTATTTGTTTAAGGTTTCTTCCCTTGAAAATGGCTTAAGGACTAAAACATTCGTGTAAAGGAAAAAAATATCTGGTGTGTCCATTCCACGACTTTCCTACCTATTTCAGAAAGGTTTTTATATCTTTACATATGTTCATAAAGAAACAAAAAACAATTGAATTGATTTGAGTACGATTTATTTGATAAACTAAAGCAATGCAAACCGACTTAAGGTAGATCAGTGTAAAAATTTCAATACTTCCTAATATTGCTGATCAAAAACTTTTTGGCATAGCTTAGTATTGTCAAACAATAATTTCTGTTAAAAGTAGAGGAAATAGTGAAGATTGTGTGATGCAGGGAACAAATTTTCTTATTATCACTTAGTCATCTTTATTCTCTAATATAATCAAATCTCTTTCAAACTACAGGCTAAACTACAGGCGGGAAATTTGACCCGATTGCAATACTTTCCTTACCTAGTATACGTAGGAAAGTAAAAAAAATAGTAGGACTAATGAGATCTAATAAGTGTTATTATTATTATTATTATTAATTAGTGACCTTATCTATGAGCGGCCGATGACAGTTGATTTCTCAAATTCTGTTGTCACCCTGATAGTCTCCCATTAACTACTTCTGGATTTGTTTCTGTTTGAGCGATAAATGTGGTCGTTAAAGTGTTAATTTAAAATTTACTCCCATTTTACAACATAGCTACTCTGAACAGAATTATATTTTACATAAACAAATTTTCATTCATCTAAATAATGATGTATAAATACATACCCTTCTCAGATCGTCAATCAAACTATGCAGCCTATTATTTTCTTCATTGAGCCTTTCGACCGTCTTCTTCAATTCAATACGCTCCTTTATTAATGCATCAAGATTATCATTTACCTCCTGTGAAATATATAATTAAAAAAATCTGAAATAACTTAATCGACAACATATACAATTCTTAATACCCATTACTATACATTTCATTAGTTTAATTTAATATTTAAATTATAATACTGAATAAAATTATACTGAAGACATAAAATTTATCTTTTATTTCTTACAGTCACTACATTCAAACATACTGTACATCTAATTACATTTAGCTGTTGAATTAAGGGTAAATGGACTTGGTCTTTCCACTTTTCGTCTTGTTCTTGCTGCGAGCGAATATAAATTTTGAGATCATTATACTCTTGTTCGAGTTCTCTCTGTAGAAACAGATAAATTACTTATTAGTTATTATTGATGTAGACAATATATATTTTAAAAAAAATGAATACGTACAATGACAGCATAGGCAGCTTCTAATGATTCTTTATTTTTTTGTTCAATGGCTTGGAGGTGTTTCTGTAATCTTGAATCTTCGGCCCCTTTTCTATCTATGACTCCCCTATCAGCATATTCTCTTTTCACAATTTCCTCATTCAATTTTTGTTTTAGGGCTGTATTCTGCAAAGAAATGAAAGTAGTAAAGAAATAAAGCATATATTATAAATTGTTTATTTAAGTCTAAATTTTATTTTTTTCATTACTGTTAAAATCTTATTAATAAATTGGAAACTCTATTTTACAATAAACAAGAAATATTAATTTTAAAACAAAAAAATGTAAATATTAGACATAAAATATTTTTTTTTTTTGTTCTTTTGTGAATGTTATCTGCATTGCTTTATGTCTATTCAAAGATTTTTAACTAATGTATTATTTTCAAATTTCAAGATATCTAAGAAACATTTAAAACTTCCCAGTGGTGATTATTCTCTAGGAAAGCTTATTCAGTCCTGCTTTATTAAAGTTTATAGATTTATGAAGTAAAAGGACCAGTATCTAAAGTCAGTGCTGAGCTCATCGACAAAATCCAGCACATTTCTTTATTCATCAATTCAATCATTGATAATAGCTCAGGGATCCATCAAGTACTAGGATTGATGGATCTGCTGGATGTAACCTCATTATAACGTTATTGTTATTTCCTAATTTATTTCACATTTTATTATTCAGTTTACTTTTTGTCTATATTTATTTTTGTTTTTAAATTCAACAATTCAGGAGGTAAGTATTTCTTTATTTTATTTTTCATGTGATTTGTAACCTTCCTGGAGTGTCAAACCTCCGCTACAATTCAGCAGGTCATTCCAAAACTCAGACCGTACAACTGTATTGAATTCAAACCAATCAGCACTGATTTTAGAAAAATATATAAACAGTGAAATCTAGAAAAACAAAGGAACAAAATCGGTCCATTTATTCAGTAGATAATCATGGCACAGAGACACAGACCGATTGCCAAAAATATACACTTGGACTCTAGATGGCTCTAAAACATTAAGATTTGTTGAAAACAATAACTATAATTATTTTACTTCGTAGTGATACGAAAGTAAAAATTACTTAAGTTAACCCAATTTCCTATTCAAGTTTATCAACTATAGTAAGACATTTTGAAAAATTCCTTATTTTGCCCGCAATTAATTATAAATTATGAAAATAATTGAAAGAATTGATTTGGTGATTGTATGAAAAAATTATGAAAGGTTTGAAAGAGACAAAATATTAAGCTAATCTAATAGGTACCGATTAAAAATTGATTTGGATTATATATAATACATCTTAATCGTAATATATATATGTATAATACAATGAAGTTCATGGGTCTAGAGCGATGTAAATATATAGAAAAAGGTCTTAATCAAATATTCTACTAAACAAAAAACCTGATTTACCTCCTTTTCCAATTGAAATTTATGTTTTTCACTTTTTGCTAAACTATCCCGCAGATAACATATTGCAGTTCGTTCCCTTGCTAGTACTTCCCTCATATCTTGACACGTCCTTTGCTCTTTTTCATATTCCACTTTCATTTTTAAAAATTTATCTCTCTCTTGTAATAAAATTTTCTGTAATTATAAAATAAAATATAGTGAGAGTTTATTAGTTACAATATTAATATTAGTTACAATATTAATTTAGTTACAATATACATAAGCATTTAATAAGTGTTTTAATTACAAATTAAAGTTACTTTATAAAAAAAAAAAAATACAATTAACTACTTAATTCTGTCCCATTAAACATTCTGTTCATTATATCGTATTTATGGGACTAGGGAGACCAGAAAGTAATAATGTTGTTTCTGAGCATGTCATTCTTTGATTGTCATTTGGCAGCTAATTGTGTACATCTATGTCGTGGCAAAGACATTATAAGGTTATAGTGACATCTTTAGTTCCAATTATATATATATATATATATATATATATATATATATCTTTAATTTTTTTCATTTTATTTTTTTGCAATTTTTGGTAATATAGATGGCCAGCCAAATAACAGAGGACATACATATCTGGCATTGCATGCTTTTTGAGTTTCACAAGGGTAGTAACGCAACAGTTGCTACCAAAAACATTAGCCATGTTTATCCAAATGTATTAGACATTCGTAAAGGTGTTTGAAGTTAAGTTCAAATCCAGTAATTTCGAATTTTCCAACTCGTATCGATCAGGAAGAACAACAACATTAGACAATGACGTGTTAAGGATGGAAGTCGAAGAAAATCCGTGTCAGAAAATCAAGGAATTTTTAAACAGTCTTAAACATCCTTGGTAGACCATCCAAGAACATTCACAGCAGATTGGGAAACCACCATATGCATTGCTTCAACGGCACAATACAGAAGTGTTATTTGATCGTTGATCACCAGAGATGAAAAATGGGACCTATATGATAATCCAAAATCCAAAAAGCAGTGGCTCTCTCCAAAAGAATTGCCACACAGTTCTGCTAAGCTACGTTTACACCCAAAAAAGGTTCTTTTGTGTGTTTGATGGAGTATTCCTGGCATTGCTCATTTTGAAAAACCTGGTTCTAACTGTCAAATTGGCTAAAACCTGAACAAAATGTGAATGCAGACCTTTATTGTGAACAATTGGATCATGTAATTCAATCTTTAATTGAAAAGTGCTCAGCGATTGTCAACAGAAAAGATGTTATTCTGTAACACGAAAATGCAAGATTGCACTGCGTAAGACGAATCCTGAAATAAAATTAATGAATTGGGGTGGGAGGTATTGCCTCATTCACCATGCTCACCCGATGTTGCACCATCGGATTTTCATTTGTTTGGATTGTTTCAACACTTTCTAAGTGGTAAAAGATACGCAAATTTTAATGATGTCCAAAATGTCATTTCTATATATTTTACTCAAAACTCAATTGATTTTTATCGATCCTGCATAGAAAATTTGCACACTAAAGGTTGTTGATAATGAGAGTGCTTTCATCAATGAATTAAAATAAAAACTTGTGTTAAATTTATGATTTTAAATTCAATGTAAGAAAGCAACATTACTTTCTGGTCCCCCTAATACATGTTTGAATGTACATTTTTCTGTATATTCAGTTTTGGTAAACAAATCTTTCCTGTTTTTTTAAAGCATCTAGTTTTAAAAGTAAATTAAAAGCATCAATGAAATGAACGCATTACCTTAAGTTCTTTGTGATTTTCATCTTCTGAATCGGAACGATACTGCTCCATGGCACGGATTGAGTTCAGTTGGGCTTCAAGGCTGTTACACTTTTGCCTTGCATCTCGAACCATCTTTTTCAATAACGTCTCATTTTCCATCAAATTTTGAAGCCTTTTTCTCATCGTCTAAAATAAAAAAATATATAAAAATTGTGACCTATAGTATTCACTGGCATTGATTAAAACAAAAGGACTTTTTATGACAACATATATCATAATTTATAACTATGAATTCTAACCTTATTTATTGATACAAAACCATAGCAAGGACATAAAAATGACACAAACCCTTTTATATATCTAAAACAGTTTCACTAATCCCACAATGCTCTGATTTCACACTGAGAAAATTCATCAAAATAAGTAAGCCATTTAATTTAATGATTTTATACAATAAGCCTGCAATATATTCAATATTTATGTTTAACTAAATATATAATTTCAATAAAATTGTAAGGCAGCAATAAATTAAGTCAGTTAGAATAAGGATTCTTAAACTTATGTAATTGAAATGAAAGGTTTACAAAGAATTTTGAGAAAAACCAGGAGAGACAGAGCAAGGAATGAAACAATAAGAGAGGAACTCCTGATACCCTCACTGAAAGCAACTATGGAATGCTAGCTACTTAGAAGGTATGGGCACATGTGTAGAATGGGAGAAAGCAGAGTACCAAGAAAATGCATGGAAGGAAACTACGAGGCAGACCTAGAAGAACATATCTGGAACATATCCAGCGACTAGGTGAGGAAAGAGGGAAAATCCTAGGTCAGAAAAAGGAATTAGTGAGACAGGGATGTATGGTCGAAGCGGCTTGAGGCTCCTACACGCTGAAAAGTACACAAAGAGGATGAAGAAAGAGAAAAAAAGAAAGAAAAAATATGCTATCTGAGGATATCCTCATGAAAAATTTTTTGGTAGGTTCCATACAAACCCTAACCATTTACTTTGTTTTATTAAAATCTTGTTAAACAACAACATACACAAAAAGTGTTGATGTATGAAGAATTTTTAATAAATAAATTATTTGAACAAAAGCAAAAAATTCATCAATGAAAATTCAAGTTCATGCTGCCAGTAAAAAGTATTTTAATTCAGACATCTGTATAGAAGACAAAAATATTTTTACTTTTATTGTCAAGTTGAATACTTTGAAATTTATATTCCGAGAATAAAGTCCCCTTAGAATAATAACAGAGTTCAGAAAATATATACTTCAGTCTGGTATGTGGATATGATACAGATATATATACAAAAAATATTAAGAAAAGATATACATATATAAAAAAATACAGAGAAAAATAAAAAGGCTCTTATCATTAAACTATTCGTGAACAATTTTATTTACATAGCCTAAAAATTCTTATAAGCTGGCAGAAGTTTGAATGTGTAGTAGGTGGTTAGGGGTGGTTCTAAAAAAAAATTCTTATAAGCTGGCAGAAGTTTGAATGTGTAGTAGGTGGTAGCATAGGAGTTGTTTCAAGGAATTTGTGGACATGGTTTGGCATATGGAGATAGCTAAGGAGTTCCAAAAGGAGAGTAGCACGGATGAAGAAGGATTTGCTGAAAGAAGTTGTTTTATGGAAGGTAATATATAGGTCTATATGTTGAGATCTGGTATTAAGAGAGTGGATAGAGGAGCGTAGATTAAGAAGTTCTAGAATTTAAGGAGGATTTTTGGTTCTGTGGACTAGAAAAATGGAAAACATCAAGAAGGAATTACTGTCGAGAAGTAGGAGTGAGCCACTTCAACTCGGTGTATAGGGAGGAAACATGGGTATGCCTGGGAATTCTAAAGATGAATATTATGGCTTCATAACATTCAATATATCAAAATCATTCCAACTAATGAGTGATCATATCGTTGGCACCATGTTAAAGTAACGAATGTGAATCTGCTCAATGTAAACTTTCGATTGAGATTCTGCGTTACTACATGCACATATCAAACAAAGCTATAAATTCATAAAAAAGACATTACTGGTACAGGTCTTCCAGTCGCTGTTAAGATTCAATATTTTGCCACAAGGTAGGCTTTATTGAAATATTATATGATTTTTTGACAGTAAAACTGTAATTTTTTTAAAGGAAGGAGATGGTCCGGGGTTGCGGTAATAAATAGGCTAAATAGAGGTAAAATTATTTTATTGAAAGCCAACGTTTCGACCCGACTTTGCAGGTCTTCATCAGGGCTAGAACGGACAGATACAAAAAGATAGAGAATTGTGGCAATTACATAATATTTAGAAATAATTTATAAACAATGTGAATAAGCTTATTAAAATTATAAACAGTAAGTACAATAAAATATGGACTAAGTAAGCTGAGTAACAAGATCCTAAACTAAAGTAAATAGATGCTAACAATTGTTGTAATGTAATATATAATAAATGAAAATGTGAGTATAATTCTACAAAATCTACAGGAGAAAAATAAAATTAGAGACTTACAGGTGTGTTCATCTAGGAGTTTCACTTAGAACTGGAAAGGCAGCGGTAAGGATTGCAGGTATAAGAGAAGTTAACATGTGTTAACTAAGTAAACTTTGAAAAACCCAGGAATGTACAGTATCTAGGAATTTTTGAAGATATGGATGGATACAATGGAAAAATACTATATCTATGAAATATTAAATTATAAATATATAAATATACATACAAAATAGAGTTGATCATCCTTTTTCTCACTTTGTATTAATTTTACTTATTAACCATGTCTCATTATCTAATATTCAAATGTAATTTTCTTACATATGTACAACCAAATATAATTACAAGTATTAATTTTTTTTTTCCAACTCTATACTTTTAAGTTAGCTCTGCAATGTATGTATGTTAATGAAGTTATTTCTATATTTATATTTTACTTTTGCCAATTTTGGGTTTATTCACATTGTACTCTGATCTAGAATCATGAAATACCTCTAACATCTCTCAACTCTATTTTATATGTATATTTATAATTTAATATTTCATAGATATAGTATTTTTCCATTGTATCCATAATTTTATATTTTATAAGTTTATAATTCTAATAAGCTTATTCACATTGTTTATAAATTATGTCTAAATATTATGTAATTGCCACAATTCTCTATCTTTTTGGATCTTGTCCGTTCTAGTCCTGAAGAAGACCTGCAAAGTTGGGTCGAAACGTTGGCTTTCAATAAAATAGTTTTACCACTTTTTAGCCTATTTATGACCGCAACCCCGGACCATCTCCTTTCTTTATAATGCAACGGTCAACTATTAAATATTCAATGTAATTTTTTAATTTGTTACTTTAACATGGTGCTGACGATATGATAAATGAAACAAACTATTTCAATGAACAAAAAAGGAAATTTAAACAGATTATAAATAATAACAGTAATAAATAACCCTTACTTCAATTAGCGCAATGTCATCCTTTTGAGATTCCCTAGCTTTATTTCTTTCTTCTTCGAGTAAGGTGTTCAATTTTTTCAAGGTTCCTTTCTCTTTGGAAACCATTAGTTCAAGAGTGATAACTTTGTCTTTTTCAGTTTTGAGCTGGTTTCTGAAAAATTTATGTGAATAATAGATAAATCATAGTTAAAATTAGTAAATGGCATTGGTCCATCCAATAACCATTAACCATTTGTTGAATTTCACTCAGTTATAACAGCCAAATTATATGAACAAACAATTATAACATCACAAAGATATTATAAAGTTCAAGAAGAAAATATATTTTTTTTTATTCTATATTATTTGTATGCAATAAAAAATAAGGAAAAATATATAATGATGAAAATAATTACTACATTTAAACTTTAAATAACTCATTAATAATTTAATTAGAAGTAATTAAGAGAGCGTGTCAACAATATACAGCAAAACATCGCAAGTGCTATTTTTAGAAAAATGAAGATTTTGCATCTTTAATCATCATATTCAATCTGCTTGAACTAATTTCGGTTCAGTAGGTATCATCAACAATTCTTTCAGGATTCATTTGTAGTTGCCTAAGCCGTTTCAGTTGATTTTGTTCCAATCCCATTTCTGACTACTTGATATTGTAGATTGATGATTCTTCGACAATTTTGAAGAATGCATCATTTTGGTGACTTAAATGTAGCCACTTTTATCTTCTTTTTAACATCTAGCCTGTTTAGACAATCTTTCTTAATAGCTACAAACCTTCTGCCCCTGCTGTGATTTGTTAAGTCACGTCTAAATCAATAGAAACATTCTACTTCTTTCAGGAATTCTTTGATGTTTAATGAAACAAATAATTCTTGGTTTTTTTTTAAAATAACCCTTATCAGTTTCGTATGGTTTTCAGCCATATTCATCTTCAGTAATTCTTCTTAAAATCTGTACACACTGCACTGAAGATCTATGAATAACTAACAAAACACTTTTTCATTTTCTGTAAAGAAGATTCAATAACTAAAACGAATAATAGTGGACTCAGACTAAAGACTTTTTTGTGACCTGAAAAATGATGTATAAAGCACTTACAAGGTTTTGCAGGTATACTGTCAATATGAGATTTGATTTAATTATAACAAACTTACGATAACGTCCCAATTTTTTCCTCATGGGCTGCAAGCATTCTTCCTAACTTCTCAATTCTAAGTTTCAATTCATTTTTCTCGGCTTCGGAAATTCTGTATTTTTTCTCTTTTTCTCTTAATACCTTTCTTGCCTCTCTAGCTTTCTCCATTTCCAAAAGAAGAGCTTTTTCAAGTGTTCTTAACTTGCTTGCGATAGTTACATACTGACCATTTACGTTACCACATGCCTGTTGGAAATTTAAATAAATTAAATTAAGATCAAATATAACAAACCTTGCAAAGTTATTATTTAATGAAAGTATAATTTACGTGCCCCTGAACTTTCTTCAGAACTTTCAGGGAGGATTGATTCAAGTAGTGAGTTATCGAGTGTAGCTGACAACTTTATTTCTTTCCTCATTTTTTCAGCAAGAGCATCAATACCTAAGAAATTTAATTAACAATTATTATTTAAAAATAAAATAGGATTTATAGAACAATACATAATATTTGTTTATAGAACTAGTAAGATTATATCTAAAGATATAATTTTAAATAAATGCTATCAATGAATATATAAGAGCAGATTGTAGATTTATCATGTATTTTTTATTAATAATAAGGCTTAGCAAATCCGAAGGTTCGATGCCGATACCACCAACCATTGTCCACATTCTTCCATCCACCCGATTCCATCTAAACCCAACCTCGCCAAATCACTTAACACAATCTTCCCACTTTCGCTTTGGTCTACCCCTCGGACGCTTGCCCGTCGTTACAGCGCATGCGCATATTAACATTTTAAGAATTATTTCATTACTAAACCCAGTGCTTTTATATGCCTATTTTATTATTAATTTTGTACTTTTTAAAGACTTTATAGTTGTTAATGTTTTTAATATCAGTGTATTTCAGATTTCAAATATTTTAACATCTGCATATGTTGTCTTTATTTTTAATGACTGACCATTTCTAATCTTTGTAGTATTTTTCTTACAAATCATACAATTAACCATTGTATAGGTCATCTGAAGGATGTGGGTGAAGTATGATTTACTTTATCCTCCTCTCAATACATTTAGGCAGTTTCGGTGACCTTATTTGGATCAAATAAGCAAAAATTCGGTATCTATGATTGTTATAATAGGAAGAAACAAATAGGGATGAAAATATAAAGAAAAACTTTCTTAAATTAAGTTTTATGTAATCTATTGATTAGAGAAGAATGATAGAATACTACAAAATAAAACAAATATTATAAAAATAACTAAGAGGCAACCAATCAATCCTGGAAAAAAAAATGACTAATATTTTTAAAGAAGTTCTAAAATGTGAAGCACAAGAAATATTAGAAGTGTTGGTTAAGAGAAATTTAAAAGTTAGTAATAGATGGCCTCTACCTACTCTTTTAAGTGATACTGAATGAGGGAATGATAAGAAATGTATGGGGATGGAATGAGTACACTATGAATGGGAATCAATTGTGCAGTGAACAGGTTGTTTTGTGAAAAGTGTTAGATGTATAAACAATTGACGAAAAATGTGTAGAACAAAGAAGCCTGGAAAAGTGTTCGGCAGGTGGCAGTAGCTGGAGAGAGACGCTGGGAGAGAGAAGAACAAAGAACACTCGAGGCTGAGACGTGAGGATGAAAGATTGTGACGGTATGAAAGAGGTCCATTCTACTGGAGATTCAACAAAAATAAGGTCACGTTTACTAGCTGTTATAGATCTTTTAAATGGTTCATTATTTACAGTTTGTTAAAATAAATTAGCTTTGTTATTCAGAAGTGGATGTTATTATTTATTTAGTTGTCCTATATGCTTCAAACCACCTGACTATACTTCAAGACAGCTGAGCTATACCAGACAAACCAGGTGAGTCAATTTATTTAAAGTATATTTACTCATTCCAATATTTCATACATATATTTATTATTTCTTGTCACTCAATGTGACAAAAGAATTAGGTTCCCGAATTCCCAAAGGCAGTAAACACCCTCAAAAGTTTATCCAGAGCCGCGGTTTTAAAATTAAAATCCATGGGTATAAAAAAACCAAGACCCTCGCACAAACGGAAGATTATTTACAAGTTAGAAACAGCAACAATGGATGCCGTCACAAGCCATTAGTTCAGAGTAGAAACACTCCCCCCCCCCCCATGCCACTTTCTACTCACTAGACTTTCCAAATCTTGAAAACTATAATTAGGAATATTTTTGCTTTAAAAAAGAAAACCAGTTAGATATTAATACACATGAAAATATGAAATAATTTACCTGGGAAATCAGAAACTGGTTGGATATCTACGACTCCTGATCTACAAAAGGTTAATTGCTGTATTTTTGATCCATGAAGATTAGATACAGGAGGGATTTCAAAAATGTCAGTGCTACAAATTGCCAACTTTTGTCTCTTGGATAATCTCAAAAGTTGTTCCTGCCCATTTTGATTTTTCTCCATCTCTAATTCTAATTTGAGGGATTCAAACTGCTTCTGCATGGTCTGTTTTTCTGAAAGCTCTTGTTTCCATTTTTGCAACACTTCTTGTTTAGAATATTGTAAGTTCTCTATTTCCTTATGCAATTGGCAAATTTCTTTTGAGAAATTAGCAAACACTTCTAACTTTTCTTCCTTTATAGAATGAACAGCATTTTTAAGATCATTTAATTCATCTTGCAAGTGGCCAATAAGAGAATCTTTGGTAGCATAATCCTCACTGCTAATGGTCGACTTCAGTTTGTTAATTTCCTCTAAAATATTATTACGTTCAAGTAGCAAATTTTCATTTGAATTAATCAATTTCACTATTTCCTCCTGTAATGTTGAAATTTCATTTTCAATGAAATCTGCATTATGACTAGAAGAACTGAAATTATTTTCTGGCACGTTTCTTCTTGAAGATAAATCATTCTTCAGGTTTCTAACTGCAATGATATATTGATTTAAACGATCATCAGCTAATTGTAGATTTTTAGAAACTTCACGGTTTTCTTGTTTGAGTGAAGAGATGTTATCTTCAAGATACTGTTTTTCAGCTGTAACAGCGTTTAGAGAGGACCTTAAAGTTTCACAAAGTTCTTTTTCATCGTTGCAATCATTCTTAAAAAGTTGCAGTTCATGTTCAAGTTCTGAGATTTCTTTCTCTTTTGAGAGAAGCTCTTCGTTCAAATGAGCTATATCTTCTTTTAATATTTGATTATTTTCTTTTTCTGCTAGTTCTTTAGCTTCTTTCAACTTCTCTTGTAAATTGAGTGAAATTTCACGTAGGGATTGAACATCTGCAGTAGTCTTGTATATCTCTTCGTCTTTAATTTTCACAGTACTCCTCAGTTTCTTTACTTCTTCCTCTTTCTTAGATAGCCTTTCTGACATGAAATGAAGTTCATTTTCATAATATTTCTTATCTTCGGTAACAGAAGAAACCACTGTCTCAAGTTCCGATTTGGTGTTTATTAAATCTTCCTCAATCGATTTTAGGTACTCTATTTCTTTTTCTAGTGAAAGAATTCTATCACTTTTTTCCTTAACCTCAGATCTCAATTCTTCAAGTAATTCTTCCACGTCCTTAAACAAAAATATATTAGTCGATATCTAATAAAGAAAATATGAAAATAATACATAACAGCGTTCATTCATACCTCATTATCTGTCTCCTCTAAAATGCTGTCATCAGATAAATTAAAACTTTTTAAAGATGCATTAAATTTTTTCTCTTCATTTTCATGTGGGATGGGACTTATGGGACCACCCTGAAATAAAAAAAAAAATCAAATGAGTAAATACATTATTAAAATAAATAATCCTGATTGAAGATGGTTTGTCGGTTAAGTTTGAAAGATTTGTAGATTTCCAGAAATGTATTTTGTTTTATTAACTTGTTCTTTACAGAATCTCAACACAAGGTAGTACACCTTCTATAAAGCATGCAGTATATTCAATTGGCTACTATATTTTTATGGCTGAATAGGTTACAATTTTATTATGTTACTTGTTATAAAAATTGTTAAATATATTTAAGTATTAAATACAAAACTAAATGATATTTACATTTTAAATAATTATTAATAAGAAACTTGGTATTATTAATTGATCAGTAACTTTTCTTTACAACAACAATAATTCATCAAATATAAGCAATATTACTTACAAAGACTTGAAAATTACTGTCAGGATGCAGATCTAGACTTTGCATATTCGGAGCATCTCTGAGTCGCATGTCCTCAGGGAGAGAACTCGAATTTTCAATATCAGCGGCAAAACTAACACGGTAGCCTTTAGAATTACAAGATCCATGTTGATCCTCATCTTCTTTCTGAAAAAAAAAAAGAAAGAATATTAATTAAGAATTAAATTAACTCATTTTTTTTTACAATTTAATAATCAAAATTAAAAAAAAATTGAAATAAATAAAAACTAAATTTCAAATTATAATACACATATCTTTTGATACTGTAATGACCAAGTAATTCTCCATGAATCAAAATATTTTTTAAACATTAGTAATCATTTAATAAAGGTAATTAAAAAAAAAAGTAAGTATATATCTCTGTGGAGCTAAGCCACTATCTTAAATACTAGACTATACCTATTTCCCTCATTTTTAATATCTCTATTAATATAATATGATTATTTTGAAGATATATACGAAAAATTAGTATATAATACAAACATTATATATGTATAATATATAAGACCGGTGGTTTATATTTTACAATTTTCTATTATTTTTAATTTTTTAAAAATACTCTCAACAATGAGAAATCAATTTTCAGGGATTTTAGTGATGATATGAAGGTAAGGTCCAACTCAAGGTGAGAATTATTACCACATAAACTGGAACTGTCATTCAAAAGCTGGCAACTATATTTTTTTAGTCGGGCATTAGAGAGAAATATTTTATTGAAATTAATGCTGCCCTACTGCATAGGGTTGCTTTTTACACAATATACTAATCAATCCAAATGGACATGATTATTACATTACATTATTCTATTATTATATATACATATCTTTTTTTTTTCTTTCTTCCTTTTCATAACACTAGTCCTATAAAGTATCACCAATAAACCATATGAAGCTATTAACATTGGATAACATTTTCTTTAAAAAATTTCAAATGCCAGGCATTCAATACTAAATCGCACATATATATACCAAAGTAATTCCACGAATATAGATAAAAAAATAAGACAAAGCTAAAAAAATTTAAAATTGAATAAATAAATTAAGTCCTCAATTACTATATAAATGATAGTGTATGATCTGCAGGGAGTTCAGAATAATATTCTCGGTTAATATTGCAAGCTTCCTAACATCAACACCTAGGTCCTTGAGGAAGCTCTTTCTTCTTTTTGGAATCGTTCCGCAAGACCCAAACCAAGGGCCTGTCATGGTGAACTCCCTCCGAAGGATTCACAGAATTTCTATTTTAGGAAAGGGACATATTTGTCATATATGTTCTTCTTTTCCCTTTCCACTTCACCCACCTGATCGAGGTCATTGCTCTCAAAACGTACAGTTGTATTCAAGACCAGCGCTGTTCATCCTGTCTTGGGAAACGTTACAATATCCACATATATTGGAGAACCTTCACTCTCTATAAACATACCTCGCAGGTGAATTCCTTTTCCCTAAGGACCCTCACCACCTCGAACTTGACCGAGTTCCGAGTCCGAACTTGAGGGAGTTGTTGGGACATTTCCCCAGTACACGGGCTGGTGTTTCAGACTGCTACATTTCCGACAGAGGGACTTGACTTCCTTCGACTGTCCACTGGCTCCTGGGACTCCACGCAGAGGTGCATAGATGATGTTTAGTTTTAAGGCGTTGGACCATTCTGACCCCAAAAGCATTTGTTTCTGGACTTTCAGTGTTTCTTTAAAATGTCAAACTCCAACGCCTAGCCACCTAGTACAAGTTTGTTTATGGATTTGAGTAGCAATTGGACCAGTTATGGTCATTTAAGCATTAAATGAAAGAATAAATATACCTTAAAATTTGATAAAGATTATAAAATTTAATTATTAAGTTAAGTTTGTATAATAACAAGCTTACCTGACCCTGCAACATGCTAACAGTACGTTGTAACTGATCGATATCTTCATTCTTATCAACCAGTAGGGCATTTACAACATCTAAATTGTAATCTCTTTTGTATTTCTCCAGCATATCCTGAAAAAAAAAAATATATACAATACACCAGGTTCAGCAGTTAATTGTTCTTAATTTTTCTAAGAGATTGTGCTGGAAACAAGGATTAGTTCACTGTCTAACATCTTATATTATTTTGTGGCAATGACAGTATCTTTCAAAACGTCATTAATATTTAAATGATTTCAAGTTAGCTTCTTATTTTTTCTTATGGTAAACATGTCCAGATTCATGCCAAATAAAGAGCAACTGCAGCACATACTGCTTTTCTTGCAATAAAAATCGCAATGAAACCCATATACCCGTATACTTGTAGAAACTTACAACAACAATGTCCTGATGCAAGACACTTGTTTGTGTTTTAAAAGTGGTGATTTTTAATGAAAAAAGGAAGAATGCCAGGTCAACCAAAAACATTACAAGATGACGAATCGCAAGCATTGTTGGATGAATATGATACAGAAACTCAACAAATGGTAGAGGTTAAAAGTTGGTCACCAAACCATTTGTGATCGTTTGGATGCTATTTTAAAACAAAAATTCATGAGTTCTAGATGAAGATCAACACACAGAGGTTCGACTGTAGTTAGAATGACCTGAATATGGTACACTTAGTCAGTTATGAGTGTTTTTGGCCACACTTTCAATGGAAGATTTCCCTTATTCACCTAGTTTGCCTCTATGTGACTTTCTTGTTTCCTGAATGCAATATGGTTATTCATAGAGGGCATTTGGATGACGCATGTGGTTGCTATCAAAACAGAAATGACAAGGTTGCTGAAGAACCTCAAAACAAAGGACTTCTGCGGAACCTTCTAGTAGTGGAAACGGAGATGGAGAAAAGTGCATTGCGTTTCAGGAGGAGTATTTTTAAGGGGATAATATTGGACTCACTGATTAAAAGCATTTTTTTTTTTCATTTTCATAAGAATATTCCAGCATATCTTATAAAGTTAATAAAATTTTAAAAAAATCTTACCTCTAACTTGTTTCTTTCTGCTGTTACAGCAGCTAGTTCCAGCCTTAGAGAATCAACTATTTCGTGATCATAATGGGCTAAATTACTGATTTCGATCTTTTGTTTACTTATAATCTCTTCTGCGTGTGATAATTGAATTTTGTGTTCCATTAACTACAAAAAAAAAAAAAAAATATATGATAGCATGAAAATCACCAACAAAACACTTAATAATAGATGTGGAATAGTTAATTTTGAATAATCGCACCTGATTGTGTGTGCTGTCCAATGCTTGTTCAGCTTTGCTATATTTTTCTTTCAGCTCTTGAATCTGTGAGATAAGATCCTTATTAGCAGAAGTTTGAGCGGTTTCGACCTTATGTCTAAAATCATCTATTTTATTGTTAGCTTCTGCTAAAAGAGTCATCTGTTTTTTCATTTGCTTCTGAAGAACGTCTCGTTCAGCATGCATTTCCTAAAATATAATTGAAAAATAAATTTTTAATTATACATAAAAATACTAATAAAAGGGAGTAAGTAAATAAAAAGTATTAGAGAGCCAGAGCACAATAAAAAAATATATTATGGATTAAATACATATATTGTTTGTTAAAAGATTGTTTGTTAAAAGTATTAGAGGGCCAGGACACAATAAAAAAATATAGTATGGATTAAATACATATATTGTTTGTTAAAAGATCACTGAATTTTAAATTAAAAAAAAAAATAAATTGGTTGAAAAATATGAGAAAATTAAAGATGATAGATAATTGACTGCAAAGACCCATGTCTTAGAAATTGTAGTCAAGTAAATTGGTTTTCAATCAGAGGAGAGGAGACCACCAAAGCCCTTATAGACCCTTTTATACAATTAACTTTCTCAAACAAAATCGCGATTGCAGTTAACATATTTCTTCACTAGGTGTGCCAGGAAGAAACCTTAGTTTGCAACTTTACTTTGAGTGTTGTTTGTTTATAGGAGTTAAAAAATTGAAGAATGAATCACTATTTCTATTAATTTAAATCCACATATGGAATGATCCATAATCAGTCGCGAATATTTAAAGTAAACCTTAAAAGTTACAAAACGTTTTAATAAGCAATGTAATCATTTAGAGATGATCTGTATCTTTTCGATTCAACCAATTTTAAAAATTTGTCATAGTTCCACCCCAACATTTTTATAATAAAAAGAATATAATGTAATGCAGAATCACGCAGACAATAATAAATAGAAAAATGGTGGGATACACAGCATGTTTTTAAGAATATTATTTTTCCTGAACACACGGAATACCGCTAAAGTTTGGTCAATAATTTCCAATATGTTAAATCAATTTGGTCTCACAACCTAATGAAACCTTATTACAAGCTTAAGTTTCTGGACTATAGAGAATTCAGACAAGAAATGGGCTGATAAATTAAATGCGTATCAGGTGTCTCAAGAGGTATATAATATATTTAATTTTTTAAATAACAGAACACAGGAAACCGGTCAGTAATAATTTCATTATTCAAGCTGACGTTTTGACAAAAATATGTGGGATCATGTTCGAGATTAGAATTAAATTAGATATACAAGAGACGTAGACATGAACAAACTAAAATAACAAAAAGTAATGCGAATTTCGATATATGTACTAAAAATAAAATCAACTTTTACTTACCACCCTCTTCTTACCAGAAATAAGTATTTTCAGACAACGGGGAAGTATATGAAAACCGCATATGTATATTTATATAATATTGTCAGAGTTCGTATTATATTAACCTCATGTTATGTATGGAAGCTTCTAATCTTTCAGGTGAGTTCGGGTGCGTTCGTATTCCTTTGGTTCCCCAGTTACAACTATTCTCCGTTACAATATCTTATTTCTCGGTTAGTTAATTATCAAATTCTTTCATATTTTATATTTAACTATCTTTTATATTACAGATTTATGTGAAATGGTCAATTGTTTCAAATAAAAAAAATTTAAGGTACTTTAGAGAAAGCTAATATTTAAAATTAGCCATTTAAGCCCTGTTAGAGAGCATCAATCAGAATAAAAACTACATTTTATTTAAAACTGAAATTTTACATTGATATAAGGAATTTAATCAAAATCGTTAGAGCTATTTTCAAGAAAAATGTAAAAAAGTGTCCATGATATAAAGTGATACTTCTGGTTAGCCGATTTTGATGAAAAAGTTGCTGTAACTTCCTTAGTATATAAACACCTTAAATATGCAATTTCACTTTTGTAGGACTTTTCATTTTTGAGCTAGACTGTTAACACACACACACATAGACCATTTTGGGGACTTGATTATTTGGAACAAGGGGATCTCCATGTATTTCCGTTGAAAACTCAGATTCGAAAATTTCCACGATCGCAATACTTTCCTTTACTATATATTTCATATCTAGGTAAGTGAAAATAAAAATAAATAGAGATAAAATATATAATAAGCTAACCTCCAATTCAACTTGAAGTTTGACGGCAATCAATTGTTGATCCCTCAGTCGCTTTATAAGCATTTCTTCTGCCCTTACATGCCTTAAAAACTTATCTTGCAGTTTAGATACTTCTTCAACAGGGAGGGCCACAGGTGACGGGCACTGTTCTGGTGTGCGACTCCTACTCCACTCTAGTTGTTCTCTATTCAGAATAGAATAATATATCAAGAGATTTCTTTCAAGTTCAAAAAATATATGCCAATAGATTCATAAGAAAAAATGGAATCATGCCTTACCTCACTGATACTTCTTCTGAAGGAGAACTTAGGCTATTGTTTGAATTATTAAGGTAAATAGTTTCTAGTTCTTTGGTTCTATGATCCAAACTCGTCTCTAAATCTCGAAGCTGTAAAATTATTTCATTAGTTTGATAAATTTGATATATTGCAACAATTTAAATTAAATATAGTCTAGAGCAGGAGGTCTCCAACCTACCCATGAACTCATACCCAACCAAAGTTTCTTTGATTACATATTAAATTTTAAAAACTATTCAAAATATAAGAAATTTAGTAAACCTCTCAAACACGAGGTTACAACAACATTTATTGCATGACTTATCCATCTTAAAAGCTCATTCCACAACTAAATTGTCATTTATTTGTTTTATTTTCATCACGCTCGCTTGCATCAAGAACTCCCTGGACGTGGTGGAGGTCTCTTTGAGCCAGGCGAGTCAAAAAGTTTGGAGGGTTTGTCCAGAAGTTTTTAGATCTATAACTATAAAGCTACCTAAAGTTAAAGAAAAATACTGAAAATATTTATGAGAGGAAAAACTTAAAATATTTCACCATTTCCATTCACAACAAATTCTGTTTAGCCAGCACCTTTTGACCCTGAATAAACAGGTTCCAATCTATTCTTTACTATAATGCTTTAACTATCTCAGTAGCAGTGCAAAAGGAAGATACACAATAAAAAAAATGAGCTTCCAAATAACTATGGCTTAAGGTTAAGAGAAGATTAAACTAAGCAAATTAAAATATTAGAATGCAAATATTCAAATTGGAAACTATTGATACTGGTAGAAGAAATGAGTCCAGCAAGTACGCCTTGTGGTCCAATATGGCGACCTAGAGGCTACAAATGTAAACTGAACCAATTGGAAATCAAACGTATAATGTTCCTGGATAGCCTAGATGGGGATGTAGGAAAAATATCTTTATATAAAAAAAATCATTATTTCATTAAAATATATTGATTTTAATAAAATGAAAACCGATAATTTTTTTTCTCCAGAAACAAATAATTAAAAATATGTATAAGAAAAGCAGCACCACTGGTGAGCACACCAATCTGATATTGTATTTAAACACAGTATCTGAGAAATTATTAATCTGTACCATTACAACCCATGAAGGGTCAATGGTTGTGCAAGGAGGTGATTTGACCGAGATCACTCTCAACCGTCATGTTTTTGCTCTTAATCAATTAGTGAATTAAGGATACCCACTTTATAGAGGCTGGGTGTGCCCCAGGGGGTCTCCTGATCTCAGGGTCGCTCCACGGTTAATGAAGCAGAATAAATAATTTTTTTGCCATGAACTGGGATTCGAACCTGGGACCTTAAACATTGGAAGCTTAAGTGCCCTACCACTGAGCTAGCCCCACTGCCAGAGAAATAATGATCTAATTACTTTACTTCTTTATTGGTATTAAGTTTTATTTTTGTGTTCTTTGTTAAAAATTTAAAAAAAAAAAAAAATACCTGAGATTTTAGCTGTCGTACTACCGTTGAATTGAATTGAACCTTAATATTTTCTTCTAACAGTTTTATCTGTTCAAGATAGCCATCTTCGAGACTTTGACTACGCAATGACTCGAGCTATTGAAAAACAAATTAAAATATAACCAATACACAAAGCAGGTAAAAAAAAAAAATTTAATTCTATACAGATGAATTAAAATATTTAATACCTCCTGAGCCATCGCAAACTGCGTTCCATTCTGCTGATCTAATTCTGACTCTAATTCATCGAGCTTTTGTTCCAGGAGGGCTTCTTTTTCACTTTTTGTAGACAACTGAGATTCTAGTTCTGATATAATATCACGTAGAACCCAAATCTAAACAACGCAATTGTAGATTATATAAATAAATATTTGTAATAAAATTTCCTGACATGAAAGCCATAGAAAAATAATAATTAAAGAAAATGAATTATTAAATTTCAACAATTTTAGTTAGAAAACTTTCACAAATCCAAATTATTTTAAAACTCTATTTATTACAAACTACTATTCAATAATGGATAATCTATTTATAACATTATTTACATAAAAAAATCTATTGCTGAATCAGTTATCCCTTGACATCAAGAGGATTAAATAAAACATGAATATAAATGAGAGTAACATGGAAATCACTAAAAGCAACTGCAATTACAATTAAGAAAATCATTCTCAAATATATTTCAAGTTAGTCCTTATTTCATAAATATATTTTTTTTATTTCGAACGTTGTTTTCCAAGCTTTTGGTGATGAATTTATGTTTGATTTGAACAGTTTGCAAATAGCCTTGGAGCCAGGGTTCAAAAATCGACCTCATTGCAGGCGAAGATTTGAATGTAAATTACGAAAGTGTACATTATCCTGAGTAAAAAGAAACTTGTCTGCCGTGTCAGAATCGCTGCTTTAAAAAATTGCAACTGATTTAAATAATATTAGGCCAGTAATTTGAGAAAAGTTTCTATTTTTCTAATTTATGTATATGGATTTAGACATGTAAAAAACAAAACTGATAACATGGGCCACCAAGGGAAAACTTTTTAAAGCCAATAAAGTCATTTTTTTTTTCACCTATAACTCCTGAAATATGCATCAAAGCAAAAAATGTACTTTTCAATAAATTAAAGAACGTCACATTGTGCGTCAAATGAGTACATAAACTTTATAATTTGGTTAAGTGGTAAGGTATAAAACCACGGTCAACCAATGCTGATTTTTTACTAAATTTATCAAAAACTGAGAGAAAGTAATATAAATGGCCCTGTAACATGGAATTGAGTTCCTTAAGAGGAAAAACCCATAAAGTCAAAGTTGTAGAGCATCAAATTTTGTGTCTACTGAGTACTGATATTTTTATCGAATCGTGCTTCATCATTCCTTTATGAAATTCAGTATCTTTCGACACATCGTTTCTCAAAATCCTTCACTGCTGAGATGTGGAAAAGAGGCTTATACTGCATGTAACAGACTCTTAACAAAAATAACTCAATACAGTAATAGACACCCATACTGTTGAAATATTGAAAATCACGTTTACCTTCATTACCAATTTCTAACCATTGGGAGATTACTGATTTGGTTTGGATTAAGTGACATACATTAAATCACTGGACGCAAAATTTGATGCTCTGCAACTTTGATTATATGGGTTTTTCTCTTAAGGAATTCATTTCCAAGATCCAGGGCCATTTAAAGTAATTTCTCAGTTTTTGAAAAATTTGGTAAAAATCATCGTTGGTTGACTGTTGTTTTATACCTTACTACATAACCAAATCATAAAGTTTTTGCACTCAGAATATATTTTTTGCTTTGATTCAACGTTTAGAAGTTATAGGTGAAAAAAATATATATATATCGAAAATAATCCGATATTTTTGGGCTGTAAAAAGTTTTCCCTTGGTGGCCTGTACTAGCAATTTTGTTTTTAAAACCCATATATACGTGTCAAAAAAATAAAAACTTTTCTCACATTTTTGTAATAGATTTCCCGTTTCGATCCTCAAATTACTTGCCTGATATTCTTTAAATTAGCTGCCATTTTTTAAAGCAGCGGTTCTGGAACGGCAGACAAGGTTCTTTTTACTCAGATCACATACACTTTCGTAATTTAAATAAAGGAATATATGTGTCTGTGATTAACCTCTGAAAAGACATCAGAGGTAGAAAAAGGAGGGTTTGTTGGACAAGAACTTTATATGACTCTTATTAGGTTATAAAAATATATAAATATAAAATTATAAGAAAAGTATGGAAAATTTAATGGTTAAAATACAAACGGACATGCTGATTATCATTGGTCGTTAAAGTAGAATAAAAATTATTGTCCTCCTACCTTATCAATGGCTTCTTTAAGCTCTGAGTCTACTGCTGCTTTCTTATTTTCAGATTCTTCCAAACGAATATTACTTTCCTTCAGTTGCTGTTCAAGCTCTTCAACCTATTACAAATTTAAAAGAAAGAAGAAATAAATAATGTCTGTAATTTTGATCAAGTAAACCAATTTAGATTTATGATTTAACATCTATATGAAAGAGACAAGGCTGAGGAAATCAATTGGAGCCCACTATTATAAATTAAAACGGATTCCCATAAACGATGCTCATAAATTCTAAAATATTAATTTACACATAATGTAATCATATTGTCATAGAAAGAAATGTAGATTTATTAAAATACAAATATTGGCTTCAATTAATGCTACAGAATAATATCCTGAAATTTTAAATATTGTTTTTAGGCGTGTTTAATGAAACTTATATTTCTATAAAAAAAAAAATCTGAAAAATTTTTCCGAGAAATAAGAATAGGTCTCACCTCACAAAAAATAAATACAATTTTAAATTCTTTATATTAATTAAAATTATATTCTAAAAAAATCAGTATTAATTAAAACAAAAGAGAGAAAAACGATTAAAATTTAATTAAGTCTTATGCTGAAAATGGAAAAAAATAATTAGTAAAAGCAACAGTGATTAATAGAAAATTCAAACTGTAAACCTTGTTAGAATGTTTTAACTTTCCTCATAGATGTAATAAAATCTTTGGATCAGGTCAAAGTTTGTCGGAGAAAACCGCTAAATGTATAGATAATTCATTCATGCTTTTTAGTACAATTGCAAAACTTGAAACAAAAAATTTATCCTTGTTACTTCATAATTCTAATATTGAATTAAAATTTAATCAAAACTTTATCTGTATGTTATTACGAAAAGTTTTATAATAAATATGAGCAAAATATATCGTTTCAGACATAGAGATAACATATTTAATTGGAATGAAAAAACAAAGCAAAAATTAATAAGAAAATTTCATTAAAGTTTAATCACCCAAATAAAACTTATTAATAAACAAAAGATTTATTAATTACTATCATTCCTCTTATTAATTTTATTTTTATGTCTCACAAAATTTATTATACACTAAAATCAAAAAAGTAAACATTTATATAAATTTAAATAAGAAGAAAATAAGTTCTCTTTAAACATGCTAATGTGATGACATAACATGATAATGCAAAGCACAAAAACATTGACATTCTTATAAAGACAAAATAAATAAAATAAAATTATTTTTTAAAAAATAAAGATTCTAACAAGTTTATAGAATGGTACACCAGTTATTGACAGTAAACTGATGTAATAAACTATTACATCAAAGTTTGTTAAAAATTATTATAAAAATCTTTTTATAATAATAATAATGTTTTTTTTTTTAATATCACAATAACAAAAACATGAAAAGATAACAAAAACTACATGCAAAACAAAGGACTCACGGATAGCGAGATTTTTCCAACTTTCTGCGGTACTGGCTCCAACACCTAGTGTGCGTCATGCAACAAGTCGTTAAATCAAAGTGCATAATAAAGATAGTAAAATATTTAAAAAAAAAAAATCAATAAATAATCACACCATAAAATCAAACTAGCTAGCAGTATCAGATGATCTGTAAACACAGTTTTTCTGGATCATATTAATAAAAAAACATAATGAAGATAATATAAATTATTTAATAAAAATATGCCTCCTTTCTAGATCATATTAATAAAAAAACATAATGAAGATAATATAAATTATTTAATAAAAATATGCCTCCTTTCTGGATCCTAAACTCCTTTCACTAATAATGGGCTTTTATTTAAAAAATATCTGGTGTGTCCACTCACACGACTTTCCTATCTATTTCAGGAAAGTTTTTATATCTTTACATATGTTCATGAAGAAACAAAAATAATTAAAATAGATACATTTTCCTGAAAATTGATCAAACATATGATTTGAGTACGATTTATTTGATAAACTAAAGCAATGTAAACCGGCTGAAGGTAGATCAATGTAAAAATTTCAATACTTCCTAATATCGATGATCAAAAACTTTTGGCCTAGCTTAGTATTGTCAAACAATAATTTCTGTTAAAAGTAGAGGAAATAGTGAAGATTGTGTGATGCAGGCAACAGATTTTCTTACTTTCACTTAGTCATCTTTATTCACTCATTCATCCCTTTCTGACACCAGGATATGAAACCGTATTCTTACATTGGAAATTGATTAGCTGTAACTTCGTTAATAGTTGTCCAAAATGAACGATTTTTATATGGCTTTGTAGGGAATTTCATTATCTTTCAAACGACAGGCTAGTCTATATACAAAAATTGAAAGAACGATGATTAAAACATTACAGGAAAGTTTCATCAAAATAGTTAGAGCCATTTTTATGCTACAGTCTATAGACAAACATGTTTTTCATTAATTGATCCCAAACTATTACGCATGGAGCACCGAATTTCTGTCACAGGCATTAGTAGTCAAAACCCTACAAAATAAAAAAAAGAAGCAACAAAATTGGTTCAGTAGTTCCTGAGAAAATCTTGGCATAGACAGACAGACCAATGGCTAAAAATGTGTTTTTCGGACTCAGGGGGCTCTGAAACGGATAGATCCGTCGAAAGCCGCATGTTGGAAATTTGAACCGATTGCAATACTTTCCTTACTTAGTATAGGTAGGAAAGTAAAAAAAAATGCTGCAAATCAGAAAAATAGACCAAGATATTGAAAACGCATAATTGGTCAGTGATTGGCCTGATGCCTAGGAATACACCACCCTTATATGTATATGGGTATGTATTTAGTAATAAATAAAAATAGCAACAATAAAATATAAAAAATTATTGCAGCATCCATTGTAACTGCCTCACCTTTATATGGCCTCTAATGATGGAAAGCTTTCCCACATATGCTTTATACACTCATTTTTCATAATAATTCATAACTACGTGATGTGTAAATATGAAAACTGTTGCCTAAAGCCGTAATGAAAACTGCTGTACTAAAGCCGTCTATGAACAAATTCCGACTTCATATTCACACTAAAGCTAGGTAATTCCATCCAATAAGGAAATTATTATTCAATAGTAACATAAATCCTCATCAGGAAATAATAATAAAACATAATTTTTCATGGTGTGATTATACAAATAAATGTTTAAAATGCAGAAAAGATAACAGTTAAGAGAATAAACAAGATAAACAAGAAAGTTCTTTAAGTTAGTAAAAAGCTAAGAAAATTTTAAAAGTGGGTTAAAGCAAAATTGAATAAAATATATAATTATACCTTGATTATTAATAGCAAAATGCAATGAGGAAATTTATAAAAAATGTGAGGAAACACTAAGTGCTAAAGTTAATAATGAAGTACAACTAATAAAATTTTTCCAAAATCTGATAAAGAGATCATTGAATCGAGAGTAAAAAAAAAGATATATATGGTGCATTGATTATTTTAACTTGAAAACTTAATTTTCTTCTACTATAATTAGTTCCCTTCAATTTCATTTCTGTTCTGAAGACTAACAATATGACAATAAATAATTTAGAGATACCTAACATTTGAAAAATGTACCTGGATGATTAAATGTTGTATATATTGTAGGTTATATATGAACCTAATTAAACTATAAGAACCCAAATTAAAACAAATTGTGGAAGATTTTGTTCACATTAAATATAAAGCCAATATATTTTAACAATTTTGACATTTTTTTTTAAGTGAAAACTTCTTTAGGCGTGTTTTGCACTTTTTTTTGTGGAGAGTGAATTAGATTGTTTCTCCAGATTTCCGTAGTATTAACGCTCGGGTGAAGTCGGCTAGAGTTGACTATTTGAAATGTTTTTACACATGGATTAAAATATCTCATAAACTAAAAATTGGGCTTGCATACTGTAAGGGAGGAAATTGTTCAGCATTTCATCCTCTCTGTAATAGGATATAATTCAAAATTGTAACGTGATTCCGTGTTAGGGAGACGAAAAGGAAAAATTAGTGTTTAAGACCAAATGATACTGAGTTTTATAGAAGATATGGATTAAACTATCTCAGAAACTAAAAATCAGACCTACATACTGTAAGTGAGGGAAATATTCAGCATTTTATCCTATTTATAATGAGCTGTTATTAATAATTTATATATCTCATCTAATTTTCTAGTCCCATCCTTCGGGTTTGGTGCCATTTTCTCATAATCTAACATATGTATATTACAGGCCATAGGTCACCAAAAAAACACAGTATTTTTTATATATTACATGTATGTTTATTCAACGTTTCGGCTTCAGGAGCCATTTTCAAGAACCTGCAAACATGCACCGCGCCATAAAATTTTTAAAATTTGTCATTACGATATGACTCGTCCTAATTCATTCTTTTATTTCAAAGAATGTCGTTTTCCGTTTCTCTATTTGCAGACGGTATCAAGAAAGTATTGTTCTTCAATAGGGCATTCATACAGGACTGTATGAGTCCTTCTCATACAGATTCTTTGAAATAAAAGAATGAATTAGGACGAGTCATATCGTAATGACAAATTTTAAAAATTTTATGGCGCGGTGCATGTTTGCAGGTTCTTGAAAATGGCTCCTGAAGCCGAAACGTTGAATAAACATAAATGTAATATATAAAAAATACTGTTTTTTTGGTGACCTATGGCCTATAATAGACATATGTTAGATTATATCTCATCTAGTTGATGTTTTCACAAGTTCTATCGTGTGGTTTAGACCACATACTTTTTACCACATACTTAGACCACACACAAAGCACATACTTTTTTTTTTTTTTCTTCCTATCCTTGCCTTATATTAAAATTTCCACCGGGTGCCAGGATTTTTGTACCAGGAGTACCAGGAACTCGTAATATTTTCCCATCTAACTTTGATTTTCAGGTAACATGTGGTGCTGTGCACACACTTTAGCCCACTCGGCCACCCCACCATCCGACTTAATTTTGCATCAATTATCTTTGGCACATTATGAAAATACTATTTAAACCTGGAATATCACTTAGTTATGTTTAATTGAAATTGAACACTATAGATTAATAAAAAAATAAAATTTTATGACTAAACATTATAAAACCGGGCCATTGACAAACAAAAGCATTGCAATTAGCAATATTATTAATTTCTCAGTTGCAACTAAAGAATACAAAAGATATGCAAATAAAAGCCCTCAATAATTACCTCTGTTGTGAATCGTTCTTGAAAACTTAAATTTTTTCCTTTCTCTTTCAACTGTGCTTGTAAACTAATTATTTCTTTGGAATAGTCGTCACGTTCAGTTTCTCTTTCAGCAGCTTGTTCTTCCAAGAATTGTCTTGTTGATTTCAGCTGTTTGTCTGCTGCTTCAATCTGTAAAGAATTAAGAATATTACACCGGTGTACGGTGGACTTTCGGGAGAATTCGAAGCTAAACTTAAACGTATAATGAATTGCTCAATCCGCTTTATCTTCGGGATCTCAAGGGATACGCATATTACCCAGTTGTATACCAAGTTGAAGTGGCTTTCCGTCCTACCTCCGTCAATATTTCCTTGCTATCTTCCTATACCAGGCCATTAGAAGACGGCCACCTGCCTATATTCTACAGATCCTACAATTCAAACGCTCCTTTCAATCCTGTCCCACCAGATCCCGTGCATCCGACGTCTATCCTCCTCCTCACCGAACTGCTGCGTTTGATAAATCCTTTATAATACAAGTTGTCTCCCTCTGGAACTCTATACCTTCAGATATTCGACACACAAAATCGATATCCTCTTTCAAATCTCTCCTCTTCGAACACCTACTCCATTCCCAACCCGATTGATTGCGAAATGCACTTAAAAACCTAAGCTGTAAAAACCTCAAAGTACGCCCAGATACTCTGATTACTTTGTGATTTATCAATACTTTGTTTACTTAATTACTTCCTCTGTATATTCTATATTTACACGTATTTATATCTTTTTATTACTTATAACATTATTGTATTCCTAATAAACCTGTAAATATTAAACTGTATTTTATGGACACACCAAAATATTAATATATATTCTGTATTTGTAACTTGTTCTAAAGGGACACTAGTCCCAGAATAATAAAATTATTTTCATTCATTCATATTCGTTAAGAAGTTTGAAAAATAAGAACTGTGGCATAGGATTTTCATTCTAAATAAATTAACGAATTCAAACTTAGAGGAAAAATCCAAACTTTGACGAGTCCAATCTAACGCATGTTTTCATAAATAATTTAATTTTTATTTTTTATTAAATGTTTCTATACCCTTTTTCTAATGTAATAAACAAAATACAAAGTATCTATACAACATATAAAGTATCGTAATCTTATATATGATTGTAATTACATAAATTGGTTACTAAACTATGCCGATGGCTGATAACGTGTACCGGATTCAAGATTCATAATGTAAAGAACAAATGCAAGTTAATTACGCACAAGGTGCGTATATGGAACAGAAATTCCACAAAACAATAAAAGAAACAACAAAATTGGTCCAATCGTTCAATAGATAATCATGGCATATAAAGATCTGTTGAAAACCAACCGCAAATCAAAATTTGATACAGTTATAATTATTTCTTTACCTATTAGTAGTAAAGTGAAAATTACAATAAAGAAAAGTAAGACTACAAAAAATAGAAAAGGAATATTAGAAATATTTAATAACCTAAAAGATTTTGAGGAGTCAATCTAAATAATGAAATTGACAAATATAGTAAAATGTGTTAATACTTAAAATCAATAATTTATGACAAAATGAATTAGAAATATTATTTTAATAATAACTAGAAAGAATAACTACATATAAAGTTGATATTAATATTTAAGTTAATTGTTTAAGAAAGAGACATGATAATGAAAATTAAATATGAAAAGCTGAAATAGAAGTGAGGAAGAAACAAAAAATTAAAGAAAAAAAAGTTAATAACTCTTAGAAATAAAATAAATGTTAAAAATATTACAATAAATTAAATATATATCCTAAGAAAAATAAATTTAAATATTAAAAATTGAAAATCGAGTTGGGTGTTTTTGGAATTCTATGTCTCGTATGAATTCATCAATTTCTATAATGAATTACTCAAATACAAATGCAAAATTTAACAAAAAAATGTTTTTTAAATGAAAATTTTATTTATTTGGAAAAATAAAGATTTTATTTAAAGAATTTATATTAAAAAAATTGAATGAAATTTTTACCTGCTGTTGTAAATCAACTTTTTCTTTTTGCAAATCCTGAATAAGATTATCTCCCAACTTGGCCAAATATTCCAAAACTTTGACTGCCTCTTGAGGAATATTTTGAATTCCATTCAAAAGTTGTTGGGCTGAGGAAAAAAAAAAAAAAATTTAAATTTTATTTTAGAGAAAAATAAAACATTTGAGATAATTTGTCTAAAGCTATATAGAAAGATTTATCTTTCTTTAACTACCCTTATGATTTCAACATTTCTTTTTGCATTAGATAGCTCGTTAATTGAGTGATTTTTTTAATAAAAAAAATCGATTCATTTTATTCGAATTAATTTATTCTATATAAAAACTTAAGAAACATAATTCATAAAAATAATAATACCTCTATCCTGAAGATATGTGAAGCTATTTTCTTTCTTTAGTTCATCAGAAAATTGATCCCTCAATTCTAAAGAATCATTCTAAAATAAAAAAAATAAGTAAATGAAAATAAAACTAATTTGAGTGCTTCTAATTCACCAGGTGTGTAAATATGAAATCAGAATTTTAGAATAGAAAATAAACATTTGTTGCATTAAAATGTTAAAAAATAATTTATTCGAAATATTGTCTATCGCTAGCTATATATTATCCCATCTCTCTGGCAATTTATGATTGCCATTCAAGAAAACCTTTCATAAAAAGTGAAACACTACTTGCACTAATATTTCCTAATTGAACGATTCGACTGTTTCTTTCACTGATTTTGCTGTGGTGATGGTGCATTACCATGAAGGAAAATCATTTTGTCTTTTTTGATAATCTAGTCGTTTTTCATACTTTTTCAGTTTTCTTCATTACTCAAGTCAAAATCACCACTTTTTTCAAGCAGTGATTTAACAAGAGCATGCTCACTGTAAGTCTCAACAAGCATTTGATGTGATTATGTGGCTCTGAATGATTCTGATCTCTTTAAATGGTAACATAAAACCCATAATATCTGCAAATCGTAGCCTGCAGGCATAAAACCCAACATGTTCAACACTATTAAAACGATACTGTTATATGAAACTTGTTTTGTTATGAATTGAAAATCTATGACAGCTGTCAAAGATACAAAATGGCATTTAAAAGTAACGATGGTAATAACTAATCTATGGATAAATTTCATTTTCATAAGTACACACCAGGTATTTGATATAAGGTTAAAAATGTAAATTATAAACATATGTTCATACCTGTTGTCCATATAAACGCTGTTTGAGCTCAGAAACCTCATGCAATAATTCCTCATTCTCTTTCCTCAAATTTTCTATCTGCTTGTTCAGATTGGCTGGAGGAGGTTGAAGAGCAGTGAGGCCTAGAATTGACGCAGCTTCAGCTTTCAATTTGGACAAACAAGAATCAGTGTGAAGCCGAATGAACATAGAAACATCTTGACTTGAATCTAAATCCAATACGCTCAAGTCTGGTGCAAAGTGCACTTTTTTTAAATCAGGAGTATTTTCAAGAGTTTCGTATTGGCTGTTGGATTTCTTGGGTGTATCCATGTACAGTTTTAGAAGCTCCTCGACAACTGTTTTATTCAATTCATCCTCACAAGTATTCAAATACAAGACAAGTTGATTCACAGCTGATTTAAGTGTAGCAGTCATTTCCTTAAGATCATCCCTAAAGAAAATAATTTTTTCAAGAAAATGAATTTATAAAAATGTATTGCTATTATAAATTAAGTTATGATGTTATCTAATAAAAAAAAATAAAATAAAACAGACTACTTAAAAAATAAATAGTTATCATCATAAATATAATTAATCAAAATTATAATCACAGTTTTATCTCTCACAATATCACTTACATGATTTTCCTACTATTATTATAAATTTTTAATTTTACTGTTTATAAGTAAATGAATGATTCAAAATGTAGTAGAAACAAAACAATCAAAACTTTAATTGAAATTATGTAAAATTAAATCTCATAAAACTAATTAATCAGCTGATCATCATAAAAATCAGCTGAAAAAAAAGAAATAACAAGAAATAAGAAGTTTTCAAAATAGTTGATAAGTAATATATGCAGTTAAAATTAATGAATTATTTAACAAGATAATAAATTCCATGTTTAATTACCGCTCTTTGATAATAATATCTATGTCATCTTTTTCAGGTACATCAATATTTTTCAAAGATTCTTTTTCTTTATATTGATTTTTTACATATTCTAAATCTTTGTTGTTCTTTTCCTTTTCTTCAACCAACTTTTTTTCAAAATCTTTGATGTTCTTTTCCTTTTCTTCAACCAACTTTTTTTCAAACACTTGTTGAAGAATATTTTTTATCTGAACTATTTCTATCGGCCAGTCGTGTTCATTAAATTCGCCTCTCATTAACTTTTCCTAAAAATATACAATATTCAATAGAAATACTCTAGGAATATACAATCTGCTAGACAATTATAGTTAAGTAAATAAAATATACTTTGCAAAATATAATCAAATTTCTTGAACGTATCCCTTAATTAAAAAAAAAAATTATTAATTCTAGCTTTGGCTTGCCACCATCAGTCCAGAAGTATTCTGACATCTGACGCAACTCAGTTTGTTTGGATCTATAAATAACTCTCATAGTTCAATATACATAATATTTTATTTATTAAAACTTTCATTGATCACATGAATATCAATTAAATTATGTTTTATCATGATATGATGTTGATATGATGTTGACTGCTGAATAGCTTAATTCAAAGTAATATATTTTTTTGTTAATGTGTTTGAATACCACATCTCGAAAGATTGTTAATTCAATTATTGGGAGAACGCGTTTAATTATTTATTTTATATATATATATATATATATGCTTTATTTTTTTATATTTTCACCAAAATAATTAAATACAGAAAAAGTCAACCCTGGACATTTATTGTATTCACCCACGATAAAGTAAAATATCTAGGAAGCTTTAATAAAAGAAGTTGGATGTTTCTTTCATGCTACTTATAGGACAAGCAGATATCAGTGTAACTTCTCTATTTTAATACATCCCTTATTTTGTAGTTTATAAAACTTTAAAATCACTAAAACGTACCACCAATTGAGTGTGTTTGAAATGTTTTTGCTCTTCCAGGTGTGCATAAAATGTTCTCATTGCTTCCAATTCTATATGTTGTTTTTCCTTCTCTTTTTCAAGTTTTTTTTCATAAAGCTCTTGGAATAAGGTCTTCATTTTTATTATTTCAGGAGCTATATTCAATCCTTCTGATTCACCATTAACAAGTTTTTCCTATGCATTAAAAAAATATATCATAATATAAACATGAAAACTATTATCAATAAATTTAATGACTAATAAATGAAACCAAACTAAAAATGTTGCAAATGACTAAATAATGGTTTATTATTTTCAAATATTAGTTTGTTGCCCCTTAAGACTTGTTTACCATTTTGGACAAAAGTTTAATATAAAAATTGTTCACTAATAATGGCCTGATTATAATCTTATTTTTTTTTTAAGTTTAGTTTAATTAATTTTTCAAATGATTATCTGAAATGATCCGGATTATGAATAGTTTTCAGGTTATAAAAAAATTGAACAAATTTTAAACCAGATTAAATGGGATCATGTGTTGAATACTTTAAAACCAGAGGGTACAAAGTTCAAAACGCAATATCTCTGCTGATACCAGTCTAATTTCCAATTAAAAAACTAACAAAACATAAATATTCCTTATTTAAAATAAAAACATAAAAACTGTTAAAATATACACATGAATATTTGAAAAAATCTAAAAAAGATCATTCAGAAAATTTCAATAATAATAACAAAAAACAAACAAAGAAAAATAATTATTTGAGATCAATTTTAAATTGAATTATATTATACCTCAAACTTAAGCAATTTCTCCCCTGAAAATGCCCAAATATCCAATTGAAACTAGGTGCAAATAAATTGAACAGGCAGTAATTTGAAATGGTTCAAAGGGAGACAAAAACATAGACAATTTTTTAAGCACTCCACTCCATTAATTAACTGACAAAATTAACATTTGTGAAGATTTCCGTAAGAGGAAGATAAAATAATGTATACAAATCAATTGAAAATTAAAACTATTTCATTAAAACGATACTTTTGAATTTCTTTTATCATATTTATAATGACTAAAATCATTATTTAAAACACAAGTAAAATAGCAATATACTCACCAATAAATTATAATCTTCGAATGCTTCTAGTTTGATGTAAAGTTTATCCTGATCATTAAACTTATTTAATTGTTCAGAAAATGATAAAGAATAAGAATTCATCTTGTTCTGTAACTTGAACAAGTTTGCTTCCTTATCTTTCAGTTTGAACATTATCAAATTAAGTCTTTTCTCCATAAAATTCAAAAGCTCCTTCATTTGCAAAGCAATTTTTCCCTGCACATCCGATTTTTTCAAAGCATCATACATAATTTCAATGGTTATCTAAAAAATAAATAACTATCATTAGACATTTATTAATCTATTTTTCTTGGATGTTCAAACTATTTTTTTATTGCATATATTTATAAAATGCTGAAAATTATTTGTTACAATGATTTATTATTTCCTAACAGTTATATGTAATATATAACACTACTTTTCTTATCACATAGCGTAAAATAAACAAAAGGTGATGCCTGATACAGACCTAAATGATTTTTTTTTTTTTTTTTCACTATTAGTGATTTGTCAGGAAATACAGACAATATCGATTGCTTCAGGTCATGTAATACTTTCAAAAAATAAAAACAAAGGATATCAACTTAGAAGCAGAACGTGTAGAAAATATTTTTAACATATCATTACACCAAATCATCAGATTTTAATGATTTTTTTTTTAATTTTGTAAAATTTTAAAGGACTATATAAATCAATCACAAAAAAGTGTTAATTTCTTGAGTTATTCAAAAATCTAATTTTATGTACCATCCCTCATAACTTTTTTCCAGTTTCTTTTCTATGAGGTATGTTAAATAGAAAAATTTAAAGTGTTTTGAAGAAGTAGACTTTGACCAAGTTTCATTAAAATCACTGAATTAGTTTAGGTGCAACAGTCTATAGTTACACAGGTTTTTCAGTCACCATGTTGAAAGGAAATGGCGGATGGTAATGCTGAGTTCTGAGAATCATCCTAGGGTGCCCTTTGTCATTGGTACAGAATCTCAAAACAATATAATAGTGTCATAGCAAAGCCATGGAAGGCAGAAGCGGACAAATTTTTTTAATTCGATTTTCAGATTCTACATATCTTAAAACCTCAAACTTTGAGGGACTTAACTTTTTTTTTCTTGGTCAAATTCCAATTGATGCTAATTCTAAGATTGATTATCGAAAATCATAAAACAAAATTAAATCATAAATGAAAAGCGGTTATTATTATATTAACAAGGTTAAAACAGCAAAACGTTTTTATAATGATTTTCTGGGTGTAGCACTCTTTTTCTTACATATAAACAAACTAATGCGATTATTATTAATATTATAAACTTTTTCACTGAAATTTTGAACCAATTAAATACCTCTACACTAATTTATTTATTCATTGACTAATTCACTAACTCATTGACAAAATCACTAATCCTCATAACAATGGAGGGTTATGGAAACTTACTACTATAAGCTATTCTATAATAAGAAAATTTATAATAAATCATTTAAGAGATTGCTTACTTTATTTATGGTATCCTGTGATAAAGAATTTCCCATCACGTCAACAATTTGTTCCCAAGCTTCATCTCTTTCAAACAAAGCTCTTTTCAATTCTTCTTTATGATCACACTTTTCTTCAAAGTCTTCAGAATAATCAGCGGAGGCCAACATCCGTGATGATATTTCTCTTTTTATATCTTCTAATTCAATATTACAATCCCGCATTACGTCTTCCTTAATACATCGGACTGTTATATCTAGTTCGTTATTGTAGACAAAAGATGATAACTTCTCTTGTAACTCTTCAATTTTTTTAGAGTATTTCTTTTCCAAATCCTTTTTCATTTCTTTAACATTTTCAGACCATTTATAATTTAATTCTTCAATCAATTTGTACTCTTCGGTTGTCAATTTGTCAAGGGTCACATTTTCCAATTCCATGTCTGAAAACCTGTAGAAAAAAAAATTCATAGAAAAAATAAGTAACAAAAAGAATTCAGCAAAATGCATTAAATTACTATTGTTACTTTATAATTTATAAGAGTAAGAATTATAACAAAACTATGCCTGTAAAATATTAAAATGATCATAAAAGAAAAAGCAATAAAAATATTTTTTTTAAATAATAAATTAAAATAAAAAGTTATGTTGGATTGCTTTTCAGGATAATATAATTAAAATAACTTTATTTGAAAAATAAATAAAATAATATAGAAACACCAAATAGAATTTTAAGTTTTTTAGTTTCAAAATTATCATCATAAAATACGATACTACCAAAAAATACAATTGAAAAATCATATCGCTCCTGTTAGTGAAAAAGGTCATATGTAAAAATTGACTTTTTTAAATAAAAGATGAAGAGAAGAGATGCTGCTAGAAGACACTTCAGACACACACGTAATCCAGAAGATTACATCTCTTACAAGATTCCCCGAAACCTTACCCAATTTACCTTACGGTATAATTCTTCCATATTTCCCTATCACAAGCATCAGATTATAAGTGCAAATGGAAAATCTTGAAAAATCTCTCCGTAGTAAATTCAAAAACCTTTATTTCCTATCCTGTTTCTCCTGATCAACTGAATTCCTACTTTACCAATCCTATTTCCTCCTATACCCCTCTCTTCATCATACTACTTTCCAAAAACTTCCTTAGACCCTAAAAATTTCTATTTTACTTATATCATACCAGAGGACCTACTGTCCTCTGTACTTAAATCCAGAATGAATGACTACGGTCCAGATCTAATTCCTGTGAAATTAATCAAATTATGTCTCCCAGTCGTCTTTCCTATCCTATTACATATTTACAACTTTTCCCTTCAAAATGCCTTTTTCCCATCAGCTTCGTTCCATCCAAAGCTTCCGATTTCAGACCCATCTCCATTCTCTCCGACCTTTTTCGAAGCCTCTCGAAAGACTAGTCCATTCTCCGTTAAATAATTTCCTTGAGCAAAATACTTTTCTCAATTCCCTACAGTCTGGTTTCCAATCCCAGTACTCCACCCAATCTGCTTTAGTGAAAATCAACCAAGATCTTCAATTTTCCATAGATCAACAGAAAATCTCTATCTTAGTCCTCTTTGATTTTTCAAAAGACTTCGATTCCGTTAATCATAAAATCCTTCTTTCCAAACTACAAAACCTTTCCATATCAAATAGCGACCTAAAGTGGTTCCATTCCATCTTGTATTACAGATCCCAAACAGTCATCATAAAACTTCTTCCTACCACCTCTTACTAGCTCGTGGTGTCCCGCAGGGATCCTCGCTCTCTCCAACTCTTTTATCCATCTACATCAACGACCTTCCTAATTACATCAATCATTCACAATACCACATTTATCACTTGGACAGCAAGCAATGATTTAAAGTTGAACTTTGAGAAGACTAAAGCCATTCCCATTGGTTCCACGCACCTTATCAATTCCATCCCTTATTATCTCCTACTCTACCTCAATGGACTACCTATTCATTTACATAATTCTGTAAGAAATCTTGGAGTAATTTTCGAATCAATACTTCTCCTCAATACCTCTCCTGGAACAATCATATTTCTTAGATTATCCGAAAATCAATTGCTACCTCAAAACAGTTCTTAAGATTCTGTTATTCTTTGACCCTAAAGACCCGTCAGCACCTAGTTTCCTCTTTCATTTTCCCTTCTATTATAGCTGCCTTGTATACGGTGGACTGTCTGGTGGGCTCGAGATCAGATTGAAGATAATTGTTTCATTAGATTCACCTTTGGAGCCCCCAGGCACTCCCAAGTATCCAGCTGGAACACTGAGCTGAAGTGGCTCTATCCAGCTTCCCGACGGCAATATTTCCTAGGTGTTCTCCTTCTCGGAATCTTTGTAACAAAAAAACCGTCTTACCTTCTTCATATGTTTACTCCTTGCTCCTCTGTCCATTCTTTCAACACAAACCTGTTTATTCCTTTTCATAGAACTGTTTTCTTTAAAAAATCTTTTCTCATATGTGCTACTGTGTTTTGAAATTCCCTACCTACTTCCGTACACAAATCCTCAGCCTTAACCTCATTTAAACACCATTTATTTATCCATTTCCTCAGCAATCAATCTTCCGAATATATGTAAGAGTAATATTTTCATGTTTTTTAGAGCTGTCACCTCATTTTACTTTCTTCTTACAGACACCTATATATTAGCTATTGCCATTGTGTAAACACACTCTTATACATCTACGTATAATTTAAATGTTAACTTGTGCCTTTTGTATTTTTTTATATAAAGACTCAATGGCAATGTAGTTTAATTAACAACAAGAAGATTAACTTATATGCCAGACAAATATCACTAAATTGTTCACTATAATTATTATTAGGGGGCTGAATGCCCCAGAATAAAATTTACTTTTTATTTAATTTAATTCCATTCCATTATATTTCATTTCAAGATAAAAAACTGATCATTATTTCATGATTTATTAGTATAAATTAATATTTTATTTCTCTCTGCTATTTTCCATCATATTAAAATTACTTATTGCAGTTATAGACTACCAAAATGTCACCTTCAGCATAAATAGAATAAACACGTAAAATTGTTACACACGACCTTTTGCACTAAAATCAGCGGTAAATCAAATTCGAACACTTCAGGAAAAATTTTACAATTACAGAAATTTAAATACACAGATAAACTGTAATATATATATATATATATATATATATATATATATATATATATGTATATATATATATATATATTTATGAACAATAACAAAATTGGTTAAAAAAAAATCAATAAATCATGAAAAATACAAAAGAAATTCTATTCAATTTTCTTGTTCTTGGTATCATAAGTGGACTTTTATTTAAGAACAGTATTTAGAACCACAGAATACAATTAAAACAAGAAAATAGTCAGTTAGGAACACAAGTCTACATACACTCAAACAATTCATTAAATTAATTTTTTTTTTTTTTCAACTAACAAAACCTTTTTATTCTGACATAGTTATGGTAGAGAGAATATCAGATGGAAAAATACCCTACAATGTTTATTTTATAGCTGAGAAACAAACAAACACAACTCATCCTATAACAAAAGTAAACATTCACTTCTAAACATAGAATTAAATAAGAATTAGTGTAATGTTAAAGTAAGGTTAGGCTAGACTTATTCATACTGTTAGTGAGAGTGAAAATTAACAAGATTGAAAAAAAAAATAAAAGTCTATGAAGTCATTTATTAATTTAAATGGATTTTTAAGTCCTTTTATTGTTCAAACACATTATAACTTAACTAAAAGTTTATCAAATAAACCAAGGAGCAGTTGTTTATAAAAACTTTCAGATTTCGCCATAAGCAGAATTTATGAAAAAAAATTTTATCTGGCCCACAAAAAACGGCTGAAACATATTGTTTCCCAAACAGAAATTAATGTGTACACAATAACAGTGGGAAGAATATTGCGACAAAAATAAAAATCAGGTGCGGTGCGCGCATCACACAACTTTCACTTACCACCCTCTTTTTAGCAGAAATAAGTAAGTATTTTTTAGACAAAGGGCAAGTGAAAGTAAAACTTACAAATGCTATATTGATTTCGAATTCATTGTGGGTAATTTTATTTTTATAAGTACCCTTATATAATACAAATTTTCATATTAATATCGCTGTAATCTATAGAATTTAATATTTAATAATGCCATCAATATCCCCTATGAAAACCACATATGTATATTTACATAATATTGTCGGAGTCCTTATTATATTAAGCCCATGTTACGTATGGAAGCGTGTTCTAATCTTTCGGGAGAGCTGGGTGCGCTCGTATTCTTTTGGTTCTTCAATTACAACTATTCTCCGTTACGATCTCTTATTTCTCCTTTAGTTAATCATCAAATTCTTTCATATTTTATATTTAACTATCTTTTATATTAGAGATTAATGTGAAATGGTCAATTGTTTAAAAAAAAAAAAATTAAAGGTACTTTAGTGGAAGCTAATATTGAAAATTAGCCATTTAAGCCCTGTTAGAGTATATCAATCAGAATAAAAACTACATTTTATTTAAAACTGCTCAACTTTACACTGATATGATGAATTTAATCAAAATCGTTAAAGCCGTTTTCGAGAAAATAGCAAAAAAAGTGTGTAGTCCATTACATAAAGTGCCACTTCGAGTTTGCCAATTTTGATGAAAAAGTTGCTGTAACATCCCTAGCAAATAAAAACCATCAGACCATTTTGCGGGACTTGGTTATTTGGATTCAGGGGATCTCAAGAGGTGTATTTCTGTTGAAAATTGAGATTTTAAAATTTTCACAATCGCAATACTTTCCCTTATTATATATTTCATTCATAGGTAAGTGAAAGTAGAAACAAAAACATTACAAGAACAATGAAGGAAATAGGTGGGTATGTTATGGTTTGTGGAAGTAGCTTGGATGGGTAATTAAGACTTCATAGATAAAACTATAGAAAGATTTGTCTCTTTGTTTGGTTGTTTTATAAAGATGTTCTAAAAATAAATTAAAAAATATCTGTTGAAAAGTTAGGTTAGAAAAATGACTGAACTTTTAACAACAGGTTGATATATAATCTACCCTTATAGTTTCACAACCTGTAACATTTAATTCAAACCCTAATAAGTATTTTTGGATTGAGATTAAGCAGGGTAATTCAAAATATAAAATTCACGATAAAAATTATTTGAAAAATGCACATATTTTGAATAATAGTATGTTTCCAGAATAGAAGGTTACAGTTTGGAATACTGCTATAGTTTGATCAAATTTTTTTTCTAATTACAGCTGTTGTTCCTAACTGTGTTTGGCATCAAATTTATTCAATGTCTTTTGCATACATCCTAACAAAAATATGATATATAAATGACTTACATGTTTGAATCCCCGGCACCACCTCTGTCAAAACCTATTGGATCCAACATATCATCGGAACAAGAGCTGCTCAGAGATAACATTCTGCTATGAAGGCTGTTCACATCCTCTGAATATCTGAATAATTTAAAAATAGATTAGCATGCATTATGTTATATAATATAAAAACATTATAATTTAGTCTCTTTTACTTACTGTTTTCCTAAACTTGCGCACTTTTCTTCAAAATAGGTACGCAAGTCTTCCAACTCTTTCTTATGCCTTTCTTCTAAGTCGTTTTTAAGTTTTATTAGAGCATTGGGATCACAACCGCTCTCAAAGCATTGTTTTATTTCAGTCAAAAGAATTTGGATTTTATCTTGTTCGCTTCTGTGATCAGCATTTAACAGCTCGATTGCGTTTCTTTAAAAAGTAATGAGATTGAAGCACAAAAAAATAAAATAAAATAAAAATAAGAAAAACATTCACAACCATATTAAGAAGTAGTTTTTTCTATTATGATTCACTAAAAGTAGTAAAGTAAACATTAACTATAAAAGGAATCTATCCTTCAGATAATAGAGATAAGGCAAAGACTTATCTTATCTTAAGATCTAACTCAAATGTTTTGAGAAAAACTGTAACAAAGGTTTGTGCATTCCGTTTTTCATTCTTGAAAATCTTCATCTTTAATAAATACCATTCATTCAAAAAAGTCATCACTGGATATAAATAATTTCTATAAAATATTCTTAAATTAGTGTTTTTAAGTACTTCAAATTTCTCACTTGTGCAATTTTTCTAACTCTTCCTTTTCTTTTTTAGTTCTGATTAATTCTTCTTGAAGCAGCAACAAATCATTATTTTTTTGATGATTAGTCTTCATATGCTCAAAAATTTGAATGGTCTCCTTTTTGTATAATGCCATAAAGTCGCCTAAATTTCTTATAATATTACTGTGCTCCATTTCTAGAGAATTCAAGAAATCTACAGGGAACAAAATAACATTTTTATAGAAAATATGACAAAAAAAAAATAAAATAATGGATTATATTACATCTTAAAGGAAATACAAAAATTGGATTAATAAATTTAATTAATCAGAAAGATAACTAAATTTTATTGTATTATCACAAATATAAGAAACATAACAAAACCTATATAAAAATTGACAATTAAAATGATGTAATTTGTATTTTTTTTTTAAAACATTTTATTGAGAAATATTACAATCTGTGACAGTTAAGGACACTTATAATAGAGTTCAGAGAGTACATTTGTACCGTATATACAGAAATATAAATAAATAAAGTAATAACAAAAGAATAAGAAAAAAGAACAAAAGAGAAAAGAAAAAAAAAATATATATATACATATAAGTAAGAAAAATAGGAATAAAAGTAAAACAAACATTTTAGATACAAACATACCTATATACACTATTTACAATTAGCCAGGTGATCTCCGGACCAATCTTGTCCCCACACATGTGGAGGGAAAAGCGAGGCCTAGGAAATCCCTAGGCTTCACCCTCAGCCACTTCACTGGTATTTAAAACCAGCGGAGGATGAGTAAGAGTGATAATGATGTAATAATTTACGGGACTAAATTTGCATGTGAAATATGATTGAGAAGATGGGCTGGTGATTACAGTAAGAGAGATCTCATAAATAAAAATAGAACATTTTTATTTTATTTTATGCTGGTGTTTCAATCTAAGTTGCAGACCTCTATCAGGGCCGAGAAAAGACAAGATAACAATAAAAATTAATAATAAACTATTCTAAAAGGAAATGTCAACAAAAAATATGTTATCTTATAATAAATAAATTATAAGAAGTGAATAAAATGTGAATAATCATATATTTTAATTTAATTATTAGCAGATAACATATTTTTTTTGTTCTCATATCCTTTTAAAACAGTTTTTTAAAATAATTTTGGGTGTTATCCTTTCTCAGCCCTGATGTAGGCCTGCAAACTTAGGCCGAAACATCAGCAAAAAATAAAATAATAATCTTTTTTTTATTTGTGTGTTCTCTCTGATTGCAATCCCCAACCATATAGTCTACAGTCAACAATTTCTTCACAACCTTAAATATGTATGTGCGTAAATATATAAACATAAAATCTCAAAGAAGAGTGTATAAAGCTTATAAAAAAATATATAAGATAACAATTAATTAGAAATAATAAAAAGCTTTACCTTTTGCTGAATTAATTATTTGATGATATTGATTAAGGATTTCTTGGTTCTCATTATCTATCTTCTTCAAGTTATCAGCGCTGGATTCTTCGCTTAAATAATTATCAATACCAGATTCAAGCTTATTTCTTAAATTTAATACTTCTATTTTATATGTATTATGCCAGTCACTAATGAATTTCTAAAAAAAAATTGGATAATAAGTTATAACTGAAAACAACCAAAAAAATAACAGATTATCAATAACTATTACTAGTTGGAGAGGGAGAAATTATTTCTTTTTTCCGTTGTTTTAGAACAATAAACAAAATATTTGCACAAATTACAATTAGCTGTATCTTTGCTAAAAATTGGATGATTTCAATATTTTTTTTTTTTGTTTTGTAGGTAATTTGGAAACAATTATCATGCCTATAATTAACCATAAATAATATACTTTCTGAAATACGTGCTACTTTTATTGCACCTGAAGGAGAAGTTAGTCTAAAAAGAGACGGTCCAATCATTGGATTTGATGAAGAATTAATGAATATAAGATGTACTGACAAAAAGATAAAAAAATAATATTATTAAAAAATAATAATATTACATTGATCAGAATAAACATTTTAAAAACCACAGCATATAATAATATGTTTATTAATCATTTAACTTGTGTGAAATTTATAGAAAAAAAAAAATGAATAAAAACATGAGCGAATTGAAAAAATTTAACTAAAGTTTTAGACAGCAAGGAATGGATTTGATTCCACTTTTATTAATCTGGGGAGTGGGGTAGCTTAGCTGTAGGGCCCTGACTTCCAATTCTCAAGTTCTTGGGTTCGAGATCTGACTGATGGCAGATCCAGCCTCTATAAAGTTGGTACCCTTAATTAAATAATTGATTAAGAGATTAAGAAAACCTGACGGTTGAGCATGATCTTGGTCAAATCACCTTCCTGTACAACCGTCGACCAAGAAACAGTACTTTCCCTAAATAATACTGAACTTAAGACCCTTCATGGGTTGTAGTGGTACAGGTTTTTATGTTTATCTGTAGTGAACTCCATTTGACAGCCTACAACTATTGACCTGGCTTTTGACAACTGATACTAGTAACCTAAATGGTGCCATATCAGTTTTATCCTATTCCATACATTACTTTTGCTTTCGCAAATGTAATTTCCTGGATATACCTATATACAGTGAAAACTCTCCTCAACGGGCATCTCTCCTCATTTAAATATCCCAGAAGTATAGGAATTTAGTGTTTGCTACAGACACCCCTCAAACAAACATGGGCAGCCAACTTTTTTTCACCTATACATATAATCTCTCTCAATGGACACTTACAAGAAAACCTTAGAAAGATGACGATTCCTTTATAAATTAAAATTTAAAGCCAAAACCATAGTGATAATTTCAAACAGATTATTATTTTTTCCTTATATAGTATTTCCAATCTAATAAAAGATTTATTAGTAATAGAAACACACTATTCAATAAAATTAAGTAATTTTCTACAGTTTTTTTTTTTTTGTTCAAGACTGTTGGGAGATGGAAGGAGGTTTATACACTGACAGGCAAAAAATTCCACCCACTTGTTACCCATTAAGGAACCACGTTGGAAAGGTTGGCTCTGGGAAAAATTACAGGCTGCATATCTTTCGTTTCTTCTTCTTCACACCCTTTCACGCCCGTCTGGAGATCGAAAAGCGAATCTTGACTCATCTGTAAAAAGTACAGCACTCCATTCGTCCATAATCCAATGGCTGTGTTCTCGAGCAAAAGCCAGCCGTGTTACTCTGTGAGTTCTGGTCAACTCTGGTCCTCTTACTGGACGAAAAGCCATTAATTCATACTCATTTAATCTTCTCCGAGCGGTACGTTCAGAAATTTGCACACCTCGAACTTCTTCGAGCTGATGAATCGCTTGAACGGTAAGGTGCCGGTTTCGTAAAATTCTCAAAGTCAAAAACCGGTCATCCCGTGGTTTTGTTAACCTAGGCCGTCCAGAACCGGGCCTTCTATTGTAAGAACCAGTTTCCCGAAAACACCTGGCAGCGTCTCGTAAAGTTTCATATGGAACTCCGATGGGATTAGCTACATATCTAATGGAATGTCCATTATCAATAAGTGCCACACCACGCGCAATATCCTCAGCACTAAGAGGCATTTTTAAACTTAATATTGAAAAAATTAAAAGCCGGAGACTAAGAAATGTGCTGCAAGAAACGGCACTGAACTAATGATACTAAATAAACATTTTGATTCCATAGAAAGTAAACATTGGAATCTATAATCATTTCATTGAATTAAGGATTAAGGTTTATTGTCCTCTATATTAACATTCCTAATTGAAAACAAACAAAAATATTATCTATTTATTCATTAAAAACAGACCAATCCAAAGCAGAAATATTTTTAGATGAAAACATGAAAAAATCAAGTGGGTGGAATTTTTTGCCTGTCAGTGTATAAACCCCGTACCTGAATTCATCATATTTTACTTAAAATCCAATGAACTTAAAAGCATTTTTGTCCTTAATACCTAAAATTACCTTGCCAAGAATAGCCCACATACATTTATTACAATTAACAAAAATTAGATTAACAGAACAAAACCAATAAACCTATGGATATCAAAACCTTTTGATACATGAATGTACTGAATTAATTATTTTTTTAATAAGTAAATACCCCTCTTCAACGAACACCTCTCGGCAATGGACAAATCGGTCAAATCCATATTGTCCCCGTCCTAGACATGTTTCATCGTTAAAGAATTTCTATTAATAATGCATTGATTAAATGTGCTCACTATTCCGAAATGTAGTGTCCCACTTTACACTTACAGCAGTAAAGACTTAATTGTACGTTAATGTTCTAAGAAATAAACTATTTTTTTAAATTACAACAAAAATCCAGTCACTACATTATCATGTATGGCCTAATCACTATTAACTTAAAAAATACAGATACACCACACAACATAATCCATGCAATACAGTAAATAAAACACTAGACTTCCTACCTAGCAGGTCTAGGTTCAAGTTAGGGTATTGAAATTAATTTATTTTCAATCACAAAAAAGAAAAAAAAAAAACGCACGAGTCAATCAGGAGCGAACCCAACTTTTATAAATTAGACTTGACCCTTTACAGGGTCGTAGAGGAAAATCAGGAGATCTTGTTTAAATTTAAATTTGAAAACTGGTATCACAGTTATTTCTTAGAAATCAGATCAGTTGACAAAAATATTAACTGGACTTAATAAAGAAGTTTCATGATTTCAACAGCTGTTCCACTCAGACCTATACTATAAAATTTAAACTTCAAGCTCCTATATTTTTTCTTAAACTTTTATTTATCTTTAACAATTAAATTTCTCCTTTTATCATCAATTCTTATCATTTAATTTTTTTTTTTTGCCACAATACGCCAACAGTTTACTGTATTGAACTAAGCCCACAGTTAGTTTTCAAAATATAGTAATTTGCAAACATATGTCTTAAACATATGCTTTTTGCATTAGGTACTTAAATAAATCATTTTACCACTTTTTTTGTGATATCTTCCAATAAACACAATTATTTATAGTGTTATATATTATTTTAAAATCCAATGCCATTACATATTATTTACAAAAAAAATTAATACCCATGAAAAATTGTTAATTATATCATATTTTGATAATGAAAAAACAAATATCTTTATCTTTATTTTATCTAAACTTTACAGATTATTTTTAGGCAGAAACGTGAGACCAATAATAGCATATTGCTTGGATATGAAACCAATTATAAACTGTACTTAATAGGGATACAAAAGTAAACATAATTCAGAGAGAAAATAATTTAAAGGAATAGGTTATTATTGATCTATCAATAGCATTGATTTCCGAACATATTAGACACATAGAAAATAACTGATAAAAATAAATTCAAGGCTCCTTGAAAATTTACCTTTTTAAAATTGAATAAAACAAAAATGTAGTGAATATTGATTTATGCACTAAAAAAAAATCTGTTCCACGACAACCCATGAAGGGTCGTGAGTTCAGTACTATGTTAGAAAGTACTGTTTCATGGTCAACGGTAAGGCAAGGAGGTGATTTCAACAAGATCATGCTCAACCACCAGGTTTCTTCCCTTGATTAATTAAGAGTACTCACTTCATAGAGGATGGGTATATGCACTAATCAAATGTTAAAATTTTAGTAATAAACAAATTCAAATATAAAAAATTTGGAAGAAAATCGGCATAACACAAAGATTAAAAATTTTGTAGCCCCTAATAGATAAAATATTCAACCAAACTCTATATGTATCTATCTATATTGATATTACATTAAAGATTTAAAAATGTGTGTTGTTATAAAAAAGAGAGTCCCAATTTCCCTAACCAACTGGTCTTTATTCTGGGAAAGTCTTCTTAATCTCTCTCTTCTGGATGGTCCCACACAGGAGCATTAGATAGAACATATATTTAACTAACCTAAATTTTTTCTCTTTTTCTCTAACTTATTATTAACTATGACTGGTTTTGAAATCAAGTAGTGCAAGACTTAAAAATTAAACAAGCAACTATTAGTTCTAGTAGATCGATCCAGGAAAACATTTTATATTTCCTAGCAATTGATAGAAATAATTACAATTAAAAGAATTGTGAAATAATATGACTAAAAAATACAAAGCTCCCCTCCCTTCAGTAGTAAAGAAGCAATAGTTTCTGATTTATTTATTTTTTTAAACTATCATATTCTAATTTTAAATATATATATATATATTCTCATAAATGAAGAGGTCTGGGTTTAAAACACAATACTTAGTTTTGAGGATAGTGCAGTTAAGAGATTTTCAGAAAAGACTGAATGCGTTTGTACATTGATGGATCTGCTGTTGCAACAAGGAAAACTTTCAGACAACAGTTTACTGCACAAATTTGTGGCTTGTGGTTTCAGTGGGTGACTAAGCCACGAACTTGGAGAGAGAAGTTCAATCCGACTGGCTCTCAAGGAAGTAATCAAAATGAATCATAAAAAGTGATACTTTTGGTCGACTCCTGGGTAGCTACCATGGCAGTCACTAATACTACAGACAATGAGAATAATGAAATGCAGAACTATAGTTATTTGCCGATATCAACAAATAATATTAAATGGGACTGAATTAGCACTTCAATAGGTTCCAGGCCACTGTGAAATTCATGGAAATGAAGAAGCCTACAAATTCGCAGAGAAGGGATCGCAGATAGATCAACTTGATCCATCTCTGAATTTTGAAAATCTGCAAAAAAGATTAACCAAGTAATAGCAACAAACAGCTTGTGACATAAGTATTCCAAGATGGTTGAAGAGAATAGGTGGGGATATGTTATTGGAAGAAGAAAGACCTAACCTCAAATACTTCAAGGTCCATTATTACTTTCAGAATTTGTACTGGATCAGAATAGCTGATTCTCCAGAATGCCCTATTCGCAAACATGGAAAAATGAATACAGAACACCTTAACATAAATCCACTACTTCAGAACGAATAGCGAAAATATACCCACTTGGCTAGAAAAATTGTTTTTGGCTGAAAGAAAATGAAAGACCCAGTAAGCTAACGTAATTCAGACATAAGAGAAAAAAAAATAGAAGAAAAAATAATGAATTTAAAAGTTGTCCAACATGTGTTCTGCATGCATTCCTCTAAACTTTAACACCTTTACAACACCCCGATATGAATAGATATCGTCTTGAATGCTTTGAAAGCTACAAAATATATTATTCTTAACAAATACTTATACCTATGGTTCATATTCAGCCATTATACTAAAATACCAGCATAAAAAGTAATGTTATAATTAATTAGCGATCAATTTCAAAACTTAATAACATTGGCAGAATTAAATTATAAAGAAAACTAGTCATGGCTTCAAATATATAATATAAAGATTGTTTAATTACAAGAATCAAATTGATGCACAATTCAACACAGTATTCCAAGTATTTGTAATAGTTTCCAACAAATGTGATGAATATTAAAATTATTCCGTGAAATATAATTCAAGATAAATCAGTTAATGATGTTGTTCCGTAATTTTTGATGTAGATCATCAAGTTTCAACAATCACCGAGGAAGTAAATTCTTAAAATTATTAAAATGATTCTGAAACGAATGTGCTACATGATGGATCATATTTCTCAAATATATTATTTTAATTCCACTCAAAACAGGTTTCTTGAATAATAATTCAACGATAACTGACAAATGACCAACAATTTTTCCTATCCATTTTTTCAAAATTATTTTTCCAAAAAAGTCTATATCACAATTGAAATTTTTAAATATTTCTAAATCTTGAAAAAAACAAGACCCATTAAGACAGATTATGAATGGATGAATGATATTTCTTCTTGATAAACAAAACACAGGTACAAGAAAATATTCGTTCCGTTGCCCTAAGAAATACAAAGTTGGATATTTAGGTTCTGATGAATCAACGCCATTAAGATTATGATTGATATCATCATTACAATAAACTTCGTTATAAATTAGGCAACAATGATTTCTGCTTTGTGCCGAAAAATCAACTATCTTTATTTGAATCTGATTCCCTATGGCTAAATCCGAATATTTAATAATCAGTGGCTCTAAGCATTGAGGACATAAGAATTTTTTAATGTGCTCGTTAGGAAATCTACTTTTTCTATTGGCAATTACCTGAAAAATATTATCAAATTAGAATGGGAATTGTTTACTTTATTTTGAAAATTATCAATTTTCTTTTCTAATACCAATATTATAATCTATGAACATTTTAAATATCTAAGTATTGTATAATTATTATTAATAATCATAAAATAGAACCATGGGTCAACCAAATAGTTAATATTTAAGAAAAAATAGTATTACATTAACTGTTATCTAATTTAAATGAAAAATAATTAATTTATGATCTTTTAAGAAACCCACTTTCTAATATTTATATAATAATGATAAAAGGCTTAACAAACTTTTTTTTGTCCACTCCTTCCTCACCTTTTTGTCTATATGGGATGTTTCCCAGGTCAGAGGAATGGGCGGAGGAGTAATGCCAGAGTTAAAAGCCCCTTCCCGGCATCGGTACACAAACTCATAAATGTTTTACCATGTAAACTTCGGTTCGGTTCAAGTTTGGCACCACTCAACCACATTGCCCACAGGCTTTAAAAACCTGAAAGTCTGGTGCTGATACTATCAATTATGTGCTCTGAATTTTTAACAGCTTTTATCAACATTGTATTTAATATTATGGTTTCCCTTTCTTCAATTAATAGTGCCAAATCATCCGCATTCACCCCTAACCAAATCCCAAGCATGGATATTTTACCACCGAGATTTAAACCATTTTTGATATTTCTCACTTCTCTAAATTAAATAGAACAGGTGAAAGGGAATCACATTGTTTAAAACACGAATTAACATCAAACTCCTTTAGGAAATAATTTCTATTTATAAATTAATGTTCCAGTCTCGCACATCCTTTCTAGGTGATAATGTGATTTGTTTTTTACAATTTAATATCAAGTGTTGATTGAAAATATATATATATATATATATATATATATATATATATATATATATATATATATATATATATATATATATATATATAAAAGCTTATGATTAACATTGGAGAAAATAATTGACAAATTCAAGGCTAGGTTAACATAAATAACATGTAACTGGTAATATTACCTGCAGTTTAACAGTAAAATCTTCTAGTAAAGCATTTTCTAATTTTTTGGCTAACGTTTTCTCAGAAACAGCATTTATAGTAGATTTCATAAGTATGACATCCTGAAATTAAAGATTAATAAAAAATATTGATAAGTCAAATAAATAAAATGTAATACATAACTTTTTTTTCTTTCAGAAAAGTCTACTATTATTACAATTTATAAATATTTCTATGTGTAATACAATTTATAAATATTTGTATGTGCAATACAATATATACATAAAAGAACAATTTAAAAAAATTAATTTTCTCCAATTTTCGGCAAACCTTATGTATTATATCATGTTTTATTTACTTTCTAATTATTTAAGGAGGCAACAGCTCTCCTGCTCTACTCTGCGTAAGCTCATGCTTTAGGCTACAGTTTTTATTCATAATTGAATAAAACAATATTGATGTTCTTTAAGATTTTTTTTAAATCTTAACTTTAATAGTAAAGAAGGCTATATTTGTGCTTGTTACATATTAATTGTTTCACCTCAGAAGGTTATGTTTTCAAGTTAATTTTGAAACAAAAGTGCTAGGATCTATTTCCAGAAACTTTCTTACATCTTAATTAATCTTGTTAATTAGGAGTATTTAAAAATATTAGTAGCAAAACCAATATTTTTAAAAAATAAATTCATAGTAATTGAGTGATTATACAGTATTATCGGTCTATAAACTAGCAATTATACAAAACTAGTGTCGTAAGACCGAAATCACTCTAGCCCGAAACTAGCAATTTTTCTACATTTAAAATTAAGTTTTCCCTTATATCAACAAATTTTTATTAAAATTTAATTGACATTTAATTAAACAATCCCAATTTCTTGAAAAACCTGTGATTCTTTCCATTGGTTTTCACTTATTCTGTGAGACTTAATTAATAGTCTAACAGTCTCATTTTCCAGTCGTTCAGTGTGGCCTCCCATCTGCATTTTTTTATTAATAATGAATCAGTGCCCTGTGTGCAGAGTATATTTCTTAAATGTAGTAAACGTTGCAGGCACAAATCCAGAACACTAAATAGAAGGAGAAGAAAAACAAATTTTATTCTGGGACATTTAGTCCCTTAGAATAATTATAATGAATAAAAAGATGAAAATTGCCTGACATTATAAAAAAATAAGAAAAATTTTAGCTAACAACATAATAATCTAATGTTACAATTAAAATAAATTAAGTACAAGTAAATATGTTGATTTGTACATAAATATAAATGAGTGTGTTTCCAATAAACAATATTGATGATGTAACAGTAACATAGCAGTCAAATGAGAGTGACAGCTCTTAAATACGAAATTTTATCGTTAAATTTATTCGGAAGATTGGTTGCTAAGGAGGTGGAAGAATAAATGTTGTTTAAATGAGGTTAAGGAAGAGGATTTGCGTATTGAGATAGGTAGCGAATTGAAATAAAAAGTAGCACACATGATAAAGGACTTTTTAAAGGAAACAGTTCTATGAGAGGGAACAAACAGGTTCATCGACTGAGATCTCTTGTTAAACGAATGAACAGAGAAAGAAGTACTAAACAAATCAGGCAACATAGGTAAGATGGCTTTTTGGTTGTAAAGATTCGGTAAAGGAATACACCTAGGAAATATTGATGCCAGAAATCTGGATAGAGCCATTGCAACTCGGCATACCAACTGGAGATATGGGAGCGCCTGGAGACTCCAAAGATGAATCAAATAAAACAATTCATTAATCTTTTCAATCTGATCTCAAGCCCACCAGACAGTCCACAGTATACAAGGCAGCCATAATCGAAGTGAGGAAACTAGAAGTTGAGAGGTTTTTAGGAGCACAGAATCACGGAACCTTAGGAACTGTTTTAGGGTAGCAATCGATTTTTGAATAATTTGGAAGATATGATTATTCCAGGAGAGGTATTGATCGAAAATTACTCCAAGATTTCTGATAGTTGTATGGAAACGAATAGGTAGTCCATTGAAGTAAAGTAGAGGGTAGTATGGAATGGAATTAATAAGATGGTTGGAACCAATGAGAATGGCTTTAGTATTCTCAACGTTCAACTTTAAATCATTACTCGCTGCCCAAGTAGTAATACTGTTTATGTCTTCGGATCGCCTCAATCATCCATATTATGTTTATAGAACAATAGGGTTCTGAAGAGAGAGAGACGATACGTCCAAACTACGGACAAATGTGCACATTCATCTGTGTTTAGGTAATAATTTATTAACTTGAATTATTTCATTCTTAAAATTTTATTAAATTAAGTAACTTGATTGGTAATAATGAAATACTGTATACTGTATCATAAAATGAAAATTATATTTTGAACTATCAGTTAAGATGTATTTTGTATTTAACAAAGATTTGTTGACAAAATAATTTATTTAGGCTTATATATGATGGTAGGGATATTTATAAAAAAATTATTGCAACACTTTAGTGACTGCATTAAGAAAAGTATAATGCTTTTGCTCTAATATCTGGTGTATCCCCTCCCTTTGTATTAACAATAGCTTGAATTCTATTTGGACAACTTTCTACGAGACTATAAAAACGAAGATGGCATATTAGCTCTGCTTCCTCAGTTCTTCCGTTGATTGAAATTGAGGAGGTCCGGCCCTTGCCATTCCATTCAGCTACTTAAGGGACTTTGTCCCAGACTAATGTAAATTTTTTTTAAAAATCAGTTAAGAAAAAAAATGGAGCCTAAAGCATGAGCATGCACAGCGAAGGAAAGGAGGGCTGTTGTCTCTCTAAAAAATTAGAAAGAATTTAAAACATGATATAATACTAAAGCTTTGCCGAAAATTCGATAAATTTAATTTTTTTAAATTGTTGTTTTATGTATGTATTGTATTGTAAATTGTAATAATGATAGGACTTTTCGGGAAAAAAAATTCCTTTTCCTCCAATTGGCCTAAAAGTAAAGAAAAACATATCTCAAACAGTAACATAAGTGTTTTAAATGTAAGACCTCTTTGACAGGTAACTTGAGAAGTTAGAAATAAAAATCGTAAGTACTATAATGGAAGAGGATTGTTTTTGTTAATTTTGGAATAATAAACAACTCCATCAAATTAAACATGAATCATAATGAATTAAAATTTATATGACTAATGGCACCATTTAAATTCTTAAAATGACACTTATTATTAAAAGAATTATAAATATTAATAATTTTAATTACAACAAAAACTTACTTTGTTAAGGTTATGTTGATTTTCATAAACAGCTTTATAAATTTCACTATGTTTCTCTGCATCAAGCTGTAACTTCAAAAGCTGAATTTCTTCTTGATGTAACTGTTGCAACGCATAGGTAGCTAAGTCAAACTGTTTTCTGTATTCATCCTAAGTAATAATAACAATAAAATTAAAGAAAATTGGATAAAATAAAACTGAGAAAAAAGAAGTAAAGAAACTTAATATTGTCTCACATTAATGCAAACCACATCATTATTTGATCCATCTTCGAGTGTATTCTTCTTCATTAACATACCAACTTTAATAGCCTGTTCATTTATAATACGTTGGAGTTTTGCCACCTGTATTAAAAATACATATTTAAATATAAATATATATATTTTTAAAATTATCTTTGTTCGCAAATTCTGCACCAAAAATTTCAATAAATAAAAGAATAACTAAAGATAAATTAGAAAACGACACATAATGAAAGCGAACAGTTTATGAAAAAAAAAAAATGACTAATTGCATACATTCTTCAATAAATAGACCTATTATAATTTTCAATTATATTAAAAGGTAACTATCCAAACATGAAAATAATTCATTATTAAGTCTTAATTTTCAATTTCAATAGATTAAATTCTCAGGAGAATCATCATGAATCAAAATTAAATCCTGACGATATGGATTGATAAATTTTCAGAGATATTAACCAATAGTAACAGATCATAGTCCGTGGTACAGACCCCTTTTTATCAAATTATTAACATCCGCCTGAGACTTTGTGAATAGCTTCATCTCATCTTAACCAACAAATATTTTATTTACGAAAATTCTCTGAATTGGAGCGTTTTAAATCTGGAGGTCAGCAAACTTTGTCTATTTAATTAGGTACTAAAAACTAGTAAATACCCATTTGCTATCCACTTGAATCGTAAGATAATTTGATCAAAAAATCGAGAAAAAAACCTACAAAAACATTGGGCCATTTGGTCTATATAACCTCGTTATTTTGAATCAATATTATTGAAGGCTACTTTTTTTCTCGACTTTGTGCTCAAAGTATCTTACAATTCAAGTAAATGAGTATTTACCAGTTTTTAATATCTAATTAATTAGACAAAGTTTGATTGAAAACATCCTAACATATCCAATATCCAATAAACATCCAATTATTTTCGTCAATATAATATTTGTAGGTTGCGATGAGATGAAACTATTTACGAAGTTTCGGGCAGATGTTAATAATTTGATAAAAAGGGGTGTGCACCACGGACTATCAATGCATAGAACCATATAAGTATGGTAAATTTATTTGTTTGATAATAGGACACCGTTATAATTTATAATAGCAAATTATTATGGATAAGAAACAATAATACTATTAAGACAAAATTGTAAACCAATCTATTCTAATAAATCAACCTTCAATTTTTTAATGTTTACTTCAAAAACTAATACTATCAAGTAATTTAATTTATTAATGAAATAGTTTCATTTTTTCTTCAAGAATTGCAATTTACAGCAAAATATCAAAGTAGATCAGACATATTACAAAATCTTATTAATAAAATTGTAACCAACAAAAAAATGTATTGATTTATTTTTATATTCATCTATAATAATTAATTTTCTAATTCATCTATAACAATTACATTTTTTTTTTATTAATTTAAAGAGTGTCATATGTTTAGAAAATTTATTATTTGAATATTCAAAAAAATTAATTTAAAAAAAAAACATAATCAAGTTAAAAACATTCCCAAAAAATTTGTTCTGTTAGATATGATGGATTGTTTGGAGGGGTCAAGGCCACTAAACGTCATTAGATATAATCTGTTAATTTTGGCATTTAAAATTCAAATTTTAATATACAATCCAGAAATAATTACTTTTTAAGTTAAATAAACAAATGAAGTGCATAGAAATAAGATGTTTAAAATTATGATGACAGAGAAAGACAATGAAGTTAAATATTACTGCACTGCTCACTCACCTTATGAAAGTACATTTAATTTTATATCAAAAGGTTAGGGGAAAAAAATAAGTTGATTTCAACTAAGTACTCCATAAGTTAACCATTGCACTACCAAATGATCATAGTCGAGCTATACTTTGAATTAAGAAGTTTCTTTTTTTCTTTTTTTTTATGGAACAATTGCGTTAAAACGATGCCTCTTTAATCATTACTATAATATCAATGAAACCACCATTCTTTATATTTTGTTTTTTCATTTATTAATAAATATTGAGGTTGTGGTGGGTCTAATAGTCACCTTGGCAACCTAGAGTGTGAGTGATGCTGGTTCAGTTCCAGCCTAGGCAAGTTCAATTTTATTCATGACGGACACAAAGAATAAATCTCAACCTTCAAAAAGGTTGGTTACCTGAAAGGTAACTATCCCTGATTCCACAAATGCCAGGTAGTGGATAAAATAAGATTGACTTAATGGTTTATTTGATTAATTTGTTTTCATTGTTAATTTGATATTTTTAATATTAATATTTTGGTTATGAAGTACAAGTAAATGAAGAGCCATATAGACCAGCATATAACTAGTGCAAAGAGAGCTTTCTTCTCCCTCTCAAAGGTATTGAGATCCCGAAAAATCTCAAACTAAGGGTGTAAAATGCTATGATAAAGCCACTTCTAATATATGGCTGTGAGACCTGGACACTAACCAGCATTCTAGAAAAAATTGTTGAAAGATTTGAGAGGAAAATCCTCCACACGATAACCACAGCGATCTGGGATCAGAGTACTAACACATGGAGAAGAAAGACCAATAAAGAACTGCTTACAGAAACTGGGCAATCAATAAATATCCCACAATATGAAGGCACAGTGGTCAAGATGGTCAAGCATTTAGCAATCCATCTGGAAGCCTCTACGTAACAATGAATGCCTCAATAGAAGGCAAAAGACCATGTGGAAGACCAAAAAGCAGATGGATAAATAGAATCAACAAAGATCCGACAGAGGTGCGTGCAGATAAATGGAAAGAAATAGCTCAAGACAGGCAGAGATGGAGCAGGCTTGTTAAGGCTGCAAAAGATCTACATGGTCTGTAATGGCAACAGAAAAAAAAAAATGAGAACTTTATGAACATATTGAAAACTTAGAATTGTTGATGATGAAAAGGAGATTAAAGTTCTTCAGGCATATGAACAGAATGCATCGTAATATGCCAAACAAACCAATATTTGATAAAGTAAAGGGACTGAATAGAAAAAATTGGTATCGAAAAAGAAGACAACCATGACAGGGCCAAATTTGGGAAAAATATAAAGGTTCTTGTAGCGGAGAAGAAGAAACAAGACAGTATGAAAGAGGAAAGAGGAAAATGAGAGAAAAATATGGGTAAAAAAAAAAACCTCTAAGAAATATCTGGTCCATAGTTGGCCTGTATCGCGATAAATAAATAAATAAAATATTAAGATCTAGAAAGTTGCAAAACTATTATTTTAAATTTACATACCTGTTTTAAGAAATAAATAACATATTGATACAATAATAAATAAAATAATTTATATAAAAAGTTTATAAAAATAAGTTGTTTGTTTTTCGGTTACCAAGTAAACACCATATAGAGTGAGGGAGAGTATTGTTCTAGAGTTACAACGAAACCTATTCTAACCAAAGCTGATAAGGTCGAGATTCTTTCCGTGGGTCTGCCAACAAAATTTCAAGCTGCTCAGACCGGATCCAAACCGGGGTTGCTTAGCTCAAGAAAGTTAAAGCAGGCAACGCCTAAACATGCTTGGCCATCACAATCTCATATACACGTATTGCAATCAGCCATATTTTAAGGGCAAATGTAGTTTTGTATACCGAACCAATACTTTTAAATTCAAGTAACTATCCAGGTACCCATCCTACGACATAATGTTTAGGACTATTAAAAATTTTCAGTGATCTTGAATTTTTGAGATTTGCACAACATGAAGAAATTAATGATAGTAAAAATATATAAGTTTTGACTAAAACTAATTTTAGCCAGCAAATATCTTAATAAATTCTATCAGTTTCAATTACTTTAATTTTCTTTTGTATTTATCCATATTTTGTATCATCAGAATTTTATTATATTAAATCGACAGCCACACAACAAAAGCCTGAAAGTACAATTATTAAATCAGTGTTTTGAGATTAGAATGTGCGGTTTTGAGCTAAGCTGGTTAATCTTGGCTTCTGACATATTCATAAACATGCAATAAAAATTAAATAGAAAATACACTTCATAAAATAAGAAATAGGTGGTTTATTCTGTCTTATAAATAATTATATGTTTTACACTCACAGGCTTTTGCAGTGTGGCTGTCTATATATTATCATTATAAGTTTGTAATGGAAAAAAGCCCAAATATTTCAATCTAATTTAATAACAAAAAACAAATCATAGTGAATAAAATTAGCTAATAATTTACCGCTAACAAAATTTAAATATAAAGACATTTAAACAAAATTATTCGGACAGGACTCATTTCATAAAAATAAGCTGCTGCATTTACAAATTCACAGAAAATAAATAAAAATTTTTACTTCCATTTAATCTCTCATGTAACATTAATAACACTCTAATTAACTGAAAAATAAATAATTATTACTCTTGACAAATCTTATATTTACAAAAAATGTACACTTCTAATTGCCCTGAAAAAATCAGATGTATGGTTTCACTGAGCAATTTTATGTCAGGGCTGAAGTCATAATTTTTGGCTAAAATTCACTAAACCTGTTCTTTATGCTCTTCTTGGACCAGTGCAACACTTGACGACAGTTCGGCGTTAAAGAAGTATTGCACCTGTTGTAAAGCATTTTGGTAGACTTTTTCTACCTCTTCACGAATCCTTTCCCAATTTTCAGACCCTGTTTCACTTGGAGACCATTTTTCATTTTTTTGAGAGGAAGATACCAACTTTCTCTCAACCTGCAACAAAAATGGCAATTAAAAACTTTACATATTTTAAATTATTTTTTACTTTCACTTATGTATATGATATATGAAATATATAGTATGGGTAAGTATTGTGATTGTGAAAATTTTTAAATCTGAGTTTTCAAGGGAAATATATGTTGTGAGGTTCCCTGAGTCTAAATAACCAAGTCCCGCAGAATGGTCTGTGCGTGTGTGTGTATGAACAGTCTAGCTCAAAAACGAATAGACGTACGAAACTGATATTACATATTTAAGATAGGTACATACCTGAGATGTTATAGCAACTTTTTCTATAAAATCAGCTAACCGGAAGTGCCTCATTACATCAAGAGTCATACACATTTTTACAATTTAATCCAAAAACGGCTCTAATGATTTTGATTAAACTTGGTGTATCAATGTATAATTAAGTAATATTTAATATCATTTGGTTCTTATCACTATTGATGTGGCTTAATAGGGCTTAAATACCCAATGTTCAAAATGTCTTCCGGTAAAGTATGTTTAATTTCGTTTATTTTATATAATTAATTATCTGTCATTGTTATGAGTTATGAAAAAAGGCTAAATATAATTTTTGAAAGAATTTGATAATTTAATAAAGCAGAAAAAAGAAACATACTTATCCAGGTCAAAAATAAAAATCTGGAAATAACAGTCAGAAGGTATACCTATAAAACATTGTTGGAAAGCATAGAATTTTAGAAAAAATAATATCTAATAAATAAAGTTGTAGAAGTTAATGGGGAGTAATGAAAAAAATATATATAATAATTTCTGAAAACTAACATTTTTCAACATAAATCACATGTTTCCAAGAAAATTAAATGAAGTTTTCTTACTGAAAGTTAACTTTAACATTTTTTTTAATTTCAAAAAAGTATTTAAAATACACCAAATTAAGGCAATGACTTAAAAAACTTTGCAATGGAAAATAACAGTTTAATAACTAATAATCGTACAATCCATAATCAACCATTGATATAATAAATAAGATTTTTATTTTAATGGTATTAATGATTTGTTAGCTGGAAGCTGGAAGCTTTAGCTCAGTTCAAAATGCATTTAAAAATTTTATAATAGCCCAACATTGCCAGAAAATATCTATTCAAAATAGAGCGGTAAGTGAAAGTTGTGTGTTGGGCGCACCAGATTTTTTTATTTTAGCAACACAACATTAACAAATTAACTGCCAATCCATAAGATAACTGGTATTTATAAGTCAATGCCAACTATGAGTTACCATATTAAAAGTACAGTGACAGTGGCTGTTCACATACATACAGACCATTTTGTAGGACGACTTGGTTCCGTTGGAAAATCAACAGATTCGAAAATTTTCACAATCGCAATACTTACCCTTATTATATATTATATAAATATATATAGGTAAGTGAAAGTAACAAGCGGGAAACACATATGAAAATTCACAATAAGAAAAAAATTGGATGCAATAACTTTATATAAGTACTTCCAAAAATACTTACTAACCTCATTGTCAAGATTAAATAATTTAGCCTGCTGAAGTTTCCATTCTGCAGCTTTAATCTCCATAACATATTTTCTTTCAGCTTCATTTAATTTATTTTGTAACTCTTTTAGCTCTTTCTCTAATGAATTTTTTTGATCCATAGAAGTCTGAAATACAAACAGAGAAAAGGTAAGTTATTATAGCTAAAATACTTAATTAATTATTATTAATAATTTCTTTTATTGATGAGTCAATTAAAAAATCCACATTACCTAATACACTGGATATCATTTAAAACAAAATAGGAACTAACAACTTTAGAGACCAATGTTTCAGCATATATGATTCTCAAAGCCTTAGCAATATATTTTTTATAAATATAGTAATAGCGGTTATATTGACTGATTCGCCATAACAATTCCTTTTTGATGATCCACTGAACAATAACAGATCAGTTTAAAACCACAGAAAAATGAAGATAAAATTATATAAACTTACTTTTATGATCTCATCTTTTTCTTCTATTTCCTGTTGCAGATATTTCAAATGACATGAAAACTTCTTTGATTGCATTTTCTCTTCATTAATTTTTTTTTGGAAGTTTGAAATTTCCTGTTGAAAAAAAAAAATATTACCAATAAGTTAATACATAATTATTACATACTTTAATATATTTAATAAAGAATAACCCATACATGATCTTTTACACGCAATTGATCTTTATGTTTTTGGAGATCATCGAGAAGTTTTCCGGTAGATCTTAGCGCTTCTTCAATCCTATTATACTGTTCTTTATGGAACTTTAACTCTTCAAAAATGATTCTAAGTTTCTTATCCAATTGAATTACCCAGTTGTCATCAATTGCCCCTTCACTCTAAAGGCAATAAAGCAAATATTTTAGACATATCAGTCTAGAAAACTAAAATTTAAAAAAGTTAATCATTATATAAATAGGCAAAGGCAAAACACTTCAGTCCGTTTTTCTTCTCTATTTCTAAACCAATTTTATTTTTTTGTTTAGTAACCATTAACGAGTTTTAGTGTTAACAATAAAAAAAAATTAGTTTATACAAACAAAAATATATATGTTAGTTTGAAAAAAACCTCTAATCTCAGAGTTCTTCATCGATTGCTTTGAAATTTCAATACAACATAACAATCAGATTCAGGAATATTTGTATATAAATTTCATTTTTATATGGCCATTTGTTACAAAATGGCAGTAAAAAAAAAACATGTGTCACTATCTACGGTGGTGCCAAAAAAGATGTAATGATTTTAATGAAACTTGGCTGAAGTATTCTCCTTGAAGCCTTTTAAATTTAAATAAATAACATTTTCGATAAGCGGCTGAAAAAAAAGTAAAGATAGATTCAGAATTTTATTCATGAATAACTAAAAAAATACACAAGAGTTTTGGTTCATTAAACCTGTGAGTATTTTAAAGCTTCCAGAATTTCCTACATAATTTAAAAAAATCTAAAAAAACATGCTCGATATAATATTTTCATTGCATTTTTTTTTCAGTTTATATTTTTTAGGAGAACTCTCTTATAACTAATTTATTTTTGGAATATTTCTATAGTATAAGTAGAAAATTGAAATGAATTTTTACCAACTGGAGTAGCCAAGTGGGTCAAATTCTCAAATACAAATTTTCATAGCAATCGAAAAATAAAATAATTTTTCCTCTAATTTTCACCAAGTGAGCAAAGTAGGTTCAAATATTTTTTTGAAAAACCTTACGATGGATTCACATTTTTATTTGCTAATAACTCAAAAAGTAGACAAATGATATTGCGATGTTATCTTTTGTAAATACATTTAAAAGTGAATGCACAAATATATGAGTACAAAAAAAAAATGTTGGAAACATGCAAATTCATTTATGTTTTCCTCAAATGTTAAATAATGATTATGATCGAATTTTGACCACTTGGCGATTACTAGTAAAATTTATTTTGAAAAATACTTACTTTTGATACATTAATAATATGTTGCAATTCTTTCAATTTCCCTTCAAAATCAAGTTTTTCTTCCAATAGCTGGTGATTTAAACTTTTTAAAATTTCATGAAAGTTTGTTTTATCCGACCTGGACCACTCTTTGTCAGTATCATCCATGTCGAAGCAACTGCACGATTCTAATTTACTCTCCATGATACTCCGAACAAAAGCTATCAATTCTTGAACTAAATCTTCATTTTGATTGGAAGAATTCAAATGGCTCTTCTCTCTCATAGAGGCCATGAAGTCAAGTCTCAATTGAAGCAATTGTACTTCTTTGTTCAGTAATTTATTGTCAGAGCAAATATTCAGTTTTTCATTTCTTATTCTTTCAAGTTCGCTTTTGCATAAAAGTAACTCGCTATAAGTATCCTCTAGCTTACCAGAATATACATTATTTGTTTCATGTAATAAATCCAGCTTGCGCATTAGAAATTTCTTTTCTTCAGACAGTGATCTTACTTCTCCTTTTAAAGTTATTATTTCTTGTAATTTTTCATTTACATTATTAATGATAGTTTCACTGCTTACATCATTCCGGTCGAGGTTTTTATTCTCAGTAAATTCTATCAAACATTTTCCATACTTTTCTTCTAACTGATTATTTTTTTTGGATAGTTCCTTATTTTCATTTTTTAGATAATTTAATTCTTTATTCAAAGTTTTCGTTTCATTACCTAACTTCTCATTTTCATCCCACAATTTATCATACTGTTGTTTCAGAGACACGTGGTTGCTCAATTTTTCTTCCAATTTAATTCTCATCTCTTCGTAAGCATTCATTTCCTCTTTCAAAAATTTAGAGTTGAATTTTAGATCCTGAACTTGAAGGGTAAGGCTTTCAACTTCCGCTGTTAACTGTTTATTTTCATGATCAAGCTCATGGCACTTTTCCATCCATTTTACAAGAGACAAATGGATTTCAGTTTTTGATTTGGTAGACTTAGGTTTGATGACTTCACCTCCGCCATCTGGATCGCAAACACTCCTTGGACAAGGTGTTGATGTCGTCAATTGTACTGGAGCATTACTGGAGAAACTTTTGGAACGAATGTCATGTATATTTCCATCTTTGGATATTTTACTATCACTGACAGCTTTATAGTCAGATATAATTGGCGACAGATCCACATTGGCAAGCTGAGTGCACGTTTCACTTTGCATTTGTTTTTGTTGTTGACTCATTTTATCCAGTTCTTCTTTGTATCTCAACAATTCATCATTTAATTGGTCTAATTCAGATTGTTTTTTCATAATTTCATATTTCAACATGGTATTTTGTTCTTCAACATATCTCAAATTATTCACAGCACAATCCTTTTCTTTATCTAAAGACATTATCTCATTTTTTAGTGATGTCAATTGCTGAACACAGTCTTCATATGCTTTTTTACGGGCTTCGAAAGCAATACGTAAGTTCTGATTATTTTGAACAAGATCTCTAAGTTCTTTGCGAATTTTTACTGATTCTGATATGGAATCACAGACTAATTTCATCGCAGCACAAAAATGAGGATTAGAAAATTTTTCTTTAGAAATAACAGGTAGTTTAATTACTGATTCATCAGATTCTGTGTTACTCATATCTTCATCAGTATTAAGATAAAGCATTTTGATACAATGATATAAATCTTCCAAAGCTTTTATCAAATTGAACAAATCAGTTTCAAAAGTATGAACAATACTTTCTCGTTCTATTGTTGTTTGTAATCTTTCTCTATTAAAATCAATTTTCATTTTATCATAGAGATTTTTGGTAGATATAAATTCATTTTGTAATTCTTCTTTTTTATCTCTTAATAAATTAAATTGTATTTCAGTTTGCTGAAGTTTCTTATATATATTTTTATGATCAACATATAATTCTTCAAATTTCTTCTTATAATCGTTGAGTTCTTGAATAATTTTTTTTTCATAATCAGCTTTTGAATTCAACTCAATCTTCAAAGCAACTTCCTTACTAAGGCTAGCCGCTAGCCTATTATCCATTTCCACAATGTGCGATCCACAATTCTTAACTATTTCCTTCACTTTAGATTTCATTTCATTATATTCTTTTTCGTATATTTTTCTAAATGTTTCATATTCTTGGTGATGCGATTCACCTCTTTCATCTAATTCAGTGATCCTACTATAAAGTGTATCTATATGGTTTTCTAGAAAATGTTCTTTTAAAGAATAACTGGTTAGTATTTCCTTTAATTTTAAAGAATAATGTTCCTTCAGTTTTTTAATATCGTTCTCATGACTAGATCTGGAAAAAAAACAACATATTAATTATAAACAGGTATGATTTCTATGTTAATAAAATGATCAATTTATTGAAATTGTTAAGTATTAAATTATACTACAGACATTACTCCTACTACATTCCTAATGTAATAAATATACTGAGAATGTAAAAACCTTTATATCCCTTCCCATAGAACTAAGACATTAGGATATTCCTTTATTGCCCGATCCACTGCCTTCTGGAATTCCTTGCCAACTGATATCCGCCTTCTCATATACAAAATGATTTTGTTCAATGAAATAAATATTGTGAAACAAATTTTGACTGAGGTGAATGGATGTTGAAATCGTTCGAGTTTTAATTTTAAAAATCAACCCATGCTTATATTATTTTGTTTTTTATTTTACCTGATTTCTGTTTTTCTTTTCATTTAAATGTTTGATTTTTTTCAAAATGGTGTTACTTTTTATTTGTTTTAATATACTTTAACTGAAGATACTGTATATATTTTTTAATGTTGATTAATGTCATTTTTGACCAGATGTGGATTTTATATTTTTTGTTTACAATTGTTATTCACAAGTGATCTCGTTCCAGAATAAAGTTTATTTTCTATCTATCTATCTATATTGAAAAATAAAGTTGGCCTTAACAGAACCTCTGACTAATCCTAGCAATATGTATCTTTACAGTTATATATAATAAAAAAAATAATTTATAACTAAAATTTATGTTTAAATACCTTAATTCCTGTTCTTTTTCTGTCATTTTCTTTTCCCTCATAAAAGCAGATTCACACTCATGATCAAATTCCATTTTTAAAGTTTCAAGTAGCCTATTGTTTAAATCAAGAGCATCTGACTTTTCTTTTAGACTTTCTTCCAAAAACATTATTCTCTTAATTGACTCATTTAGATTATTTTTCAATTCATCTAACTGAACAAAAAAAAAATTAATCAATTAGTATTAATACAATGTAAAGAAATAGAGAAATTAAACAATATATTTTTTTATTTTTGTAATAATAATCAATCCTACTAGATTTATGTTAAACTGGTACTGGTATTGGTGAGAGAACTAATCCAATAAGTGGGCTTAATGATACGTTTTATCACACCCTAGCAGCTACCTAGAAGTTATCATTCTGTATTAACAAGAGTAGGAGTGTCAAGATTTGAATCAAACCCAAACTGAGTGTTCTGAGACCCTCGGCCATCACAGCCACTAGTTTATCACAAAAGTTTTACCTAAAGTACTGATTAAACCATTTACAGGAATAAAAAAGAGCATACTAGATCTCGTACTTCCGACCTCTATCCTCCTCCTCACTGAACTGCTGCGTTTGACAAATCCTTTGCAATACAAGCCGCCTCCCTCTAGAATTCCATCCCTGCTGATATTCGACACGCTCAATCAGTTTCCTCTTTCAAACCTCTTCTCTTTAAACACCTACTCCTTTCTCAATCCGACTGATTGCGAAATATACTTAAGAGAAATATCGAAGCACCCAGAGAGACTACCTCAATTTATTTAGGTTATTTTAGTTTCTCATATATGTGTGCAATTTTCTTGTTCTTTTCATTTTCTTCTTCAGTATTTTTATTTTTAATCAACTCTTATTGAAAATATACATCTAATTGTAACCACACAGACATACAATCTGTATTTATAATTTGTTCTAAAAGGGACAACAGTACCAGAATAATCAAATATTTTTTCATTTCATTTCATATTTAAAAAGGACCACACAGACCTCGACAGACGGAATTTTCCATTGTCTATGTGTTGTTAATATGAATATTATATTTTGTATTTATTGGCTTTATGTTTATAAACACGTTTTTATTTATTCATTCATATTAACCCTTTGACTACAGACGGGATATATGCCTTCCCGGTAGTGAGTTGGATCACTAGTGCGACCGGAATATATGCCTTCCCGCCTTGGCTGTCGCCACTTAAAGAGGTAGGGACAAGTCCCGTCTTTGCCATTTAACTTGTGGCTTGGTTAGTGCATTCATTAGTCCCCTGTAGCTGACTCAGTGCAGTGTTCCGGATTCTGATTATTTGGAAACTATCAGTTGCAGATTTATTCTGAATCCAAGGTATGTCTTTTCTCTCTTCTTTGTGTCATATCATGATCGAAATAGTATTTTAAACAAATTTATTCAAACAAAAAATCCGTTTTTCAGAACATCTTTTTGGATTTTGGGCCCCGCCATCTGGTAGAAACACTCAAATGAGCTCCAGCAGTCAAAGGGCTAATATAAAAAAATAAATAACAAATGCTTTTATTTAAACTTATTGAATATTATTAGAATATTTACCTCATTCAGTTGAATATTTTTCTTCACCAATTCTTCTCTCAAATCAGAAACATTTGCATTAGTATCTTCAAGTTTATCTTGTAGGTCATGTAAAGATGACCTACTTTTAACAAGTTCATCTTGCAGCATAGAGATGGAAGCATTTTTTGAACCTATTTCATCTTGTAATAGACATAAAGATGAATTTTGAGATTCTATTTCATTTTGTAATAAAAGTATAGATGAAGTTTTGGATTCTAATTCATCTTGTAGTGTACGTATGGATGCATTCTTTGAATCTAGTTCATTTCGAAGAGAGTTCATAGAACTTTTTCGAGATTCAACTTCTTCTTGCAGCCTCTGAATTTCATCATTTAAATTCACAATAGTATCTTCCATCTGTAAACAAATGTTTTTGTTATAACAGGAATTTATATTCTTTTATCATTAAAATAAATAATATTTCTAATTATTGAGGTTGTATATCATATGACAATCTCTTTTTAAACGTTTCTTTTATTTTATTTTACTTTTTGATGGGGGAGAAGATTTTGGTGTGCAACACCATATTTATCTTGTTATCCCTTACTCCTTATATTATAAAAAATCTGGTGCGGTGTGCACATTACACAACTTTCACTTAACACTTTTTTTTTAAACAGATATAGGTATTTTCAGACAAAGGGAAGTGAAAATAAAAATTATAGATGGTAAAAACTATTATTTACAACAATTAATTAAAATATGATTTTCACAATTGTCTAATGTATTATATTAATGCTTTCTTTTGTCACTAATCATTTTGATTTATGACTGTATATTTTAATTATTTATTCAAATATAATGAACAATTAAGTGCTACAAAATATTTTTAGTCCAACAAGAGTGTCACTGATAAAGAGCTGCTATATTTATTTATATTTCATTGTGGATATTTTTGTTTGTTTAAGCATTGGTATACATACAAATTTTAATTTTTATGTTGATGTAATCTATACAATTAAATATTAAATAAGACAAATGCTACCATTTATGAAAACCGCGCATGTACATATAATAATAATATTATTGGGGGCCATAATTTATTAAGCATATGTTACATATCGAAAACAATCCTAACCTTTTGTCCAAGGTCGGGTGCGGTGCTCGGTTCTCTATTATGATCCCTTTTTTCCACCTTTAGTTAATTATCAAATTCCTTAATATTTTATATTTAACCAATTTTTATGTCTGATTACAATGTGAAATGGTTAATTATTTCAAATTAGGCATTTAAGACCTGTTAGAGGTCATCAATGAGAATAATACCCTAGCTATTTTTCTCTCTTCTTTCCTAATAAAGCCACACTATCCTTGACCTGCCTCTTTGCTAGTTTAGTCTTCGAAGAACTTCCTAGGTCTGCGATCTTTATCCATTTGCCAAATATGGTCGAACCACTTCACTTCTTCTCTAGCATTTCAGTTAATGGTTTCACCCCTACCTCCTCTCTTTTTCTATTATTTCTGACTAGTAAAATTCGCACAGAATATTGTAAATTGATCAAATGCCAATGCCATAAGATAAAGAAATCAATTTTACTTTATCAATAAATATAATCGAGAAAGGAAACAAAAATTAATTTAAAACTTCATTAATGTTTGGAACCAACATGTTTACAAATTTCAATAAGCTGTATCTTAGCTAAAATTCTCTGATTTTTATTTCCTTTTGTAGAGAATTTAGTAATCTTTTATATGATCATGGACATAACTAAGGGAAAAGTGTGTAATTTTTTAGTTACTCGTAAATAAAGTTTGTTTTCTTTCATAACTTTTTGCCTTAATTTTCAGGTTGATAGGACTATTTTGCCCGTCTGAAGGAGAAGAAAGCCTTCAAAATTGGTGGCTCAATCTTGAGATTTGGTGAAGAATTAACGATGATGTGGCTTGCCGACAAAAAACACCATTGATAAATAATATAATAATAAACCCCTCTCTCTCGATCATAGAGGCCTCAAATCGACGAAATGAGACATGTATCCAATGACAGGACTACCATTAATGTAAGGTTGTGTGGATGTGAACCCTTTGCCTTGAGTTATCTCTCAACCATTTGTACCATTGTACCATTTGTAAGGCGATGAATCTGCTAGTAAATCAAGAAGAAAATTCCATATATTAGGAATGGAAGATAAATTGTGTTAAAAATGTGCACGTGTACCTTTTCCTCAACTTTACATTTCCCAACAAGAGTGTTGCAGATTTAGTATTATAAGATGTTTACTTTTTAATCATTGATATTTCTTGTTGAATTTTCACGTTTCTTCTTATAACTGTTCATAGTCCTCTACTTCCTCAAGGGTTTCTCCTATACAAGTGATGTCCACATCCTCAGGTTCTCATCCTATTTGCATGACTTTACTATTATTGATATTTATAATTATGCCTTTCTTCTCCAGCTTTGCTCCCCGTTCAATTACAGCTGTTTGGATATTCCAGGTAGAGCCTGCGACGATCACTATGTCATCTGCATACTGAAGCTTCTGTACTAGAATTGTGTTCAATTCCATTTTACAACTACTGCTCGAGCTATTCTTCGCCTACATATTTTTGAAACTTCTTCCATCAAGAGAAGAAGACTTAAGATGTCATCCTGCATGACACCTTTCTCCATAGCTTGACATTTTCTATATGATTGGTACAGATCATTAATATGTTATATCCACAAAAAAAAAAAAAATATAGAAAAAATAAATAAAAAGAGATATTTTAGAATGGGAGAACTATTAAGAAATTTACCTACTCAAAAAAGAAGTTTCTGAGGTGCAAGTGTATTTTTATATGAAAACTACAGCTTGATCAACACACCAATGAAAACTAATAATTTCTAAGTTAAGATTTGCTATAATTTCTTATAAATTCTAATACACTCCCTCAGCAAAACATGCGCAATTTGAGAATAAACATTAATGAGATGGTTGAGGAAGAAATGTATACTATCAATGAATGTATACTATCTTTATCAATGAATGGTTGTTTATTCTTTAAAATCAATTATTTCGTTTTTTGGTCAATTTCATTAATAAAGAAATATGAACATTGTCCAGCTTGTTCACCATATGACAGTCTCTTTTTTAATTTTTTTATTTTAAATCTTATAAATGGGAAACCTTTCGATGTCCTGAGCGATTAAAAGTATAAAACAGTCTGATTATACCTAATAGAAATAGGAATACATTATTTGGAGGGGGCATAGAGGGACTTATTTTTAGATTCAAGGGGGGTGGGTACTTATTTATAGACTGAGCAAGAGTGAATCTTTAATAAAGCTTAAGGAAAACTGGACAAATGAATGAACTAAAATATAATGAAATTAAATAGTTTAAGCCATCAAATTAGCAATTTCTAAAACATGGAAACAATAATGTAAATAAAACTAAACTAAATAAAATATTCAACATTTGTAATTCAATATTTTATAAAAGGAAAACATTTCTTTCACAAAATTTATAAAAAATATAGAAAGAAAAATATTTAAAGTATTTATAAATCTCAACACAATTAAATACATCCATGAAATTTAATACGATTATTACCTCTAATTCATATCCAGAAGAATAATCTTCACCAGGAGGATCAATATGATATTTCACTTTACTTTTTCTGCGAGGATCTAAAAATTATTCATAGTTAATAAATAAAATAATAAAACCATTAAAAAAAAATATGAATCCCAAAACAATAATGCTGAAAACAATAAATATCACAGGTATTACGTATTACTTTGACACCTAAAATGTATAATTAAAGAAAATGAGATAAATTTATAATTATAGAGCTGAAAAGCAATAAAGAAAAGAGGAAATAGTTATAATGTAGTTATAATAATAAATATAGACAAGACATAGTTCTAGTACTACAGACAGCTTTGGAATTTCTTTATTTAATTTGTGTTACTTTTAGTCTTTTTGAGAACTACATATATAACGTGATGACTTAATGCAATATTCTTAGATCAGACACATATAATTTTTTTTTTTATTTCACCATCATTGAAAAGAATATTACTACATAAATATTAAGTTTTCTCATTTGGGGCATTTTAAAGTCAAATACCCAGTACAAATAAAAATATTCTTTTATACATTGTAATAGTGGTTAAATTCAGAGTATATTTGTGAGTTGAACAATCAAGTTGCTGACACCATATAATAATTTTTCACCCATATTTAAACTCATCATGTATATCATAAGTTTAAGTGCATAGGAAAAAATTTATTAATGATTAATCAATGCCTTTACTAGTATCCCCTAACAGGGCCAGAACTAGGAGTTTTGGTAGCAGGAGTAAGCTTAATTTTTTTGCTCCTATTTTCATCCCCTGCCGCTCCCAATAAAACTAGACATTTGAAATCAGCATTTCAAAGTAAATATCTTCAGATAATATAAAATCATGTCATTGACTAAATTAAGGTCAAACAATGAAAAAGATGAAAGGAATATGTTTTACTGTTAACCTAAAAAATTTTATTTTGAAATTTGATGCCGAAATTTAAGGAAATTAAATACTATAGAGGCCTATTAATAACTAAATATTTAAAATAAAAGTAGGTTTGATAGAAAAGGTATTAACAATTAACGATCACATATTCTACAATAACCAATCTTACATGAAGCTTCTTTTTCACTTTTGTTCGCATATACTTCGAATTCACCCTCCGAAATATCTTGCTGGTGTACATTATGAAAATTAAAGTTATGATGTTTAACCTAAAAATTAGAATGAATTGTGAAAAAACAAAAATATTTACGACCTTATTCTGAATGATTTAAAAATATTCATTCAGCTTGAGGAATCAAATTAACAGTAAACTACTATATCTTAAGAGAAAAAAAAATCTATTTATTGAAATAAGTGATAACAAACAAAAATTAAGTTTTTGATTCAGAAGAAGTTAAATGTTCATTCTTAAAAAACTGCAACACGATAAATAATATTTTAAATATTAATCGACTTATGCATTTGATGTTGAAGTACAGAGACAAAATATTGAAGGAAACCAAGGAAAGTATTAAAATAAATAATAAAATCACACCATAACAGTTGACTGAGTTGGCTTCATGAGTAAATATAATGATGGTAGGTAATGAAAACCTTGCAATTTACTTTTAGTAAATTATTCAAGGGAAAACAAGTGTAAACAACAATGCAGTACAGATTTGGGTCCAAACATTGAAGAGGAGTTGGTTGGGGTATTCAGTCACAAGCAACACACCAACCAACTCATCAATAAATCCATGACAGTCGATTATAAATCAGGAGGCCTAGACTCACCAATGAGTAGTAGTGCTGGAAGAAGCCAATTATTAATCCACTATCATAGTTCCAAATTATTTTTATATATTGTACAATCCGTACAATGTATTTACAATCTGTTTATTATCAGTGATATATATATATATATATATTTAAGTACTTTCAAATCAATGTTTTTTTTTTACAGTTCCGAGACGGAAGTTATGTAGTTTAAGTAGTCTAATAATGTGATATAGTTTTTGTAGCCTACCGTCGATATTACTATCTTATTATTCCAAGAACTGTAAAATATACTACAAGCTTCAGATGGATATAGAAAATAATGCATATAGAATTCAAATATTTGACTTTACTTCATTAACGATTCAATCTAAAAGTCAGAAACTGAATATTTATGAAATCGATAAGGACATGTGGATCACAAATGTTTAGGACAGAACAAATGATTTCCATAAAATAAAAAATAACTTTTCAACCAAAAACACAATTCTAAACAGATAAGTAAGAAAAAAAAATATTTAACACAGATTTAAAAATACCAACTATATAAAGCCATAATGGTACTTCATAGAAAATATTTCAAAACCAAATCCACAGCCATTAAGTCAGACTTCTACAGAATGAAAGTTTGCTTACTATTGTAAAATATCACTCCATTTCATTGGTGGAACAAGAATCTCATATCATCAAAAATGGAATCCTGAAAATGGCCAAGTGTTTAACTCAATCTATTGGGAATAAGGAAGGTACCTATATCTCCACCAATTGTCCACATATTGAAGAAGGGAGCTTGAAGCTGTGGACTCTGGTCTCAGGCAGTTCGGGATTGGAAAGGAATAGAAAAGTATGAAGGACGCCAATACCACCAAAAACATTGACACTTCTTTACATAGTGATTAAATATGAATTTAAAAATTAATAAACTTGGTAACCAGAGCATTTAAGATAATCTTATACCTGTACTTATAATAGTACAAATGGAGAGTTAACTTTCAGGTTAAACTGTTTAAAAATTATTGAAGGATTCGACCAGGATCAGAAAAGTGACATTAAAAATGTAAACAAAAATCATTAGATTTATATTATGTGCCCTTTTGAAAGTTAACTCATAAAATATAGTGTTAACATCGCCATTGAAGAAACATTAATGAGAAAATAATCACTAAAGTATATCAAACTAAGATTGGAATGAAGCTGTAACACATTTATTTATTTTTTTTTTAATTCAACAAACTACTTAACTAAATCTAACAATGATACAAAACTAAAAAATGATAATACAGAAATATATTTGTTTTATGAAACATTAACTACAAGGGTAAAAGTGTTATCATATCAATACATATCATTTAATGACAGTTCCTCATAAGTATAAAACAATCCAAACTGCAATACACTTACATGATTTTGTGGAGAATCACCATTTTTAAAATTGAATCGTTCCATTATCTTTGATCATCAAGTGATATAAAGGAAAAATTTTTAAATCACTTTTATTAAGTGATAATTTGAATATTTAGAAAACGAAGATAGGAATTATTATAAATCATCAGGAAATTTTACATCAGGTTTAACAATTTGAATCTTAAATTATTACAACAAACATTAAAAAGTTATTAAAAATACAATTATCGTGTAAATATATCCATCTCCAGCAGTTTAAAAATAAACTTCTTTGTCCAGCGGTTACCATTTGTCAACGGCTCCGCTTTGTTTACAAGAAGACTTGATATAAGAAACTTTTCAGTGATATTTATGAAATTAGAGATGATCTAGTGATATTAAAAACCTTTAATAACTAACAATACATTATAAGTTTCTTCATGATAATATGGAATGAAATATATCATGAAAGCTTTTATTTTATTTTGACTGGAGAACTATGGCGCCAAAAAGCTACATCTTCAAACAAATGATACCTGTACATTTACTTGAATTGATAATATTAACAATGATTCAATGTGTTTTTACGGATTATCTAATTGTAAATAATGTCTGTGGCATTTAAAGATATCGCGGTATTAGAATTCAAAATTTAAAAATTGATTTTTTTTTACTATACTCTAATTATTTTATTGTTTAATACAAAGCTGTTAACAGCTGACAATTAGTTTTTAAATCAATATATAATCATGAATATATTTCACCTAAAAATATGGCTTTTATCGAAAGAAAAACAAAATCTTAAATTCATATTCGTAGATGTTTGAGGGTCAAGAATGCACTTCAGAAATATTGGGGGGGGGGCCAAGGTTAGGGTTAACATAACATTGTTAATGCATTGAAAGGGTAAAGGGTGATAGAACTCCATACGTAAAGAAGTAGCTCAGTAATACATTTATTATCTGTAATATTATATAATTATTAACTTTAAGGTTTATTGATCTTTTTGTGAGTTATTTTATAAGAAAATGATTGCGAAATATTGGGACTGGCTCCTTCATAAAAATATTGGGTAGGAGGACAGAAAGTGTCTTGTCCTCCTGGTGGCTAAGCATGAATGCATAAAAAACATATACTTGTTCCTTTTTTTCGCGAATATTATGAGCTTCAAAAGTTGTATTTCCACCAAATAAGAATACCCGTTAGCAAACATTTAGCACCCTTCAATGAAAGTGGAGAACAGCATCTCAAGCTACCTATCACTAACACTAGCGGATCCAGAATTTATTTTGGGGGGGGGGCTTCAGCCCGAAAGGTTTTTTTTTTCATAAAAATAACGATAATTACTTTGGAAAAAAAGAAAGAAACTAACTACCTGTATGAAATGGTGTTTAAGTTATTCCTAAAGCCCTTTTAAATGTAATTACACGAATAATAATACTTTAAGAGATACTTTTTTAATATTTTTTTCGATAAAACATGGTTATATTTTACCATTTTAGGGGGGGGGGCTTCAGCCCGAAAGCCCCCCCCCCCGTAGATCCGCCCGTGATCACTAATAATCTTTAGTTTCTTATCAACGACTTAAAACCCAACTTATGATAATACTGCTCAAGTGTCCATTTTGACCAGTGGACCAAGATCTCATGATCACGCTATAAATGGATGAAGATTTAAATCTTCACTGTATAATCTCCCTTTATTTAGATCATGATTTACGATTTTCGCCGACTCCTAACTGGACTTCAACAGTTGAAAATTAGCTTTATTTCAATCATTCGATTTTCGCTAGCTCATTAGCGGATCCAGGTTTTAATTTCTTGGGGGGGGGGGGGGGGCTTCAGCCCGAAAGGTTTTTTAAAAATAAAACTTACGATAATTATTTTGGAAAAATAAGAAACTAGCTATCTACATGAAATGGTGTTTAAGTGATTCCTTAAGTCCCTTTAAATGTAATTACACGAACAATAATACTTTAAGAGGTAATTTTTTCCCTAAAAAATGGTTTTATTTTACCATTTTGGAGGGGGCTTCAGCCCGAAAGCTCTTCTCCCCCGTAGGTCCGCCCGTGCGCTAACTCAAAAGGGATGAACAAACGCCCAGCGAATCTCTTTTCAGTTGAATTCCAGGCCTTACCTGACAGTTCGGTCACCTTCCTCTTGGATTTGGTTTTGATAAATTGCTTAAATTATCATATCTAAATGTCCAGTACATCTTCCGAAAAAATTTCGTTCAAGAAATAGAGACAAATCTATGACAGGGGCGTAAATACAGAGGTAAGGTGGCAAATGGATACTCGCATTAGAGATGGAAATTTTTTATTTTTGATAATGCACGTCCCCTATTCCAACTATCCAAAAGGATGTCTAAAAAAACACGAATTCTTAAAATTTTGCAGAAACTTTTTTCAAACCATAGATAGAGAACCCGCTAAGTATCCCAAATATTAATGACCAAGGAAAGAATTTCCACTGTATGTTATGAAACAGAAACGCCAAAAGTTGCCTAGCAAATAGTCCTCAGAAAGGACAGAGATCAAGACTATTGAAATCTTTGCAGATTTTTCTTTTCTTCCCTACCTCGCCGCTTCTTTCATACTGAGGTTTTCTGGGCCAGGATAGAGGGCGGAGGATTTATGTCAGAGTTAAATGCTCCCAGCACTGAGACTCGAACTTATAATCTTCAAGTTACCATGAAAAGTGCATTGTAAAAGCTTTAATCTGCTGGGGTATCCCTATAGATCTAGAAAGACTAAACACTTAAACCTGCTTGTGGCTATGCCTTGGTTTTCAATCAAATTATGATTGAAATCAATTATGAAACAATGTTAAGTCTATCTTTCTGTGTGACACACCTAAATTTACTTCTATTATAAGGTACTTGAGTAAATGCTGATTTTACATGCCTTCATCTGGTCTAGTTAATAGATGAATAAAACTTGGTTGCCACAACTTTCTAAATCTTATGCCAAAGGAAGGAGGATACTGGTTCTTCTATATTCCATAAAGTATCACAGGCTTAACAAGTTACTTTAATATTGTTTGCATATACACATATTCACATACATTGGTCATGGGTTGCACAAACTAATAGATGTTTGGCTTACAGTTTAATAAAAACCGTGTTCTGCGGTCAAATCTGTTAAAAAATTATGGATATATATAATTGTTTGGTTGAATAGCAAGATAAATTCAAGACCCCAGGCGATGCCCAATTATTTTTTTTTTTTAATGGAATAGATAGAGAAGGTAAATACTATTACTAAGTACTAGACACATAATATAAACCTCCTTGAAATGCAAAATTGACAATAGAAGGAGAATATTTTGACCATAAGAACAGATCAAAAAACAATTATCTCGTATAGTATCTATAATTGAATGTCTCTTTTAAATTAAAATATAGATTCTAAAGAAATAGGCCATTCAGAGTTTTTGTAATTTTTAAAAGATTTTTCAGTAGTTTCAAAATTAAAAAAAAAATAACTGCATTAGTAACGATTAATAAATGTATCTTCTATCTAAACAAATTTTATATTCTAATTTATTTTCAATTTTGAAATTTAAATATTTATGATTTATGAAAATGTTGTATATCAATCCCAATACTGGTAATCTCAGGAGAGCTCTGAGAAGAAACCAAGGATAATTTTCTGGACTTTTTTCAAATATTAAATTTACCGTTGAAAACGAACTTAGTCATTTATAACATAATGTACCCAACAAAAATATTATGTAAAGATATAGTTAGCATGTTAAATGAATGTGACTTTTTGCTCACCATCAACTTTTTATTATGATTAAAGTTATTACAACATTAACATATCTAGCAAAGCTATAAAATTGTAAAAAGGACATTACTGATTCCAGCCTTCTGATTGCCGATCAAATTTGTCATTTTGCCAGGAAGGTAGGCCTTAGAGTACTATTGTAAATGTGTAAATGTGATTTTTCACATTCGTTACTTTAACATGGTGCTGACAATATTACATAATTATTATAAATACATGCAATACTATTTATATTTTATTTAAATGTAAATTTAGAAGTTAGCAAATAAAATCTTGTAGGACATGCTCCTCTATATGAAAATTACTGTAACTTTTTTCATTTAGAGGAACATCTAATAAAGTTTGTAAACATCTAACACTAATAACTACAGCCAATAAACTAAAACTGTATTATTCAGGCTCCTACAAAATTTAATAGTTAAACAAAACTAAAGAATTATAGATTAGATCAAAAGAGAGGAAAAAATAATATAATATAAACCATGATAAGACATTTTATTAAACTTACTGCTCTTTTTAAATATATTTACCAAATTATAGCATAAATTTATTCAGTGTATTTCGTAATAATCAATATCAGACTAAATTATTACACCTTATAATAATAAATAATTTTTACAGGAGGATGAACGTCAGCCATGAATTATGAACTTTAATTAAATTTTTTATTTACATTTTAACACTTTCAATATGATCCAAATAATCTTCCAAATCGGTATCAATTTCTTCTGGATCAACGACTGATGACTGTGAGTTATATCCTTTTTCTCCTTCAGAGAAATCTTCAGGACGTGATTTTACTTCTGGAGGGAACTCATATTCTGTATCTAATAGATTTTCCATGGCTTCATTAAAAGGGAGTATTGGATTACCAAACTCATCTTTTTTTTGTACATTTTCAATTTTCTCTTCCACATGTTCACGTGATTTTGTGCTAGGTAACTTGACAGACTTCATTTCTTGGGTGGTAGCAGTTCTTAGATTTTCATCTTCTTCGGGGGTTGTGTGTAGTATATGAACAGGTAAATGATCTGATCTTGGAGGAAAAACAAATTCTGAAACAGATATTGGATAAGTAATTTCAATTTTAGATGCACAATTAAAAAATAAATAAAAAGTTTTCTAAACACTCTGTAGTTTTTTCCAATGAAATTTATGCTTTAAATATTTTTGAATACTTAATAGTTTGACTTTAGAATATTGAGGGAAGAGATCGTTCGGGGTAACAGTCGAAAAAAAAAATGATTTTTGATGCCCACCACTCCTTGGTGGCAGTGGACCTCCTCATTCCTTAAATATTTTTCTTTTTGGTACCCCCATTAGAAAAAAAAAAGTGTCAAACCATTAAATTTGGACATTAAGTGTTTAGATGTAATCTATAAAGAACTGTTGAAGCCCTCAAACAATGCATTCTGAATGATATTAAACCAATACACATTAAGTTCGAATAATGAATAAATATACACATCTATCAAACATTGTGTTTTTGTATTATACACCAAACAGCATTACTTTTATTTTATTTCCAAATATGAAACATTATTAAAAACTAAATCGTTTAATAAATAATTCAATTTGGAAATCACTCTATTTCACTGCCAATCTTATGCAGTACTTAAATAATACAGCAAGTTATTATAATGAAATGGAAAGTAGTTATTACCATTATTTTTTTTTTTATCAACAAAACATTTTGTACTAAAATTACAGAAAAAATTAATAAAAATAAATAAAAGTAAACATTATTGATTGTAATGGTATAGAGATGGTTGACCGTGATTATAATATGAGGAGTTGATAGGGAGGTGTGGTCAAATTTGACCATTTGACCGCACCCCCAGACCAACTCCTTCTCATATTATTGACTGTAGTCGAATTTCGACATATGAAGGATTAGTTCATATACTTTTAAAATTACTGTTAGTTCATAAACTATTTATTTTACCAGAATCATCTGCTTCAGTTGCAAGGACTATTGCATTTTCGAACCATTCATCTACTGACCTAAGACCAGGTGTCCAATCACCTCTCAGTGCAAAATAAAGGTACTCTTTTGGAGGGAGATGCAAAGTAACATCTTCAGGTATTTTATTATCTTCGGAAACCTTCAATGACACAAATAAATGTAATGGTTAAAATAATTTAATAAACAATTATGACCAAAAATAATTATCCCATATGACAAGAAGGTATGGTAGATTTAAAAATAAAAATTACTAAAAGTAAGTTAAAATGTTTTATTAATACATTATAATGAATGACAATAAAAATAATACACTATTGACTTCTGAATACTGATTTTATTCTTAAAATTAGGAAGTACAAATGAGATAAATAATAAAAAGATTAAACTGAAGTAGTGTAAAATTGGATAAAAAAGCAGAAAATAAATAAAAGTATAAAAATAAGATAATTTATACAAAGATAATTTATATTCTATAGTTTAAAATGCTGAGTATCTGGATAGGTTGGGAAGATACTAGTTTCTGGTTAATGTTAGCATTAATAGGTAAAGTAATGTTTTAAATACTTGAGCAAAGTTGAACGAGTTAGTTAAAAAAACAAATTGTATTTTTTTTCTAAAATATAAAAAATGTCTGGTATTTTGTATTTTAAATACACAAAATAAATTATCAAATTGAGTAGATTCCTTAAAGTTGTACCTCACATTATAGAACATAATAATAGAATTAATACGTATTTAAAATTCAGACTTCATAAAATTACAACGATTGAGAATAGACAATGACCAGACAGCCAAAGAGCTCTACTATTTTAGTCTTCCATAGGAAGTGAGAGCATGTGGATGAATACGAGGCAGATGGAGGGACATCATAACTACAAATTTGACTCATTATGGCATTTCACTGTCACTTGCTGGAGAGCGAGAAGCCTGGACATGAGCGTCGGTGCAGGCCAGGGACTACCCAGTGCTTCTGCCATGCCTTTGAAGAAGAAGAAGATGTATTTAAAATATAAAATACTTTTTGTGCATGAATTATTTAATAATTAAAATACACTCTATTTTAAAAACACAAAATAATATTTTAATTACTGAATTACAAATAATAATTAAAAGGATGAAAAATGGTAAGCGGACGTGCAACAAAAAAATTTTGTTTATTGAGTTTGCTGACATTTCGAACCAAACGTGTGCGTCATCATCATGGCTAAAAACTAAAAAATACAAAATTACACCAGAAAAATATACAAGTATAAGAGAAGAAAAAGGTGGAATTTACAAATAAGAAAACAGTAAGATAAATATAACAATGATAAAAACATTGTAATATAATAAGAAAATGTATTTGTGTTATAAATCAATGAGAAATATATATATATCAAAAGTAAAAAGATATAAACCAAACAATTAATGTTAATAAAACAATTCAATAAATGAGAAGTGTGCAAAAACAATGTATATAAATAAAAATTAACAAATATGAAAAACAACGTTAACAAATAAAAATTAATAATTATAAATAGTTTCTTAACAGTTACCAATGGTTTAAAGACTGGATAATATCTGAGGGTTAACAGAATTCATATGGTTTTGGAGGTGTGGAAGGGAGAGGGTGTTGTAATGGTCATTTAATGGATATTTAAAAAAAAAAAAAAATAAAAATGTCTACATAAATTTATACTTGATATACTTAATGATTGATTTCAGGTTATAAAGATATACTTATCTTTTTCATTTATTCATAACATAAAAATATTTTTTTAACATATTGATTTTTTTTATTATTGTTATGTTTATAAAACCGTTATCATATTTGTATGATAATCAGTAAACTATATTCATATCCCTAAATAATAATTAAAATACTTTATGACTATATTTTCTCAATTCCTACAGTAAGTTGATCTAATGCCTAGCAATAGATTAAACACATGTACTATCAATTCCAAGGAACTGTTGGAATTAGAAAATTCAATATAAAGGAAGTGAGACAACTCTACTTCAACTTGACTCACATCCTCCTTCGACATTACTGGATGACAATGCTAATGAAGACCTTCAATGACGGACCAGCCATGGGCAGCCAATTAATATAATTCCCACATCTTATTTGATAGAGTTTCAATCGCAAATCCTCCAGACTAATTTCTTAAATCAAAATATTGGATTTTTATATTAATAATCTCATTAGAAATATACTATTAATTGAATTGCTTTAGTTCTAAACATATTTCTTAGGAAGTTATTAAATATAAGCAATTAATGAATGAACTTACACTAGGCTTATCAGAATAAACAAACTTCAAAAATGTATTCAGACGTTTGCCAAGTTGTTGCAGAAATTTAATAGAATCTACATAAGTGAATATTTTTTCTGGAATTTTCTGCTTAAGTTTTCGTGGGAAACCTTTGTAACAGGCATAATGCTTGAAAGATTTCTGTAAAAATGGATGAGTAAGCATTAGAGACATCATATCAAATAAATTGAGATAAAATATTAATTTAAGTAACACAATAAATAGGTATAAGGAGAGAAATTGTAATTATTCTTATAAAATTCATCACACAAATATAATCCGATTCCCACCTATGAACATGAGTCACTAGTCTCAAAGCCAGGAAAACTTTAAGCATAAGAAATGTGGAATGAAAGAGTTGTAGTGAAATGAAGAATAAATGAATGGATGTAGAATTTTATAATCTGGATAAAATTGGAGAATAGATCTTTATTGGACAGACAAATTTTTTTTAGTAGAAACTTCTTTTAGTATTTCTTTTTTCTTTTTTAATTTCTTTTACAAAATTAGAATTTAGAAGAAAAACGGACAGCAAAAAATCAGTTACCGGTATGAGATGATTGTTATGAAGGGAAGGGGAGGTGGAGCTTAAAAGGGGAAAGGTTGGGCGACCTCCCTTCTCCTACAGGCAAACTTAGCTTGGACGCACTATATTAGGTGGACCTCTTGGTATAAAAGCGTTATTATGTTGGAGAGAAGTTTGATTTGTGGTAAAGTTTGAGTTACAATGGCTAACATACAAGCTTAATAATAATTTAGAAAATAAACATACTTTAGTCATTTTTTTATTACATATTCACAAAAGTATAAAATTAAAGGCAAATAATGAATGTCCTTATTGAAAATAAATGCTCTATCTATTTGTAGGCCCACATTCCTTAAATTTAATATAATATTTAGCTCTCTAAACAGTTCCACTTATCCATACCACTAGCAGAATTTATCCATAGGATCCAGAATTTATTTTTTGGGGGGGGGCTTCATCCCGGAAGCTTTCTTTTTTCATATATATAACGATAATTACTTTATAAAAACAGAAAGATACTAACTATCTAAATGAAATTGTGTTTAAGTGATTCTTGAAACCCTATTAAATGTAATTAAATGAGCAATAATACTTTAAGACATAATTTTTTAATATTTTTTACCATAAAACATGGTTACATTTTACCATTTTGGGGGGCTTCAGCCCGAAAGCCCCCCGTAAATCTGCCAGTGATCTATACTTTTATTAACTGAATATTTAAGTATATTGACTTTTAAGGCATATGTTCACTGAAATGAAGTGTTATCATAATACCATATAATTATAATAATAGTGAAAAATTCAGAAATTAACAAAGAAAAAATACCATTGCTGACAGTTCTTCTACCCCTAAAACTTTACAGTTAAGAAGTTTTATGAAGATCTGATCCTTGAAGAAAATTGGAAAATGCCTCAAGAGTACATATTCAGAGCCCTGCAACAAAGATATCTTGTAACTCGATGAACTAATTTTTAAACATATACTTTTAAATAAACCCAACAGGTTTTTACAAATATTTGGGTAGATAATTAGTTTCAATAACGTGCAAGGAACACCTTACTTTATCATTATATCGCTTAATTCACCAGGGATGTTAGCAATATAACAATCTAATATGTAGTGAAATATGTCACAATTTGATAGAAGTTATTATAATTAAATAAATTTGAACCCAATGTTTGTTTCTTTAGAGTTCTCATTTAGTGACTATCTCAAACAATTTGGAAGTAGGAGGACCTAAAATTTTCCAATAATTTCAATATTTAAAACTAAATTTTCAGGATCTTTAATTGGAAACATTACGATGCCTTTAATTGGTAAAAGAATGAGTATTTTCCCAAAGTTTTTAAGATATGAACTTCCCACCTAAGTATTGTTGACGTTTTTTCAACAATAATTTACTGTATTACCCGATCACAACATTACATAGATAAAATTATCTTTATTTAAAATTAAAAGTTGCTGCTTTTGGTTTTAAATTTTGATAAAAATTTAAGTAAAATGTTTTACCACAATTTTCTCAGTTCGAAGTCGTTTCCTATATCAGATTCGACAGTATAATTAAATCCATCAAACGAGAAACGTTCTATGTAATTCGAATGAGGTTATTACAATGTTTTACTTTTTTAAGAGCAAAATCAGAATACCTTTTAAATTAGTGCGGGAACTGTTACATAGGCCAAGTCGCGTACCATTGAGGTACTATTCAAAAAAAAAAAAAATAATAATAAAGAAAGATCTTATAAATTAATAATAACGAGCTAAAAAATTAAAATAATGATTATTATTATATAGAAAATATTGTAGGTATTCTCTAATTTGAATTACATAGTATATCAATATTATTCAAATACTTCTTACATTCGTTTTGAACAGAAGTGTTAAATGAAATGTAGAAATTGGCTTGAAAATATAAATAATATTCTTCTGAAATAAAATTTGACAGGAAAAACGCCAATAATTAAAACTCATTTGAAATATCTGCATATTGTATATACGTTTAATTTCTTCCAAAGCCATACGCGATCACGTGATGAGATGATCGCGCTATTTCCAGCAAATCAAAAAGCAGTATTCTCTATAATTTAATTATCTTCCTCAAGCTCTTGCAAAGCTGTTTGGCCTCCAATTTACTTAATTCAGTCTAACCCGCGAAATATCTCTGTACCGTGGTGACGCGTTTTTCGCTTGGTTGTGCTAGGAATATTTTAAAAATTATGTGATAATTAGATTCATTTAATTTTTTTTTCTCGTACTTCCGGTATAAGTGGTTTCTATTCGTACCATTCCCAAATTTCATTAGGTACTATCAGATTAAATCATATTTATTTTACTGCCGATTTCTCATATATTTATTTCATTATATATTAAAACCTACAATAATGTGAGAAAATATTACATTGTTCTAATTTTTAATATTACAGAAAAAAGCTTTCAGGTATAATAAAAGTAGTACAAAGCATATTTTAGTACAAGCTATAATGTTGAAGCACTATGCTTTATCCATGTTATAATTAATACCTATAATTGCATTTTGTTTTCAGAAAATATAAGAAAATCATTGTTGGTATAAAAATTGTAATGATTATTTTGTATAATTATTCTATAAAATACATTTTACAACTACCTGATTGATTGATTCACTAATGTTTTATGGGGTAATAATTGAATCAATTAGTCAGAAATTACAGTAATTCTTTTTTGAAAATAGTTTGTTTCTTACTGATTCTGTTCTTTGTATAAAATTTATAATAATTTGCACATAAACCCATATTGTGAGCCTCATGTGAACTAAGAGAAAAGCTATGAAGTATTTCAAGAGATATTACTTTTTATAGTTTTGTTTGGATATTTTACTCACTTTTTCTTTGTTTATAATATTTTGAAATAGATCAGTGCTGAGCTAAATAATGGCTTCAGATCAGCCGCTAAACTGGACAAAATGATGCCACTGATGAGCCCAGCTGTGGGTTCGGGGAAATAGTCATTTTTTTTTAAAATTATATTTATTCAATGGAATAGAATTTTTAAGTCAAAGCTTTGAAACTGAATAAAAAAAAAATTAACTTTGAATTAATATAAAATTTGCAATAAGCATCTCATTGCTTCCATAACTGTAGTATTAGAACACTTTACACTACAGATCGGTGTTCCTCCCTATACTGATTTATTCTTCTGGATCCTGGACACTCACTTTGATGCACAGGAGACAGATCCAAGCTCTAGAGATGTTATATCTCTGAAAATTGGAGGAAAAGAATTCACAATACAACCATCCGAGTCAATATCAATGTCAAAGCGGTCAAGACTATTATAGAAGAATAAAAGTTAAGATGGTTTGGGCACCTTCTCCATAATTTAGAAGCTACAAGCTACATGAAAATTTTAATAATTATGAAGTAGATGCTGATTATCCTTTGTTAGGCCAATTAATATAGTATATGTTCACAATAATAATGTTTGTTCAGGCTTGGTTTATTTAAACTTTATAGCTGATAGAACTGAAAATAAATGTTCTGTCAAAGCTGAACTCAAATCTATGGTTATAAACCTCTTATATACGCAACACTTTTTCATTGATATAATTTTTTTTCTGAAATGTTCATTGTTTCATTTTAAAAAATTTAACAACAGAGTTTATTTTTTTACAGAAAAGTGCAAATGTTGAAATATGTTCGTGGTTAGCCGCTTATTCTCGACAGAATAAGTATTCTGGATAAAGAATGCTGGTTTAACAAGGTAAGATATTGTTTTCTTGTTTGTAAATTACTTTCATAGTTGTATGAGTATCATTAAATTAAATTTTGAATTTTTTTAAAGATACCTCAATGATATGAATACCAATTTCTTCATACAGCAACAGTACTCCACCTATATTAGTAAATTTCTCTTTTTGACTATTCATAAAATATCTGAAATCACTCGATATATGGATACCATCTTCTGGTCTATAATCAAAAATTAGAGCAATTTTTCTTGTTGGTCCATCCTGGAATGATAAAAAAAAAATTCTTTATTACGGTACAGTTAGAGAGAGGAAAGGGGAGGGGAGAGAGGAGATGTTCCATGCTAAATCATTTAACCAAAGTTCAACTTGACATCCAAGATTCTTAGATTTGAATACAAATTTGTTCACATGGTATGAATACAAAAATTCAAAAATGTCCACTACTAAGGAATAGTTTCATTATTATAGTCATTCAAGTTTTAAGAGTTATAAGTTTGCTGCATTTCTCATTTTTAACTAGTTTTAAGTACTAAAAAAATGCTGTGAAAATTCATTATATTGTGCAATTGTATAATTTGTAAAACTATCAACTTTACCTAAAATTTTATTTTAGAAAAAAACTTAATGGAAGTTTTGGAATTGCAGTTACAATTTAGCTTTAGTACAGTACGGTCTTGATGATCTGAACCCCTTGTAATCTGAAACTCCTGGTTATCCGAACTAGAAAGAAAAAAAGTTATAAGTTGATTGACAAGGGACAGAATGGAAATAGCTCTGTTTCTCAGTACATATTATTGGAATTGCTTCATGTGTTAGTTGAAATCATATTTTGGTGTCTTTAGAAATAAAACTATGTCATCCAGAAGTTGAAGAATCCCTTTATTTATGGTTTTTGGAGCAGAAATCAAGAGGGTGTCCGATTTCTGGGGATATATTAGCTGAAGAGGCATAGTTTTTCTTTTATAATTTTTTTAAGGAGGATGAAAAGCAAATTTTATTACCAGTAAAGGTTTGCTTGATAATTTAAAAGCAGTGTTTTTAATCTTTTCACTGGAAAGAAATAAAGATATTTAATACTTGCTTGGAGTGTGCGAATGGATATAACGTCGACAACCCAAGCCTGATACTATTAATGAATTTGTGAGATCAGGTATTTTCTTTAGCAACAAAATCAGAGACCCAACATACATTATATGATCATTTTAAGAAATAATTTTTTAGTTGGCAATATGTTTATATTTAACTGATAATACATATATTTTAATTGTCTTGTGCAATTTTCCCATCATTTTAAATATAAGCTTCGATAATTTGAACAGGTCATGCAATCTACGTATTTGTATAGAAGGGTCTATCACCTGAATTAGTGACCTTAATTTTATGGAGAATCTGATGATACTATAAGTATTATAATCATTATTTTTCATCTCATGGATAAAATTATTTTTAAATATAAAAATTAATATTATTTCAAAGTTGTGAAACAGATTTTAAAAAATTCTGCCAGCAAAATCTCTCTTCACTTACATTAATGCAATTTATTCTTAGAGAGCTTGAAGGTAGTTTTCAAATAATGAAATTATATCAATGGGTTTTAAGCTAACCATTTTAATTTATTCATCCAACAATCTCCACCAAAATGGCAACATATATATGGCAGAGAAATAACAGCCCAAATTATTAATTCTTTAAGATTTTTATTTACATATAAATCTAATATTATTTGGAATGCTGCAGAAATGGCATATGGTATATTTAATAAAAGCAGAGTTTATATTAAAAAAGATTTTATTGTTTCTATCAATACAGAGCTAAAATATATTGAGAATATAATTTACAAGATACATTTGTTCTTACTCTGTATTTATGCACTAGTAGTGGTATACTCCAATGAATATATGTGTTTTTTTTATGGTATAACGTCTCTTTATAGAGATAAACAATATTGCCTTTAATACAAGAGGTAATTAGTACTCACAGGTTATATATACAAGTAAATATGATCACAAATTCTGCAGAAACTCTAACACAGCCACATATTACAAAAAAGAGTATGGAATTTACTTTTAAGAGATGAAACAATGTTGGTGGGTATTTGAGTTGCCACAATTTTTTTAAAAATATACATAAATTTAAACATAAGAAATTTACACATAATACATTATTTTCATATATAAAAACAAAGTTGTTTGACAGTCTGGAATAAATAAATAAAACCTTTTTTTTTATCTGAGGTTTTTCCTTTTAAATATAACTTGAAAGTATTGAAATTGAGAGAGTATTGATTTCTCATATAAAAACACGCAATGAATCCAATGATACAATTATTGTTTTTAAAAAATGAACCTTAACATTAATGATAAACAACCAATAATATATATTAATGGTAGATATATTAAAACAATATATGATTAACATTTATACAAAAAAGACCTCTTATAATCCCGTAGTTTTTATTTTATGAATAAAAAACTTGTTAGCAAGAGTTTTTATTTTCTCTTTATTTTAAACAAAAACCTTAAAAAAAAACAATATTACCGATAGAACCATCCTTAAAGATATTTTTATAGTTAATTGCTCTATGGCAGCAATTGTTCAATTAAAATTATAAAAATTTTTGTTGTTTCTTATTCTTTTCACATTCACAAATATTAAAAGCCATTGAAATCGAGAAAGTATAGATTCACCTGTAATAACACCCAATGAATCCAATGATGCAACTTTTGTTTTTCAATAATTAATCTAAAAAAAATTGGTGTGAACAAGATTTTATTTCAAAAACCCATCTTCTTTTCAAGGAATGTAATAAAACTTGCATTTCTAAAGTGTTCTAAAAAATAATTCATCAAAAGCTTTTTTAACCTTTTTTTTTTCTTTCTCGATACCCCTAATCTCACCATTTCTGGCAAAGGATTCAAGAGGTACAACCAAATCTATTATAACCAGAGTGGGAAGGTTGAGATTCATTGCGTGGGTTTGCCACAAAATAAATTTTAACCAAGCCTAACCGAATTCAAACTGGCGTCATTAGAATGACTCGAGAATGTAACAGTTTACGCTTTAACAAGCCTGGCCATCACAACCTCACTGTTTTATTTACTTTAAATTAAAAAATAATTAATTTTATTGTACCATTATTGTAAACAAAAATTTAATATTTTATAGTAGAATATACAAGACCTCCAAAATAGATAAAAACTGGTTCCCAGCTCACATTATTCAAATTTTAATTTTTCTTTTTGGAAAAAAATTATATTAGCATCTATGACAAGTAGGTGTTGGCATTGAATGGCATGGAATAGCCCAACTGTAAAACTTGGCAATGAAAATCTAGTATTACCAAAGATCTACAATGTTTGCAAGCCCATTAAAAAAAGAAAAAATCCTTATATCATGAAGTATAATGAAAATATTTAAAATAAAAATACGTTATTATTTATTGTATTTCTTACATTACTGCCATCCTGAGTCTAAGAGGCATGTATTAAAAGCTTCTTTTGTGTATCAGCATTTAATGTAATTTTACTGGCCAATTTTCTCTTAGAATTTTAACAGTTTTTCAAGATATTATATGCTATTTTAAAATAAAATAAGATTTATTTATCATGTCATGTGACAAACATTCGTTAGCAGAAAAAATGCAAAGAAAGAAAAGAGCCTTTAGGCTTGAGAAGGCTACTAGGCTAGTTGTTACTGGAAATAAATACAAAGCAGGAATTAAACAAAATACCTTTATGCCCCTATTTTCTAATATATATTTATTTTGTGATTTAGTGATATATTTACCATTCCTAAAACTTGAAAATTGTTATCTGCCAGAGTTTTTATTGAAACATTGCCATCAATGTCTTCTAATCCAAGCTCTTCTTTGAGCCCTGCATTCAAAACGTTTTCGAATTGTTCATTTTCCATTTCACCCCATATATATTGTTGTGCTTCCTGATCCTTTAAGTAAGCTTCTATTCTAAACAAAAGATGGATTATACTTTAACTTTATTGTATTGTATATCTTCTCTTATTTATTGTATATGTATTGTATTATAACTTTATTATATATCTCCTCTAAATATATATACATGCATATCAAAGGAGTGGCAGAGCAAGTAAAGTGCTAGCAAAAATGTACCAGCCTTCAAACCCAAAGGTTGTGGATTCGATAAATTAAATAATTAGTCATATGAAAGATAATAATTAAACAATCTCCTTCATAACTTTCCCCTATGTATGTGAGGCTGTCATCCTACTGGAGGCAACACTCTGACTGGGTGTAGAAGTGATAACCTTACCCTCTGTATCCTGATTGGGAATTATGATGTTGTTTTCCTGGTTACGATTATGTTTGGTCCAGATAGCCTATTTGAGGGAAAGAAATATGGATTCTCATGCACCCACTGACTTTGAACAACCATAATCCATGGATTGATATAGATTTACACTATTATTTTACCTCAGTGGGTCTTAGTGAAGGACATTGCTAAGTTGGTCCCAAAGGAATTAGTTACAGACTTTCTAGATTTCCTTAGAAACCGCGGTTTCTAACAACATGACGTGGATGATGATCCTCTCTAGACTGCCTGTTTTCCCATATGAAGTGTGTTTAAATTATTAACTTTATATGACATAGAATATAATTCTGTTATAAAATTGTTGAATGAAACATTACAAATAATAATGATTCGAAATAAAAATACAGTCAATCTTTTATGTATTATACTTGAAAACTCCTCCATAAAATACTGTAAAGTTCCTTCATAATATACTGTACATATGGTATTAAGTACATAACAATACAGTAAAGGGAGCATTAGACCTATTAAGGTCTAATTATGAACTCAAGACTGTCATAATGAATAATCTAATCATTTATAATGCAAATAAAATGACAAAAAGGCTAATTGTGAAACTAAACCACAAAAAAATCATGAAGATGCCTCTTGAAGAAGTTATTTATTGAATTATATAAGTTCCATATACTGGTCGAAAACAACTAAAAATATGTGGCATATTTGGGAATTTTTATCTTCTTAGATACCTAAAAGACTGTTGAAGAAATGAATTTAATTCACAAAAGGAATCACTTCGCAAAACAAAATTTCATAATTATGTAATAATTAATCTTTGATATTTCTTAGTGAAAATACACAGCTAAAAGATAGAGTTTTCGAAAAAAATTAAATTACCCTGTATAAGGCCGGTAATTATCATAACCATAACTGCGCTGCGGTTCTATGTCTGGTTCTTCTTTAGTATTAAAATCGTCATCAAGATACATAGAATAAAATATCATTCTTTCTAATGATTCTTCATCTTCTGGTGACTCCTCCTCTTCTACTGATTCTCCTATCACACGAGATGTTGCTTTCAGAGACTGTAAACAATGCATAAAACAATAATTTCATTTTTTATCAAGAAAAATATATAAGAATGTTGGTTGACTATGCTTTGTTAATTTTGAGCATGTTATTCAAGATGAATAAAAAACATACAGCAAGTGATTATACATATATTGGAATGTATAAATTGTAAAGGAATGGAGAAATTGTAAAGAGCTTTCTAACAGAGTAAAAAAGACAAAAAATACATATTACTAGCTTTTTAATGGTGTGGTATGGGAAAGAGAGATGGAAAATAATGTAAGATTTAACTTCTAAAATTGTAAAGATGTAAAACTAAACTGGGCCTTGTTGTATAATAATAATACTTTATTTATTCTGGGACGAGTCCCTTTAGAATAATAAACAAGAACAGAAATATGGGCTTGTGAGCCTTAGAGACATAAAAGTGTATGTACAATTTAGACAGATAAATATGATAGAAAAAATGTAAAGTTATCTTTTAACTTTAATCAATTAACAAAAAATATAAAATAAATGAAAGAAACATAAAATGAAGTAATTAAAACCAAATTTATAATATATATATATATATATATATATATATATATATATATATATATATATATTTACAGAAATATCTTTTTACAATTTTATGGGGAGTGGATGGAAAGGAAGTGATTGAATAGGTGGGATTTAAAAGTAGAGAGGTCATTGGAGCGATGGATGTAGGGAGGGATGGAGTTCTATAGGTGAATCTTACAAAGCAAATTTATCAAAAGTTTTAGTTTCCCCTTGAGATCTCCAGAGACGCCTCCCTCCATATACCTTGCAGCAATAGTCAAAGTGAGGAAATATTAAGGAGGTAATCAGGAGTCTACGGGTTTCAAAAAGAAAAAGTATCGGGGGCAATTTAAATGTTTTAAGGTCGAGCAGGAGATATTGGATACATGTTTTTTTCCGGAAAAGGTGTAGGTACTGGAGTGGATTCAAAACTGAGTGAAATACTTCTGAAGAATGGTAGGCTGAAAAAAAAGAGGTAAAGTCAGGATTGAGAGTATATTAAATAACATTGTGATGCCTTGGTTGGCTTAGAAGGAGGTACCTCCATGCTGAGAGGCACAAAGAGGGAAGATTTTATACTACATTACATTTAATATTTTATCGTTTTTTTTTGTTTTTTTTCAATAATCTTTCAATTATAAATAATTTTCAGACAATTTTTTTTTCTATCAATAATGTTTTTAAAACTATGCATATTTATTTCTCACCATCAACCCATTCTTTATTTCTTCAATACTGGAATCATCACTATCTGAAGATAAGATATCAGTGAAACAGTCTTCACTAATTTCTGATAGATCTGAAGAAGGTTCTGTTTCTTTTTCAATTTTTTTCCCATAGGTCTTTTTAAGGGATTTACCTAATAAAATAATTTTTAATTAGTTCAAATTAAAATTATATATTCATTGGATAAAAAAAAAAAGTATTAAACTTGGATTTTGTATTAATGTATCAGAATCCTAGTGGTAGGTGCTTCATATTTTATTTACAAAAGAAGTTGAAAATAAAATATCATTAAATAGATCATTTATGATCAAAACCAAGAATTTTCATTTTTAAAATTTTCACAGCACAAAAAGCTATAAATATTTATTGAAATAATACTACAACTGGGCAGCGTGATTGGGATTCTAAATCATTCAGTAATATACAATGTCATTAGCTATCAGTAACATTGAATTTAAAAATATTAAATTAATATCGTTATGTATTCTACATAAGTACCAAGTGGAATGTAGATAGTTCGTGTTACTGACCCCTTTTTATCAAATTATTAACACCCGCCTAAAAAATCGTATAAATAAAAAATATTTTATTTACATAAAAAAAAAAAAAAATTACATTACAATGTTTCAATTAAGAAACTCCTTTGACATTGCTAAATAACATCCATGTTATTTTTTCTAAAGAGTTCATATTTGATTTGTCATATATGTTTGGTTTGATCAATGATAATTGAGCAGATTTCAAAAAGGCATTAACTTGTCCTGGATGGACTATTTAATAACTCTTACCTTGTAATTATCTAAAATTGATGTGAAACAACCTTTATTCTAGATTTAATTGATAACAGAGACAATATTACAATAAATCAATTTATATAGTTAATTTTGTTTTCATTCTAGCCTTAGTATGAATGCATGTGACTTATGTGCCTACTCTACATTTTAGTTGAATCCTATGCAATTTCACCGATACTTTGATTCTCTGCCGACAGAGCAATCCCTTGCTGCTTCTTTCTATTGTCTTATACCCAGTAACCTTCAGGTTTTGTTCAACATTGCTAGTTTAGGCATGCCTTTTCCTCTTTCTCCATCTGGACGTCCTTCCATTATTTGCTTTGGGAGTCTTTTTTGATCCACCCTATATACATGGCCCAGCCATCTTGTTCTCCTCTTTTTAATGCAAGAAAATATTTAGGGTTTTATGGCGTTATGACTTTCTTCTTTGGTAGGGCCATTTATTCTCTGAATTGTTCTCTTCCTTGTACTCTGAAATTTCTCTTGTTGCTTGGTTAGGGTCCATATCTCACTACCATATATGACAACAGAACGAAGTATCCTTTTATATACGCTTATTTTGAGGTATTTGGGAATCCCCTTTATTTCGAAATATCTTTTGGAGCGATAAATAACATATATTTCCGTTCCCAATTCTTGCTTTTATTTCTTCCTCCATTTTGTTATCATTGGTTAAAATTGTACCAAGATAATTGAATTTCTCCACACTTTCAAAATTACATTCTCCTCCCTTAGACACCCACTTGCTCTGCCTTTCCTAGATCATATACTTCGTTTTGCTTTCCTTTATTATAAGCTCTGCATCTTCAGGTTCGGTAAATATAGTTACGTAATATTTCTATATAATATTTTTGTTGCATACATTATATAGAAAAAGGTTGGGTTTCAGTGGTAAATTAAACTTGAGAAAATTTGTTCTTGGGGCAGTTAATCTCTTCTTTATTTATCAATTACATAATCTTTCTGTTCCAAAACGCTCTTATGCGTGAACGTAATTGTGAGATTTCCTATATTTTTCTCTCAAATTTCATAATCACTAAGTTTTTTGTTATAGCAGTGCAAACAAAAAAAATACAGGTAAACATGAAACTGGATCATTTATAACTTCTTTTTTTTTTGGAGATTTTGGAAGTTCAAGATTTATTCCGTAGGTAAAATGTTTCCACAAAATAAATTTCAACTTGCTTACCCCATAACAGTATGGATTACTAGGCAAATCGGAAATACGAAAAAAAGTAATTTTGGACCAAGAGACGAAAGAATATCATTGTTAAGGATTTTCAAAAGAAAAATAGTTCTTTGGAATGGTTATTTAAAAGAAATGAACCATTGAAATTTTTTACTTACACTTATCCGGTAGAGGATCGGAAGGCAATGGAAGTTTTCTATTTCTCATATTGAAGCTTTGCTGCTCGAATTAAAATTATGTATTGTAAATAAATATGCCTCCAACTGTTTTAATAATGTTCTAATTATTGCGAATTCGATTTCTATTAAATATATAGTGAAAAAATAAAAATAAAATACCAGATGACAGAAGGTACAATATTAATACGATCTTAAATGTTGGTTGAAATCTATTTATATATTCAATATCTATCAATATATATTGGTAAGGATTCATTAGCAGTAATCATAGCTATAAAACCATAAATATATATGTTTTAATCAATATATGACTATTAAATAATTTAAAAAAAAATGGACGGCTTACGACTTAAAACGACAAAATTGAATAATATTGAACCAGTAATAACAGAGTAATTGATATTTTATATTTAAATTAAATCAAATATATTTTGTTTACTATGTTATTTATATTTTATGCAATTTGCACCTGCGCATCTAGCAAATTTGTTGGATTTATACTGTCTTGGCGTATTTTCTTGATATTGTTTTTATTGATACAGTAGGTCTCTTGGCCATTTTCTTCCTAATCTGCGTTGTTCAGGTAACAGGGATCAGGAGATAGAAAAAAAACAGAGGATTGAAGTGATTTTGGGTTGAAGAATGAAATGTAGAGTATTTGTCGTGAATGTAGGATTTTACTGTTGGGGTGTTGAAGCCGTCATGTATTGTATTATTAGAAATGTACCAAGGTGCGTTAACAATTTTTCGTAAAATTTTCTATTGTGCTGTTTGTATTTTGTTTATGTGTGTTTGTTTTGCTGAATCCCAAAGTTCTGCTCCATATGTCCATATTGGTCTCAGTAAGGTGTTGTAGATCAGTCGCTTGTTTCGTAAGTTAATCATCGGAATCGAACCAGTATTAACGATGATTCAGCTTATTCTATTTTATAAATATGTTTTAATTTCTTACTTTCCTACCTATACTACTCTGATCCACAGGCGGATTTACGGGGAGGGGCTTTCGGGCTGAAGCCCCCCCCAAATGGTAAAATGTAACCATGTTTTATGGTAAAAAATTATGTCTTAAAGTATTATTGCTCGTTTAATTACATTTAATAGGACTTCAAGAATCACTTAAACACCGTTTCATATAGGTAGTTAATATCCTTTTGTTTTTCGAAAGTAATTATGAACGTTATATATATATATATATATATATATATATATGAAAATAAAAAAGCTTCCGGGTTGAAGCCCCCCCCCCAAAATTAAATCCTGAATCCGCTAGTGCTCTGATCCACTAGCGGATTCAGGATTTAATTTTTTGGGGGGGGGCTTCAGCCCGAAAGGCTTTTTTTTTCATATACATATAACGATAATTAATTTGAAAAAAAAGGAAAGAAATTAACTACCTATAAGAAATAGTGTTTAAGTGGTTCTTGAAGTCTTATTAAATATAATTACAGAAACGAGAATACTTTGAGGGAAAGTATTTAATATTTTTTTATGCAAACGTGGTTATATGTTACCATTTTGGGGGGGAGGGGGAGGGCTTCAGCCCGAAAGCCCCCTCTCCCCCCGTAGATCCGTCTATGCTCTGATCTACCTTACCCGGTTTACATTGCTTTAGTTTATCAAATAAATCGTACTCAAATCTTTTCTTTGATCAATTTTATGCAAAATAAATCTAATTCAATTTCTTTTTGTTTCTTCATGTAAAGATATGAAAACTTTTCTGAAATACTCAGCAAAGTCGTGTGAGTGGACAAACCAGATTTTTTTTTTCAATTATCATTATACATATGAAAAAAAAATGTTTCGCGCTGCAATCCCTCCCCCCCCCAAAATTCAATTCTGGATCCGCCAGTACTACAGTGACCGTATTAAACCTCCTGAAAGTCTCTTTTATCTTTGAACTTAATAAATTTAATTACTATTATCTAAAAAAAAAATTGTCTACTTTTCGATGGTGTATTTTGAATTTAATTATCTCGAACAGTTTTTGAACGATTCCTTTTTATTCAATAAAAACCGTGACCACCTTAAAAACAACACAAAATTAATATAAATAACTAACAATGTGAACTTGAACCCTGAACTTTCGCAGGGATTATATTTTATTATTAATTATATTTTCTCCTTTCCGTATCTATCAGTGAGGAAAGGAATTTTAATAGGCTTATTTTCAATAATTAATAATATTATAATTACTTGTATTTTCTCCGTATCGATTAGTGTGGGTGGAGGATTTTAATTATGTATTTTATTATTTTGTGTTGGAGACAAACAAGAAGCTATATCAGTATAAAATAAGGAAGTGTTTTTTCTTTACCAAATTTATACATACATACTCCACTTTTCCTTATACATCGGCTACGTTTTGGCTAGTAAGCCATTTTATTTAATCATGTCCATAACACTAGCGGATCCAGGATTTAATTTTGGGGGGGGGCTTCAGCCCGAAACCTTTTTTTTTTCATAAAAATAACGATAATTACTTTGGAAAAGCAGAAAGAAACTAACTACCTATATGAAATGGTGTTTAAGTTATTCCTTAAGTACTTTTAAACGTAATTACACGAACAATAATACTTTAAGAGGTATTTTTAAAAAATTTTTTTCCCATAAAACATGGTTATATTTTTCCATTTTGGGGTGGCTTCAGCCCGAAAGCCTCCTCCCCCCGTAGATCCGCCCGTGGTCCATGATGAGATTAAATTCAAGTGTGAGTTTGTATGTATATGTAAAAGTGGAAACACTAGCGGATCCAGGATTTAATTTTGAGGGGCTTCAGCCCGAAAGTTTTTTGTTTTATAAAAATAACGATAATTACTTTGGAAAAAAAGAAAGAAACTAACTATCTATATGAAATGGTGTTTAAGTAATTCCTAAAGTTCTTTTAAATATAATTACACGAACAATAATACTTAAAATAAAACATGGTTATATTTTTCCATTTTGGGGGGGCTTCAGCCCGAAAGCCTCCTCCCCCCGTAGATCCGCCCGTGGTCCATGATGAGATTAAATTCAAGTGTGAGTTTGTATGTATATGTAAAAGTGGAAACACTAGCGGATCCAGGATTTAATTTTGAGGGGCTTCAGCCCGAAAGTTTTTTGTTTTATAAAAATAACGATAATTACTTTGGAAAAAAAGAAAGAAACTAACTATCTATATGAAATGGTGTTTAAGTAATTCCTAAAGTTCTTTTAAATATAATTACACGAACAATAATACTTAAAATAAAACATGGTTACATTTTACCATTTTGGGGGTGGCTTCAGCCCCAAAGCCCCCTCCCCCGTAGATCCGCTCGTGAGTGGAATAAATTTGGTGAAGAAAAAACAGCCTTATAAAGACTTCACTTAAAACAAATAACCACACATAAAAGCTATATCAATTTTATTATTAAAAGTTATTTTTCTTATTACGTATTCCATTATTTTACGTTATTTATGCATTAGAAAATAAAGAATATAAACTAACCTAATCAAACCACTGTTTGATTGTAAATAAACATTTTTTTTTTATAAAAACGACTATTTCTTTATGATTTATTAGTGTAATTTCATACTTTATTTCTCTCTGTTATTTTTCTATTTATCAGAATACTTAAAGCAGTTGAAAACTACAAAATGTTACATTTAGCACAAAGAAAATAAACATGTAAAAACGTTACATACGACCTTTTGCACTAATAGTAGCTAGTTAAGTTCTGTTGGATGAAAACAGATTTGTCATTACTCGACTACTGTTGGCATTTATCAAGAAGTTGGGAATTATGTGCTTTGGGTGATCTTGAAACAGGCGTTCATATTGGAGTAACGAAATGGAACTAGTACCTAAAAATGAATATAGATAAATATAGATATAGATAGATATATAGATAGATATCTATATATATATAGATATATAGATAGAAAGTAAACTGATTATAAATGTGTAAAATAAATTGAGAAATAGAAACACTAAGGTTATAAATAGTTCACATTCTGCGGCTCTGTCGACCCTGATTTTCCATGGAATTATTGATTCATTAGTTATTAATCGATGAACAAAAATAAATAAATAAATAAATGCTGAATTCTAAGATTGGTTTAGGAACATTCTAATGAATTTTCGCTGCTATAGATTAGCTCAGTGCTAAATTTTTAAACATCCGAATATTATTTTATCTTATTGGCTACTTAGGAAGGGAAATTGTCCTCTTTTTTCCCCTCTCCTGTGGTTCCAGGACAGTTGTTATCATAGAAAACTTTTTGTCGTCTGTTAAAAGAAATAGCTTCAACAGTATTTCATGACGTTAGTTAAACTATTTTTATTTGTCGATAGAAATTTTGAATCTTTTACAATAATAATTTCTAATTTCTTTCTCTTTATCATACTTTTTACATACTTTTGTTCCGTAGTACAGATCCGTTTTTATCAAATCATTAACATCCGCTTAAAACTTCGTAAATAGCTCCATCTCATCGTAACTTAAAAAATATTTTATTTATGGAAATTCTTGGAAATGGGGTTGTTTCAATCTGGAGATTGGCAAATTTTGTCTATTTAATTAGGTAATAAAAACTCATGAATACCTATTTGCTTTCCACTTGAATCGTAGGATAATATGATCACAAAAGGTGGCCTACAGAAATATTGGCCAGTTTAGCATGACCTCCACCCCTAACATGTCAAAATAATGAGATTATGAAGGATAAAAGGCCCAATATTTTTTAAGGCCACCTTTTTTTTTCTCGATTTTTTAATGATATTCTGTTACGGTTCAAATGGAAAGCAAATCGGTATTAATGAGTTTTTAGTACCTAATGAAATAGACAAAGATTGCCGATCTCCAGATTGAAAACAATTCTGAGAATTTTCTTAAATAAAATATTTTATTATAGGCGGGTGTTAATAATTTGATGAAAAGGGGTCAGTACCACGAAATGTTTACATTCCGCTTAATACTTATGTAGAATATGAAACGATATTAATTTACTATTTTTGAATTCGATGTTATTGATAGCTAATGACTTCATATATTACCACCACTGGAATATGCTTACGTTATATCATGTAGAATAGTGTGCAATTAGATGAGTTATCTCTTGACAACTTAGACCTCTAACAATTACTAATAAATTGGTTTTG